TTCGTCAAATTAAATTTGGACATTCTGGATAACATTTTCAATTTGTCGCTTTTTCAAGTTGTTTGAATCAAATTTTCTATATATTTCTATTTTTTGATTGCCTCTTAGCATGGTTCTTTCTCTTTGTCAGAGTTGGTAACTAAATGTACATACACAAGCATAATGCACCCAAACACTCACTTATTAGAATTAACTATTCAGTTAATTCGTTTTATTCTAAATTTCACTCCATTGCACAGTTTGAATTTTTTGGCTAAATTTATTCTTTAATAATGTCAAAAATCTTTGTTCTACGCACTACCGTAATCTAAGAAAAAATGACTTGAATCAAAATTTTTTAGTTTAAGTCTTTTTTCATGCTTGAAGTGTAGATTACTTTCTTCTTCAGGGACAGTAAGGACAAATTTTGGATTGAAAATGAGGAACTGAGTAACTCTTTAATTCCTCTAAGTTAGTCACTGTTTGGCAGCGTTTGTGCGAGAATTCAAAGGGAATATTGTTTATTGTATTGCAAAGGGAATTAAGCCAATAGATTTAAATTTTTTAAGGCATTTACTGTTAGTGACTAACTGGAGCAATTCTAAGCGATATATCGTGTAGTGAGGGTTGTTTTAGTAGAGCCATTTAAATTATTCTATGGATGAAGCGTCGATTATCCTCCTTTATTTTAAAGAGGGAAATTTAAGCGTTCAAATGAGCTGTAATTGAGTGCGTGATTTTAACGGTTTCGTTGGATAGAACTGAATGAAAATTAGAAGTAGAAATTAAAGTAAAATTCTGGCATTTTTCTTCGAGCAATGGATTTTTATTCCATTTTAGGCATTTTTCGAAGTCATGGGTCTCAGTCTCTCATCGATTAACGCTTAAAAAATGAGTAGATTAAACGAATTAATTCATTTAATTAAATGTAAGCAAGATGTGATCCATTAGGTAGGGAGGCACTTAAAAAAGATTCTATGATGAGATTCTTTTGTAACTTTAGATATATTCTTGCCTCTGCATGCAGTGCTACAAGGGATATATGTTTTTTTTTTTTTTTTTCTAGTCTGTAATTGCCTAGTCATTGAAATTTGCATTTAATTAGTGTAATTAGCATGTCAGTTTTCCCGATCCAAAGCCTTGAGGATATCTTGTAAAAGGAGATAAGTCGTAAAAATGCTACCACGGATTTGATAAATTTCGGTTGTTTTTTAGTCTTCGTTTTGTTTTCTCATTGCAGCATTTGCAACAAACGGTAGCGCAAACGCAGCAACAAAGTGCCATTCATCTGGTAACTAGTGGATCCATTGGTACCGCTCATACTCACTACCATCATCCTGCAGTGTTATCAGTTGCAACACCCGGAGTAACACCGCCACCATCATTGCCAGCAACAGCACCACCATTACCACCACCGCCACCACCACCAACACTACCATCAACACTACCACCACCACCACCTCCACCACCACCTCCACCATCACTGCCATCACAGCTGTCATCACAATCGTTGCAATCACCACATATAGCTGCAGTTCATTCTGGTGCACATATTAGTAGCACGATTGTTACAAAACCATCATTAAGTCCAAGCAAAATTGTTTGCACCACTATTCGTAATCAGCAGTCACACCTAGGTCATGTCACGGGTGCAACAACTGCAATGCATAACTTTGCACGTGAAGTAAATAAACCTGTAGCTGCAGTAACACCATTATCACTTTCCACTTCTGTTCTTGTGCCACCAACTATTACTGCTGTTAATCCGGCTCTTTTTGCTGCAACAATACAGCAACAACAACAAGTACAACAGCTACAGGCAGTGGCAGCTACAGTTGCACGAACGGCAACAACCACTTCGGCACCACAATCTCAAGCTCCGCAACCAGCACTTTTGATTGGCGTCGATACGACAGCACACGATAAAAAAATTGCTACAACATCCGGTTCCGTGTTGGCAACCGTGGGTACTTCCAGGAAGAAAAACTTTCACCCGGATAGTCGATGGAGTGGTTTGGATGAGAAGCTTTTATTCCTCGCTGGACCACGATTAAAGTAAGTGTAATATGCGAAGTCTGGTAGAAAGTAATTGATATAGTGAGGAATTGGTATAGATATGAAATTATTTAATGGGTGTTCTCTCTGTTAAGTTGTCTTTCAGACAAAGTTTGAAGCATAATTTGGGCATTTGTCAAAAAAAAAAAAAAAATTAAGAATTGCTAATTTAACGTATTTTAACGCTGTTCAAGAGCAAGAGCATTCCGATCGCATTGTGGGCTTTTACCGGTGTGGTAGAATACGATAAGTGAGCGGGAGGTAGGGAAATTGCGATAGATATTTCAAAATATTTATTAATCATACTGATTTCCAAAGCACTTCTCATGCATGCCTTTTTTCTTTGATATATTGTTCTTTTTAAAATGAAACTTAATGGGTTACATTTGGAAGCCTTTTGAAATTTCTCATTATGAGATATTTTTTGAGTTTAGCTTTATGCATGTTGCACATTTGTCCATCATTATTTATTCGGATTTTTTTAACTCTGATGAAACTACAAACATTGAAGCGGTTTTTTTTTTTTTTTTTTTTTTTTAATAGACTGAAATATCGGTCGTATTACTGTTATAAGTGGTGGTTCCAATAATTTCAGTTACTTCATCTTGATCAGCAAGAATTTAAAGGTTTTTCTCAACTTAACAATCAGTGAATACGGTTTTTCTTTTTCCATTCTACTCATTTCATCCGCTTAATATTCCTGAGCAGAATATTGCGCCATTATGGAATGATGTATGAAATTGAAATAAAAAATTTGAAATATCAATTATAGCATACATTAAGTAGAATTGCTGATAATTTATTGCAGAGGAAACACTTTTTGATCGATTTACACTTATTCTTTTGTTTCTTTCAGGATATTGCGTAGACGAATTTGTCCGAAGAAAATTGGCCGCCATATCGCGTTACATCCATGTCGAAGCAGTGATTTTGTTATTAAACATTGGCCTAATTTGCAGGGTTTTTTCATTTGATACAGTCTGTCATTGGTGATGTTCTTAAGATGTTATAAAAATAGATTTGTTTTTAAGGACTTAATTACATCACAGCTATGAATTTTCGTCGTTTTGAGTTTATTCTCATAAATTTTTTTGTGTCTTGTCGTACGTTGTCAAGTTTATTCGCCATGTGTCTAGGTGTGTGTGTGTGTGTGTGTGTATGTATATACAAATTTTCTTATTATGTATAACATAGAAATAGTTCGTTGTTGCAAGCAGTGTAGTGCTTGGATTTTTTAGAATTATGCATTTAAATATAACTACCACACTTTTTTAAATTGCTTACTAACTCATTCAAAAACTTTTTTATCTAATTGAAAATTTCAATTACATAGAGTGGTAAACTGTTCGAAAATTCTTTTCAAAAATTGTAATTAGTAAATATTGTTTAATGGTTGAAATGAACTTTCCTATTTGCTTATCAAATTTCCAGTTGATTGAAAGTCAATTAATTTAAAATTGTAATCGGTTCATGGAGCTGTTATTTTTAATAACTATGTATCATTTTTTTTTTCTTTTTTTTACTTGTAAATCATTCTTTTGTCTATTTATTGTATTTTTTTCCCCTGATCTTTGAAATTTAAAATTTTCCGGAATAATTTTTGATATGCGTTCACGCTTTGTTTTTTCTTTTTGTAATACTACTTGTTTCTCTTGTTAGAATAATTAACTTTTGTTTCAAAGCGAATGATTTATTTTTCATTCTCATGTTTTAAAATTTCCCATGGTCTATTCAATTTTTGTTATGTTTTCGATATTGCTTCTATTGTCGTATTTTGATATGTTGTTTTGCTTCAGCATTCATACTTGCAGATAATTTCTAATTTTATTATGGATCAGCTTTTCATTTATCCTTGTTTAATATGTCTGAGAAATCCTTAGATAACAAACAGTATTATTGTTTGCATACGATTTCATCCGTAATTATTCAAAATATCATTTTAGCACGCAATAATGCTCCTATTTTTATCTCATTTTGGTTTCATATTGTCAATGTTTTCCATCATTTCTTTGTCACTTATGCCGTATGACAAACGGTGTGTTTCAAATAACTGAGACATTTAAAGTTGACTGAAATCTATATCAGTACTTTTTATTTCTACAGTAAAAAACGATTGGTATTGCTTATTCACATATTACATTTGGTCGATCAATATTTCTTGAAATAATCCGATAATTTAGCTTAATTAGCTGATATTCTTGGCTGATTTTAGAAATTCTTCCACTCTTTAATTCTATCCTTTATGCAGAATATAAGGTGTTGAGTTGATCCCTTCACTGTTAGATATTATCTTTCAGATTTGTTCTTTCTTTTTTTTTTTTTGCTATCGACATAACTAGGATTCATATGAGGAATGAATGCATTGTTTTCTAATTAATTCAGGTCAGTAATTTACTTTCATCCTTTCCTTTGTCATTTTATGTTCAATCTCAAATGGCACATCTTTTAAGCGGCAGAAATGCGTTCCATTATGTCAACTTTAGTGCAAATCATTCAAACTTTCTAGCAAAAACAAAAAGATCGGTTATTCGGAACAAAGAAAATGCATATTGGGAAGTGAGATAAAGACAAGAATTGAGTTACAACAAGATGATATTTCGAGAGGTCGAGACAAAACATATGTGCTGCACTGCTAATGCCAATAAATGACCTTCAGGGGTCAACTGCTGTTGCTTTGTTCGAAGAGTTAAGTTAACTACATACGGATAGATAATGAAGTGGAATGGATGTTATACAATATAAAATTATGGATGTGCGACGTTAGACATCCGTGCATATTAGCTTTCGAGAAATAATATTAAAATGTTTAAAGCAATTGAAATTTTAAATGCAATAAAACAAATGTATTTTCTATGTATACTTGAAGTTTTCCTTATTTTTTGTCAAACTATTCGAAAAAAATTCTTGAAAAAGAACCATTTGGTTTGCAATAAAGGATTAGGAAAACAAAACAAAAAAAAAAAAATCTACAATTCTCGTATCATTTTTGCTTCACAAATTGAATCATTCCAATAACTATAAATGTCGAGATTTTTGAACAATTTTTTCACTTACATTCCTGTCTCCGATAATACTTTCGTTTTTTGCATTTTCTAAAAATTTGTCCTACAAATTATTAGCAAAATTTGATGGAAATATCAAATCTAAGCTTCCTATAATCAAGATTAGGTTATTACTATTATTATTGTTTATTTATTATTATCATGATTATTACTATTATCAGTTGTTATTATCAATAATAAAATAAATGATTTAAATCCAATTTCTTTGAAGAAACAAAAAAGCTAATACTGCAATTACTATTGTACTATCATACATTGTACCATTTATTTTTCTACTTTTCTAAAATATATTTTAAATAATAATAATAATAATAATAATAATAATAGCAATAATCTGCGAAATGTATTATTACTTACTTTTATCACAACAACGTTAGTTTTTTTATTGCAACAACAAAATAAATCGCGCAGTGTTATCAGTGTACCTTTTCTAAAAGTGACAAATTTGATTAAATGAAATAAACAAAAGTGAAAGAAATGCATAGCTATCATTAATGTACACTTGATTTTTTCTTTAATTTTGAATTATATAACTACTACACTTATTATTTGTGACTTTCATTTTGTTGCTTTATTAAAAGATAAATACAATACCAAAAGGTCATCTGATTACCTTACAGGTGTACTTGTATTACACTTATCATAACTCAATCATTTTCCTTATATTTCGGGGTCATTCATGGACAGATGATGAACTTTCGGCAGAATGTGTGTGTATGTGTGTGTGTGTGTGTGTGTGTGTGTGTGTGTGTGTGTGTGTGTGTGTGTGTGTGTGTGTGTGTGTGTGTGTGTGTGTGTGTGTGACAGACATTAACTAGCAAAATGAGACGAGATAAGAATGAGTGGAATATTCTGAGAAAAAAAAGGAAAAAACCTGACTGTGCCACTGAATATCAGCAGTGTAACTGAATCAGTAGAAGCTGTCAGAGTGAAAAGTACCAGTATAAGCCAAATTGTCCAGCGACCTTCACTAATTCCAACTGTTATCACCACTTGGCCAATGAGAAATACTATGGCATTACAGATGCATGGCAAAATTAACCTAAAAAAAAAAGAAAAAAAAAAATTATATTTAATTTTAAATTATCGATTAATATTTAATTGATCATTGAACATAGAATTTAATATTTTCTATTTGAATATGTATATGAATGCAAAGCAAATTTAATATTTGAAATTCAGCGCTGTTTGTTATACTTGTAACACAACTATTTTTTTTTTTTTTTTTTTCAATTATTACATTCAAAATTCTCTTTAGCATTCTTTATTTTCTTTTTTTTTTTTTTTTAAATTTTATTACGAACTAAAATGTAATAATATTTGTTGAATAAAATTCACAAATTATCCTAAAACTTTCTCTTTTCTAATTTATCGAAATTAATATAATTAATTAATTCTATGTAAACATACTTAGTTTCAGCTCGCATACCAGTACTGATACCTGCAAATATATTACAATTTTGCATTATCTTTGGCCGTGTTGCATTATATGTATTTACAGTTACAAAGCTATTTCGAGTTTGACGATTACATTTGAAAAGTAGAAATATTGCATAACTGAAAATAAAATTAATAATTAACAATTAAACTAAAAAAATTAATTCATACATGTAAATTTTATTAATTAATAAAAATTCTTCCCATAGCCATAATTCTCATCTATTTCTTTTAATTTTTTTTTTTTAAATTGGATTCAAGTATTTCATTAAAACTTGATAAAGTGCTGATTTGATAGGGAAAATAATAAGCAATAGGATTAAATTTAGTCCGATTTTTTTTTTAAAAAAAAAAAATGTTTATTTAAACAATTTTACATTTCCAATTTATATTTGAACTAATTTATCAAAGAAATAACTTATAATTGAACTATATGGGATTGGTATTTTATGACGATAAAATAATTATGCAATGTAGTTTTTTTTTTTTTTTTTTTTACTAATTTATTTACTAAAATACTTCTTTCTCACACTTATACATCAAATAAGATTTAAAAGAAAACTCAATTACTAATTTATTTACTAAAATGCTTATTTCACAGTATGCTATGCTATTTTATTTGAATTTTCTTATGCAACCTGTAGAGAGAAAATGTTCCAATGAATATTAGTAAATGATAAATGACGAAAAATTGCGATTTGCCACCATCCAAATACAATTGAATATCTTCCGCCACCATACCATATGCGCTTGCTTCATAATAAAATGTGACGTACCAAGGTTGAAAGTATGCTATCAATGACTGCAAAAAAAAAAAAAAAAAAAAAAAAAAAAAAAAAATTGAAGCGACATAATTTTTACTCTTTCTTAATAAAATCTAAAAAACCCTTTTACCACTATATATACATATTTTTTTGAAGCTTGTTGATAGTATAGCAACTACAAATTTACAATAATCACTTCGTTTGTTTATTTATCTGTAAAGATGAAACAAATTGCGAGTGAATGTTTATGGTAAGTCGAGACTACCTGGATGTTTCGGCGACAGAAGGAGAAAAGTTGACAAATAAAAAGGGAGGGAATGTTATGCTAGAAACTTAAAAAGTAAAGGAAAGGTCGGTGCATAATAATAAAATTAATGCTTTGCAAATTACTGAAACTTTAGAATCGAAGAATATTTTTTCAAACTTTTCATTTAGTTTAAATTAGTAACAAGGAAGTGTTATGGAAAATGTTTGATTTAAATCGAAATTCTTTCTGACTGTAATATTTTACTTATTCAAATATGGGAAAAAAATGTTGTCTAAAGAAAATAGCACAAGAAACCTATCAGATATCATAAAAATAGTTTCAACTGTTTAAGATTTTATTTTCTTCTCCACTTGCAATGTTTATGGTAAGTTAACACTACCTGGACGTTTCGGCGACAAATTGCAGTGCTAAACAACTAAATATTTGTCTAATTCCATGATGTAATGCTTATGTGACATTAATTTTGCTATATTTACGATTAATTCGCTTTTAGATATTAAATTTGTAAGTTAAATATTAAATTTAATTCGAACCAAAGAATGTCACCTGGACAAAAGCAATCACATAACACATAAGGCATGATATGTAAATGGTGGAATTTCGCTGCTTTCTGAATTGACATGGACGACAAATAGCCACGTAACGTGTCCACGCCACTAGCAACGTGTGATAGCACATGGAAAACCACGTCGTATCGAGATATATCTGAAATTTTCCACTTAAATGCTTAAGATAACAATCAATTACTGATAGCAATTCACATTGATTTTGTTTATAAGAAAAAGTTTTCATAAGTTTTATATTTAAAAACTATTAATAAAATTACACATGAAATTTCGAGTAATTATTTCGGAACAAAAAATGAAAAAAAAAAAAAAATGAATAGAATTTGAGAATGGTACTTGATAAAGTCGTCTTCCATACGTTGGAGTGTGTTGTTTCAGTATGATTAGCATACCCGGACAAAGTGCATAATTGAATAGCAAAAACATATTATTGATTGATGCACTAAACAAATAAAGGAAACCCGTAATTACCTGTAAATTTAAATGATTATAAAATTTTAATGATTTTTTGTAAATGTTTCAAATATGAAATTGTAAATGGATATAGCTAATTAGCTAATTAAATCAGATAAAGACTTTACAAAAACGATAAATAAGAAATTAATTAGTACTCAAATTATTTTCATTTATTTGTTTAATAATAAGTTACTTTCAATATTTTAATCAAATATAAATTAGTGTGAAATTTAATTTAAGATAATAGTATTTTTTCCAATTTTAAAATGTATCCGTTTCTGTACTCATTGATGTTTCAATTACTCGTAAATTGTACGTTTCAATTTTGACTTACGTGAGATTCACGATGTAAAACAAAAGCGATAATGATAGAGATTGGCAAGAAAATCATCGCTAATAGAATTAACGTTCCACCAGCAATGATATCATCCATATTTAATGGCTTACTGTACCAATTATCAAGTGTCACATCTGATGACACCATTTCATGTGATCTTTGTCACGTGTAATCTAAATATAAGTAAGTACACGAGGATAAGTGATTGCTGGCAAGATGGCAGTAGAAGTAATAAGTGCGCAGAGTGATCAGAAAACTTCAACTTTGGCTGTTATTATCATGCATAATTAATGTCGCGGAGTGACAGGGTGTGCAGGTGTTATCATTTAGTATTTCCTTGTCATCCTGAAAGGTGTACACAGGTGCAGCAGGTATGTTGTCATCTCTGCTTTAGGTAATTTAAACTTTCTTGTGCATATTCAACTTATCTTTATATAGTTAAATAGTTAATAAATCATATTCCATTTCATTGTGCACAAAATAAACTTTCAAATGTTGTGCAATTAACTATGATTAATTCAGAATACATATATCAATAAATAAAATCCAAATTTCAAATTTCCAGAATATTAAAAAAAAGGAAGGAAGGAGAACAAATCTCTAAAGGTATTGCTAAAGTTAGGTAACAATAAGACTATAGTGACAGTGATGATAAATTTCTATTTTTGCTTAGAAATATTCGGATATCAGCCAGTTTATTTAATTTTTAATTAAATTCAAAATTTTCATTGTCATGACATATATTATTATTATTATTATTATTATATATTTACTGCTATTATTATAATTATAGTAATTATTATTATTCTCGTGACTATGGGAAATTTGAATTTAATGAAAAATTAAAAGAGAGAAAAATCGATTCATATCGGTTAATAATACATTGAATAGAATGTATTCCATAAAGAAACAAAATTGATACTTCCAATAAACGATGTTGAAGAATAAAGAATCTTTTAATTGCAAGCAACAATTCTACATTTAAATGATTATGCAAATAGAATTAGCTTATTTGTTGGTAACAGTTTTACTTTAACTATTTCAGTAATACTTTCTACAGTTATGTTTTGATTTTACTTTCATCGGTCATTTTCGATCTTAATATGATGATAACAACTCTTAGAGATAAATTGAAAGCAAGAATAACTGATAGCGGTTCCGTATTTGCTTTTAAATGTACCGAATGCATTACGATACAGGAAAATAGCATCACAGATGCTTGCATTTCTCGATGCAACCGGATATTTCCTACGGAATAAGCACCGTTTATGAAACCAAAAAACAATTCAAATGTTTGCATAATAAGAATGCAAGAATAAGTGTTTGATAACACAAATATCTCAGTTACGGATCTATTAAACTGGCAATATGCACTTAAAAATTTTTATATCTAAAGAATTGGCTTATTCAAAATTTTGGGAAGTAGAATTTTCTGGAAACTGACTGGATGAACTATAAATCAGAAATAAATGATTTGAACACGAAAATTTCAAAATCATAATTAATCTTTTCATTGTTTACATTTTGACGTATGCTTAGACGTTGTTTAGAGTCTTTCTGTAGAATATCACTTCAACAATGTATGTGTCACATTACCTCTTGGCTGTATGTATCATTGTGATCAAAACTTTTCTGCAAACTAAAACATACATATTTCATTGTCATCTGAACTATATTCATGTGTCACTGCAAATGTTTTGATAAGAATTACTCTCTGAAAAGATAGAGAAGATTTTACAAATTTTACTTTTAAGCCTAAAATGCAAGAAACGAAAGCTGAAAAACCTATTTCAAAAACCCGATAAGTGATGTAATAAAGTAATGTTTTACTTCATCTCCTCCACTTCCTTTTTTAGTAATTTCTTTTCTTTCATCTACCTTCCATTTTAATTGCCACTTTAAACTACTTTTGCTCGTTAGCACATCAAAAAAGCATACCATTCTATAATCAACTGACATCATCTAATAACTTTCAAACAAGGAACAGTTGAATCTTTAAAAATTAATTTTCAACTTTATATTCTGAAATAAATGCGGGACTAATATAAAATTCAATACGTAATATAATAACATAAAAATGATTAAGTTTTTTTTTTTTTTTTTTTGCTGGAAAGTTAAAAGTAATTGAAGTACAAAGAAAGTAAAACGATGTAGTATATGGCATGGAAAGATCAAAAGAAGGAAGGAATTATTAAAATTATGTACATAATTCATGAATGAATGTTTTTTTAAATTTATGATTTTTACATTATGCAATGAAATGATATTGCATAGCATAAAATTAAATTATTTTGTAAATTGCATTCTTTTTTTTTTTTTTTTTTTTTGCCTTTTTTTTTTTTTTTTTGTTTGTTTGAAATATCTTTAAAGTATTTTTTTTTTATTGCCTAGTTAGGCTAGACTTTACAAAAAAAAAGAAAAAAGACATGTCATATACTAAAAGTATTTATTCATTTTAAATAAATTCATAGCAAAATTCAACGAAATATTTGTGATGTAATAAAAGGTGAAAAATTTTTCAATTATTTGTCAATCTATTACAACGAATTGATAACTATGATCAAATATATTGTGATAAATGATCAGTATCAGTAATCGGTGAGTTATCAGACAACTGCTCTATCACCTGAAGTATTCATCAAATTTTAAGTGCATAGCAATGTGTTTCAATTTTTATTAATTAAAAAAAGTTAGTAAGAAGACAAAAATATCGTATTACAGCTATTCTAATTGTCATATCAATTTAGGAATATCACAAGACTCATAAATAATTATATATATTTACATCCATTAATACGGCAATCTTTAATTACTTCATAATGACGATCGCATACCTGCTTAATTGCTAACTTATTTATTAATTTCAAAGTAATATATAATAATGTTGATTACTATTAAAAATTGAGAGAGAGAGAGAAAGAAGAGAAAAAAAAAAAAAAAACTTATGACTATAAACTTTTGATAATAACAGAAAAAAAAAACATACATTTATATCTGTCTCTATATCTCTTCGAAATATTTCTCAAATTTTTTTCAAAACTAAATTTATAATTTAATGCAAACTTTTATTTTGCATAATTTATGTTCGAATAGGATAATTAAAAACAAAAAAAAATTTTTCGACAGAAACAAAAATATCAATGTGTTGAGTGAGTATTGTAAAAATTTGGATTAATTAAACTTCAAAAAGAAAAAATTAGTCACAATTTCTAATTGGCAAATGACGAAAAGAATAAAAGACAGTGGTTGGGAAGTTTTTTAAAAAAAAATGTAAATATTTCAATTGAAAATTGCAAAAAAAAAAAGGATAAATATTTCAAAAATAGAGCTACGTCTAAATCTTTGCTTCTCGGGAAGAAAATTTGCATACTGGGGGTATGTGTTTGGCAAGAGTTTGACGTAATCAGCGTTTGCACGTTTGGCTGTGCTGCGTTTTGATTTGCTAAGTCGTGTATTAATAGCTTTGTCTGCGTGTAAGTTTGATGCAACTTATCCTTACTGTCGTTGAGACATTTAGCAAATGTGGAATATCTGTTCTTCAAGCCATGGTTTTTAAGTAGTTCGCAGAACTCACTCTTTGACCTCACTGTTTACTCCTGAAGTAACCATAGAAGCTTTCAGGTGACAAGGTAGTTCTGGTGTTATAAGGTTAGTTGGAGTATCCTTCTCTTAGATAGATGCTCTTTGGAGCTAAAAGAGTTCCAGCTACGCAGGTTTCAAGTTAGAGTTGTCTTTCCTCTAAGATGGCTGCCGAAGGCTAATGAACTTATTTTGCTCAATTTGTTGACCTTTCAGTTGAAACTTGTTCAGCATGGGAGACCCTATTGAAGCCATATGTCACCGTTAGCACAATTTGCAGTCTCACAAGTTTCACAAACTCCACCCTAACGACAAGAAAGTGTCTGAGGAAGAGGAAAAGAAGCATAATTTGATCGAGAAATGAATCCGAGCTCTTCAGGGAGCTACTGAAAAATGGGTTGACGATGTAGTTCTGTTCGAACGTATTTAGAATAATTGTTTTTACGTGCTGCATCACTGTCAGTGTATATTCAGCATTAAATGATCGCTTGATCCCACTGCTCTTAGGTAATTAGGTAATTGTGGTACTACTAATCAGTACTTTGTTATTGCTTGGAAGTATTTATAGCGATAGCAAGGAAATACTTCTTTTAGTATATCACCTATGTTTCAGTTTTCTTTTTCTTTACTGCATTGTTGCTGTTAAATATTATAGATGGTACCTCCAGAAATATCACATGTTGAAATTGTATTCGCGTCTTTTTATGATTTGAAATTCGATCTCAGGCTACAATTTCAGGTCTGATATCATCATAATTGATGAACAATTCCCAGGACATTGCAAGCGTTGATCGTATGCCACATCTGAAGCAACTGGTTTTGAGTAATGATGATAGCGCATCAACTTCTCAGCTGGATATGGTATGTTTTACGAGGTTTTAAAAGATAATGTTGATGGTATGAACTTTTCTGTTTTGATGGTTTTTCACATAATATTTGTGCTATGCATTTCAGGAAAAAAGTCAGAACAGTTTGAACAGTATGCTTGCTAACGGTGTACTCGACACACCATTAGGACAAGCTGTGACAAATTTGCATGGATCTTGGGCGCAACTAATCAGTGATTTATCAGCTCGAACAGGTTATTTACCTCCAACGCTAGAACATATCAAAGAAGTTGCGGAGTGCGCAGTTCGTCAAGTTGGTTTCATTCGATTAAACTGTCCTTAATGCATTATATCATCTTTTTTTTTGCGATTTCTGTTCTTTATCTCTTTCACTTACGCTACATCAACTTGTATTGTTGCTTTCCGTCCTATTTACTAAACAGATACTGAGCTTTCGTTGATCATGAAGTGATTAGTTTTTCAGTTAAAAGATTCGTGTCATGATTTAACTCGTGAATTTGCTCGAGTTGGTCTTGAATGGCGTCTAACGCACCCAAATGAAGCTCTTGCTGAAGTATGTTTGCTTATCAAGAATTTTAAACCGTCTTATAAGTTATGTAATAACACTGTAGTGAAATCTCAAACACAGTGAAACTTGTATTTATATTTGTTTCAGGATTTGGCGGATTATGATCAAGCCATGTTACGGCAGGAATCATTACTGGAACGAGCTTCAAGCATCGTTGAACGACGACTAAGCGATTTAGCAGCTGAAAAAAATTCACAAGGATTTGAGTAGTTGTATGATATATTCGGTCATCGAACAGCGACATTTACAATTAGGAATAGAAAATATGTAAAAAAAAATGTTCCAAAGGAATGAAAACTTGAGCTGCGGCATCGCTAAAATGCAGAATGATGACCATCTATATGCATCTCATAAGTTAGTATGCTATATCCAGATGAAATTCTTATAGATAAGAAGGTGAATACAATAGGAAATGTACAAAGTAGAGAACAAGTGTTTCCAACAAATTATTTCTTTGAAATCAGTTGCTGTTTTCCTGTGTATACATTTTTTTCGATATGTTTAACTTTGTTACTTGTAAATAAAGTCATCAACAATATCCAAAGTTTTATTTTTAGCGGTCATAACCGCATTGTGATGCTCTTTTCATCATTACATAATCCGTTCTGAGCCATATAGATTCTTTTGATGATGAAGAGACGGCGATTTTTACTACAGTGTTGTTTTTGTCCTTGTATTCATCTTTAATAATTAAACATTTCCTAGATGTGTAATCATCTAGAAAAAAAGTACATTTATACAAGTTGAAGTAGGTTTATCTTTGCTTCCTAACTGGCTACGCAAATATTCGGTTGTGACCTGATGTTGATATATAATGTTAGTGCATCAATGCAATGAATATGGAACTTCCGAGTAGTTTCACAGCTTGTTTTGTTGCAACAAAAATGGAATAATACACACGAATAATGAATAAACTACATGAAATATTGTATTTAGCGTGAATAAATTGTGATTATCCATTAGAAATTGGTATAGATCAGATAAGAAGGGGCTGGTCAGACTGATTTTAATCCTTGCTTGGATCTTGCAATAAACAGTTCTCGAGATTCGGAGTCTCGTGAGATTTTTTGAATTTCGAGATCTTGAACTTTTGGCGAATCGTGGTTATTCTTTTTATTGAGAAGAGACTTTTAATGTTGTTACAGTTGATAGAAAGAAATAGCGAAGCGATGTGGCATGAAGCACGACGACAAGAGAAATTAATACGATCGCAAATGATTGATAGCGTCAAAAGAAATGAAAGACGGAAACAGTTCTACGAGAATGTTGTAAGTTTTAGAAAGTACGTGAGATATGTGGTATGATTTAGAAAGTGCGCGAGATATCTCGAGATGATCTTGTGTTTTTATTATTACCCCGTATTTTATTATTATTGTTGTTATATTACTATACCGTTACTGTTATTATTATTAATTATTATTTCTAAATTACTGGATTACTAATTACTTTAAATTTCTATTTGTTATATTATTATTAGTCATAATGGTATGTGTCATTATTGTTGCACTTTTTATCATTATTAACTGTCCTGTTATTGCATGGCAATTCATAGTGTAAAATGGAAGTGTTACAGAGAAAAGATCCTGAGCAATTCATGCAAGTCCATGGCCGCAAATGCCAAATACACATGGATCCGGCAGTAGCACGTGCTGCCGAAGCATCAAGCATCCTGTGCGCGTTTAACATTAGTAATTTGCTCGTCTTTTGTATAAAGCATACTTCTCACCATGGATTCAATCCGTTAAATATCTTTTTTGTCGTTTAATTTTTTTAATTGAATCTTGCTCTACATTAACTTTAAATTTGACATCTCTTCGACATCCTCATTAAGTAATTTAACTTTTGCTTGTGTTTAAAAAGAACTGATAATGTGATTTGTTAATTCTTAGTTGGAAATTGTAGTTATTCCATAGATACAGACTATTTTTAGCCATAAAAAGTGGTTATAAGTACGTATTCATAGTTTCCACAATGCATTTTATTTTCTTAAAGCTATGCAAAGTATCATATTATATGTATGTTAGAATAAGTCGAAACGGTAATATAGGATTCATGCAGTTTTGGGCGTAATGACTCCACAAGAAGATAGGAAACATGAAGTAAATGGGAGAAATAATATCGGGAAAGAAAAAATTTGGGGTAAACAAAGTAGTAATAGCTTTGCTAAGTAGGGTTATGTGTTAAGCTTAACATTTTACTCTTGAAGGGTACTTTAATTTTTCTTAGTTTGTTGGTGACCATGGAGAAGATGACACTGTGTTCAGATTTAAATTGTTAGAATTTGATCTATGGATTTGCAGGAGGCGATGGCAAGGTGATCCAAATATATTGATTGATCGCTTTGATGTTCGAGCACATATGGATTATATTCCCGAAACAAAGTCAGATGATATTAATAAGAGGTAAGCTATATTATTTGTGCAACAAATTATATGTGTGCTACTCTTTGGAAAGGTTTCAGAAGTGAATTATCTTACTCAGTTCTTTGTACTTATTTTAGCTTCTAATCTGAGGAAAATTCGAGAGCTTTGCTGAAACTTTTGTTAAGAAAAGAAATACTACAACAGTATTTTTCTTTCTTCGTCAACTCCTTTATTTTTTTTTTTTTTTTTGCTTTTTTCCTACAAGTCCTTATTTGCTTTATAGAAACCTCCACTGAGATATCACAGGTTTACACAAATGAACGTGTTTAAGTATATATATGTATGATTAATGAGAAAATGAGAGTGTTTTAAATCAGTTGGTCTCAAGAAAAATGATGGATTGCAGATCCGCGGTAGATGTGGAGGAATTGCAATGTGAATATGAGAGGTATCGAATCCTTGTACTCAATGAATTTGATAGAGGTATGCATCAATTACTGTAATGTTGGAATCGCCCGGATTGTCTTAAATATCCGAGTGCAGTGCATCTTCCGATAATCGTGAAACACGGCCTGAATTAGTAGTCACTCTTCGTCAGATCCTTCGTATACATTGAATAAGCGATTGGTAATTCGGTTCACGATTTCTGCGGTTACATTTTAACATTTGTTGAAACTTTTGGATTAATATCCACCTACATCTGGATGTTATCGATTTCTTATCGCAATAAGTACAGGTTGTGTTTTATAGTGAGTTTCGTTCATTATGAATAAAAAAGTGAACTGAATTAGTATTGCAGTGTCGGAGAAAACTTTCTTGAAAGAAATAGCTGCGAAAGAATTCTGGCCAGATGAATCCACTTCAACATCACTTGCACGTACTGAGCAAGAAAAGAAAAGATTGCTGTAAAATTTAATAGCTTTTAAAAGGAATTTGAGACTTCCATAAATCTTCAGATTTTCCGAAATTTTTGCTTTTCATACGGAGTTTTGTTAAATTGACTTTGGCATTTATTAAGTTGCACTTGATGCTTCTAATTTATAATACTAGATAGGATAAAAACATGCATTTCATATTCTAGCAAATCATGAATCAAAATTATTCGCGTTGAAGCTTTAAGTTATTTCTAGGCGGGACAGAAAAGCTGCTGTAGCGTTTACATATGGTGACACGCAAACGGTACAAGGTAAAAGTGTGGAAACGGATGATTCTGATGACGAAGATGAAATTGTTGATTCTGATGAGTTTGGTAGGTATTTCTGGTTTTTTTTAAAGGTTTTTTTTTTACAATTTCATATTTTCATGAAAAATCTTTATAATCTCTTGCTGTTAATATGGACACTACTTGATGAAATAATGCGAAAGAGGTTACAGTATTCTTAGGCTCATTTCAAGATGAATTTTTTGGGATGCTGATGATTAGTAAATGATTAAAACCAAGATAATTCATTGGGAGCATTTTTAAGAGAACTGAACTTAACACAAATAAGCCAAATTAGTTCTATTAAACGTTTCAATCATTCGGACACGATTTCTTTACAGACTTGAAATTGGACATAGACACATTGGATGCTGAGCAAAGGCGCAATTTAAATAAATTGGGTATTCGCTATGGCATAAATTCGGGTGCATTCTCGAGTTTATTAAAAATGGATCGTCGTGAACAAGATGAAACGCATCAGCTGAAAGAAATTGAAAAGGCCAAACTAGCACTCGCTGTCTGTAATTAATTTGTTGAATAGCTTTTTTTTTTGTTTTGAAATAGAATTTGACTGGTGATTCAGTGCGGTCTGTCTCATTAATGGTGATGGCTATCATATGAATTCGGGTTTCTTGGAGGAGATTCTCGTTGCAACCAGTTGGTCATTCTGTTCAATTCTACTAGTAATAGTGAAGTTTGGTATAAATTACGAAAATGGACAACGAGCAAGTGGGGGAAAAAGCAAACAATTGTTTTAAAGCACTGTTTTTGTTTTTATTCTTTTCTTATTTTCATCTGAGCAGACGAGTTTACTATGCTTTCCTAAAACAACATCAAAAATATCTTATTGCAACCCTCTTCTTAGTCTTACAAGAGTTTCATAAATAGAGAATCCGAAAACTAGCATCTGAGATGGCTTACAGTATCTGATATTATTGTTTTAATTATCTGAAATTTGATTTCCTAATTTTTCTTTTAGTGTAAGACCAAGGATTTTGGAAATTTATTTTTGCATCACTGATGAGATGAAGTATTGCTTGTGTGACTAGACTTACTGTGCTTTTGAGTTAATGTTAGAATTATCAGCTTAAGTTTAGTTTTGTAAGGCTTGAAATTTCAGGGTCGACAAGCGAAAGCTGAAAGAGCCGTTTTGAAAAAGAAACGTGCGCTGATCGTTGGTAAAGGTTGTTTAAATGAAGAAGCCACAACTACTTTGCTATCATTCGTTACTAAAAGTCAGAAAGAACATTTGGAAACGTTAGTTTTCTTTTCGACTTTTTCTGGGTAATATGAAATTAAGGATGTATTTACACTGAGCTGTTTTTGTCCAAACATTTGGTTTAGTAAAACTAAAACATATTATTTTCAACAAGGATTATAACGATTGATTTCTGAAATTTATTGCTGAGAATGCATTTACTGTGTAGTTTTTGTCAAGAATGCAAACCATAACATAAGTTATGCTTAATTAGTTTATTCTAACTAGCACATTTATGCAGATCATCATCTTCATCGACAGAGGAAGATGAGGGAAGAACAGAATTTATAACAACCTTCGGCGGTGATGGTGCCGAAGATAAGGATGAGGAGCGTGATGATGATGACGATGGTGGAGCGAAAATGCACGGTCCAGCTTTACCATCTGCAGAGTTCCGGCGTATTTTGTAAGTTGTTTCATTTGTTCAATTAGTGCCAGCTGGAAATTCTGTCTTTTTAAGAATGCTCTTTTTTCATAAATATATCTGCATTTTGTGCATATTTCAGTGAATTAAAAACCCGTCGTTCATCAAGTCCGGAAGATTTCGGGAATGTTTCAAGACCTCGCGTGCGTAGTAGATCTCCTGGTCGGAAACGTTTTTTACGTTCTAGTCGTGAACGTACTCTAAGGTCAAGAAGCCGCGAGAGATTACATCGTTCTAGAAGTCGGGAACGGCGCGATCGATCGAGGAGTTCAAGTAATGGAAAGAGACGAAGACGAAGCAGAGATCAAGTGCGAAGCCATAGTGGTGAAGATGACCGGCGGTCCGAGCATGGTCGTTCAGGAAGCAGAGATAGAAGGCGGGAAGAAATGAAGATGAAACAGAGGTTAAAAATTCAAAAAATGGTTTCCTTAATATTTGTTTAATGACCAGCCTTTTTTAACTTGTTGGTACTTAGTTTTCATAGTCGGAAGTATTGTATTAGATTTCCTTATTTACTAACCATATTCGCGGATGGAAAATAGAGTTTGAGTTGAGTAAATTTCTGGGTGGATTTAAAACAACTTTCTGCTCTCCAAAAAGTCTATCATTTGATTAAAATTGTTTCAGTCGTAGGAGGAGCAGTAGCAGTGAAAGCGGTCGTAGCCGCCGTAGACGACGTGCAGGAGAGGGAAACGGGAGGTGTTTTTTATTATATTTAAATAAAAATTTTCATTAATTTGTTACTCCACATGTTTGCATCACTTTTTTCTTTCTATAAGTTAAGTTGAAGGTTCTAATTTGATGCAAAAAATTTGTAAATTTAAAAAGATTAACTTTTCTGGCTTTTTCCAGTTCGAAGAGATTCAGTGATAAAAAACGTCAGAAACGTCGAAGAAAATGTTCATCATCAAGTAATACTAGTCGCACACCACCGCCGTCATCTCCACAAGAGAGAAAGGTTAGAATATGTGAGCTTTAATCGCGAATATTCTTCATAGATGTAGCCATCTTCTTGAAAACCAGTTTTAAGACTATCTTACTAAATTCACATTATTAATCATTAGTAAACCAAACAGTTATCTTAAGTTACTTCTGAACTACCTGAATAACAAACTTTTCGTCATGAAATATTAAATATTGAGAATTCATAATCTAATTGTATTTGTCAAAGGCAAAGTCGTATCAAGTAAGTCAGTCATCAGAAAGAGGGAGACGAAAGTTTCATGCATTTCTCCTCAGAATGTACTATTATATTACAAATTTTCTCCAATTCCCAGGCATTGCACCCTTTATTTTTTATTTGATTCAAAAATCGATTTCTTTTCCTAAATGTATTATTTTTATAAAAGAGTCATTTCTTTTAGAGCACAGGTTCGGTTCTTTCACCAAGTCGGAGTAATGGTGACACTTCACCTTTAGAAATTCGTTCAAGTATGAGTGAATCAGAGAAGGAACGTATTGAAGTGGAAAACCGGCGTCGACGAATACGTCGAACGGCAAAAATGCATAGGTATGAATGAATTGTGATTTAAATCTTTTCTAACTTTTTATCTGCTCGAACTCTTTCTCTATTTTATTTTTCGTGAGAGTCCTTAAACTTGTCTTATTATTTCCTTATACATATCATCTAATATGTAAGAAATCAACTTACTCAATGTACTAACTGATTAGCGCATCTGTTTATTCTTTGTTATTTGAAGAATGCTATTCCACAAATTCTTTTCAAATATCTCTTTCCGGAAGATGTTACAATTATAAATACTTGGGAACGTTCATTGGTTTTCTCGCCTGCAAAAGATATGATACTGTTCCATAGATATTATAATTTTCAGGCAACAGTATGGTAGTAATCGTCATGATCGATCATCAGAAGATGAAGCAGAACGCGTAAGTCTCTTATATATCGTTTTATTATTATTTATTACTTATTATTATTATGATTGTTTATAATTTATTACATGCAAAAATGTTTCTAAGAAATGTAGGATTCAAAGAGATATTCCACATCTTGATGAAGTCTTAAATTTTCAGAAAGCTGCGCTTGCTCATAAACTTCGTACGCAGATGCAGCGAGTGTTACGTAAAACGGCGGAACAGTTAAAGGAAGAAGAAAGGCAGAAGCATGAAGAACATGAAAAAGAAAGAAGAGTAAGGATTTCATGTTTTTTGGTTTGTTGAGTTCAAATTTTATAATCTTGCTTTTTTTTTTAAAGAAATCTGACTTTTCTGCTCACAAATTTCTTTATATCTTCAGTTACGTGAGGAAAGATTATTCGAAGAATCACTGGAAATCAGGAGACGGTAAGCGTTGAAAATGCATTGTTCTTATATAATTAATATACACTGTTCTTAGTCTAGATAATATATTTTTGATTATTGTTTTTCATACTGTTAAATAATGGTGCCTATGAAAATTCTAACCAATCCAGGAAAGATATTGAACAAACAACATGAACACGCTAAATCTCACTACTATATTTTAGGGAACGTGAAAAACGTCGACGTGAACGTCGCGGTCGTAGTAGAAGTAGTTCAGCATCGTCAAATTAGTTTCTTGTTTTAAAAATGAAAGCCATTCATTTTTGTACTTGATTATCATTATCACAGAGTTCTTCAGACCATTTGATTCGTTAGCCCTTGATTTAGGTTCATAATCGAAATGGACTTTCCAGTTTTGTTCTTAAGGTCAGAACATTGTCTTTTGTTTTTTCTACTGCTCACTTTTTCATTCCTCTTCACTCTTCCTGGCTGATTTGCCCTTTACTTTTATTATTCTTCTAAACTTCGTAGGCTTTTCAAATTGAGGCTATAAGGTTCTATAAGATAGAGCATAATACTGGAATATTTCAGCAATGATTTTTTCTTCTTGAGATTCGATTTTTTTATGGATCCGATGCAAACATTTTACTTGCAATGAGAGATTTTCATGATTATGGCTGGGTTTTTTTTTTTTTTTTTCAAGTTTTATCGAAAATTTTTCAATAAGTATAGGATGGAATTTAATTAATGACTTTGCTGAGCGCAAAGATTGGCAATCGTGTAAAGGTCGCGTGTCTTGTTTTCTCTTAATACTTTAGAAATCAGCTGACGATCGAAGATTTGATCTAAGCGATTGATGATCTTAGCACATCTCGCATCATAGGTTATTGACGCTGACCGTATTACTGTAAGTTTTGTTGATGTCGATGACAATGGCACAGTATTTTTTGATATCTATAATTGTAGAAGATTACAATACGATCAATTGTAATTATAGTTTCTCATTATTTGAAAATAAATATTGATACTTTGTAACTGAAGTGAATGTTTGAAGGCAGTCATAAAAGTATAAAAGTAATCATTTGGACAATGTTAAATTTAAGCTTAAGGAATATATTCTTCGCGTCCAATGAATGTAACATCACGTCTATTCAAATATTTGCTATATTTCCAATTGCAGTCTTACTGTTCTTTCAAGTTGAATTTTAGTCGCGGAAATTCCTACCATTTCCGATTTTCGTTGTTTTCTTTTTTCTTCTTTTATTATTGTGGAACCTGCAATTACGAAGGAATTATATAACTTATGATGAAAAAATGTTTTTGTATTGGTAAATATGAGTAAATTATTATCCTTATAATTTGTTTTACTAGTATTATCAATCAAAGGCAGTGCAAAGGATTGCGTTAAATTCTTTCTCAGAGGATGATGCTAATTAAGGAATCGATGAAATGGTGATCATTCATCACAAGTTGAATAAGCTATGAAGGGGAAAGGAAAAAAGCATTTCCGAAATGGTCGTTAATTTAAGATTACGTCTTGATGGTTAAATCTTTTAAGCAAAAATGTTGTTGCCGAAATTACATTCCCAGAAAACAAACGAAAGAGAAAAGATTGATAAAACAGGTAAAATTTGATAGATTAGTATTTTACAGGAAGCTGGTGGTGATAGCCATCGTTTTATCAGTTCTTCAGGATGCATTAAGTTTAATTTGCCATCGGATGGACATTTCACACTAATAATACTGTCAATTGGTTCCTTCAATTATGAAACAAAAATATAATTGCTAATTTTTTAACTTTACAGCAGTATATTTAGCAGTTCATTAATAATAAGTTAGGTTAACGACAGAATATATATTTAATAATTCCAAATCTCTAAAACTCATTTTCCTGGATTGTTTCAATCTATAAAAGCTACTAATCGCTTTAGTCCCTGTTTATATTATCGTTTGTATAACAGAATATATCGTAGTAAAACATAACATTACATATATACTGGTAAAATATAACATTATATAATGACTTCAGCTAAAATGTGACCATCAAATAATTATATTTCAAATAAACATTAATTATTCAAATGTGGAATGAAACTTTTTATGAAATATGTCACATTTCACTTTTGTATTTGAAGTTTGAACTGGTATAACTTTTGGTATCAAACAATTCTTTGTAGCAATTTCATCAAATAATGCATCGATCGTGTAAATAATTTCATCCCGACGTTCCGTTGTCCAACGTTCTCTACGACTGATGACCTGAAATATGATAGCTCGACTAATCAGGTCATCACTAACACATACATATTAATCAATTGCCCCTTTCGTGAATCATTTTAAAATCGTCTACCAAAGACAACTTAAGTGATAATAAGATTTTCTACAAATACTCAGTTGTGCATTGATAATAGATAAGTTAACTGATAATTTACGAAGAATGATTATGGATAGCAGTATTTCTCACAAGCTATCGTGACACTTTTCATTAATATTATATTTCCTGAACGTGATTACACGTTTAGCGCAATGACTGCACATATTACAATAAATATGTCATCAGAAACCTTATCATAATCTTTATCATTCGGAAGACAATATAAACGTTGTTGTATGAGTTCGTCAGCTACCCAACAACCATTATCATCATCTTAATATCATGAAGATTAAACGCAATTAAAATGATAACGAGATTTTCAACAAATGCTCAAAGTTAGTGTGTCGTATTTCTTTAATTATAATACTTAAGTAATAAGAATTATTTTAATTATAATAAATAATAATAATAATGCAATTATTACTGCTATGCTATTGATGTGAAATTTTAGTTTTAAAACTCACTGAATCATTTGTAAATGTATGGATTCGAAAATTGACACATCAATTAGTATACTTTTGATTACTTAAAAAGATGCGAAAGAAAAGAAGTACAATGGATTTCCCAATGATTACTAATTTATTAAGTACCATTTTTTGAAATTAAATTGATTTAGTTAGTTTCAAAATAAAAATTTGACGTTTTTTTTTTTTTTCACTACTAAACACATCCTAAATATCCTTTTGTACTGATAATTAGAATTTTTGAGATAAAAATAAGAACTAAGGATGGAAAAAGTGAATGATATTAATTAATCTAAACAGAGGAAATTTTTTAGAATATTACGCTAAACATACGTATGACACAAAGTTCGGGTAGGAAACGAAAAAAACGGTCACGTCCGTAGTGTACGAAATCGTTGCTTAATGGACGAAAAATAACGTCAATTCGACGTTCGCTAATTATTCGACGTAAGTCTCTAAACAATAACAAAATTAAATTTTATTTTTGTCCGATGATTAAGTGAGCATATTTTCTGGGCTTGCACGGGTTATTAAAAAAAAAAAAAAAATCATATTTTCTGGGCTTGCACGGGTTATTAAAAAAAAAAAAAACAAAATTAAAATCGAATAAATTTAAAATGAATGTTTTTTTTTTTTATGCGAAATTTTTTTCTTCGACTGTTTTTTATTTTATAAAGTATGTATAAATATTTTATTGCACAAAATAATTTTAACTTGAATTTTCTAATTATTTTTATTTTATTTACTTCATATTATAAAAGAACCTGAAATAATAAATACTATATTTTCAAATAAAAAAATATCAAAGAAAAAACTTGTAAGAATATTCCTTCGCTATGTCACCAAACCGATCACCAGATAATACGCTACCACCGTAACGTTCCGCAAATTCTAAAACGTATAAATCATCGTAATTGATAAATGCCGGTCTACCGGCACGTGCGGTACGAGCTGGCGTAAATGTTAGCACATCCAAACCTTGCAATTTCTGTAAATAATTATTTCAGTTCTTAATTTTCCACTATTAATTACAATTCTTAAGTCTGCTTCTTTTTTTTACTATATTTTTTTGTATTTGCATTCAAAAAAGCAAAGTTGAACAGTTGAACAGCTTTAATAGTAAACATTTTGCGATGTTGTCATTTTGTCCTCTAAATAGAAAAAAAAAAAGACATTATTTTCTTATTACTAACCGGTAGAACTTGTGCATTAGTTGCATTAAAATTGCAACTATTGTTATAAATTATGGGTAGAAATACGACAACATCCAAATCTCGAATTAACAAAAATCGTACAATTGCGAGTAAACCAGCACAATTAACATTTCTGAAAAATTATTCATGAACGGAGTAAGCTGTATTAAAAAAAAATTAGAAATGCAATATTCATTTTCAAAGCGAAATTAATATTCATATTGTAATTTACAGGTAAAAATTATAATAATCAAATCAGCGCTCACAAAATATTGTTTTAGTTATTATTACTTAATTCATTGTTGTCCCTTTCCTACTAGACTTACTCACGATCTATTCCGCTTGAACTACGCGCAATATTACAACCATCGATAACAATGAGACGTGGTATAGCGGATTCTGACGGTCTTACGTAGATTTGTTCTCGTATTCGATCAAACGGATACATCACATCACTAGATGATATTTCAGAAATGTGCGCATCTTCCACAATTTTAAGTTAGAACTAATGTCTTCGTATCATTTCACTTTCTCTGTTAATCTTTTATAATTACAAATTGCCAATGTTAAATTAACTTGCAAAAATTATCTAATTATTATAATTCATAATTAATTGCCGCTTTCTCGTACTTCTTAATTTGCTAATCTTATGTTTCATACTTATGTTTCATACTAATTACTAATTACCATTAATATTTTAATATTATGTTTATATATTTTCTCTTTCATTTGCTGAAAAAAAAAAAAAAAAAAAAATGGAAATCTTTGTGGTAATGGAATTTTGTTGTCAATTTCAAGATTTTTGGAAACATGAAGGATTATTTTTACATATTATTTGCTGACAAAAATAACAAAATATCTGATCAGATATAGCATTTTTGTTGATGAAAATTGTGAGGACATTAAACATACGTCGGAATGTTTAATTTAAACACCTGATCAACAGCACGATAATTGATAGTAATGAATTGTATTTCAAATTAGAACACATTTTGAAGTAATCGAAAATCTGATGCAAATTTTTTGTTCAAATTTGTTTTGTAAAAAATTAAAGCAATAAATCATTCATAAAAATAGCCTGAAGAATTTATTCATTTACACTTTTTTCTATCTGAAAATAATATCATTTATCAGGCATTTATCAGGGTCAAATTAATTCCAATTAGCAACATTCTCGAGTAGAGTTTGATCAAGTGATGCTGGTATTTACATATTTATAAACAAACATGTGCTATGATAAACTTGAAATTAAGAATATCATGAAGATATAATTAAGACATAATGAGTAATCAGGAATAATAAGAAATCATTATAGCGATCATTGATATAATTTGGTTTACTAAATTTTCATCAAATATTAATTACTATATTTAAAAGAACTATTTCCTGATGTTAACATGTCAAATATTATGGCAAAATCATTTGTCGCATAATTTGAACTGACAACAGAACTCACTGTGTACAGTAGAATTTATAAACTGCAGCTAAAGCACCAATTTCTTTGTTTGTCATTTTGCTTTTGAGCAAATTTTAAATTTTGTGATCATCATTATTTATTACATAAGCTAATGCTCCCTCCTTATAAACAGTGTAAAATTTGAAAGGTTCACAAAATGTTTTGGGTAAATAATACCTAAATTGTTTAATAGCACAACTGAATATGAAAATTTTATCTGTGCTTACAACAAAATGGACATTAAATAGTTGAATTAAATGTATTTTTAAAACAAAAAATTTACTTTTTAAAAATTTCCGTTGCAGTAAATGTGATAAATTAGCATTAGGTAAGAATTTTTTATATTCACAGTATTGTTCATAACTAAATTTAAGGATTTCAAACTCAACTCTGCCATTTAATTCTCAACTTTGCAATTTAAGAACTTCAAATTCAATTCTGCCATTTAATTCTCAACTTTGCAATTTAAGGACTTCAAACTCAACTCTGCCATTTAATTCTCAACTTTGCAATTTAAGAACTTCAAATTCAACTTTGCCATTTAATTCTCAACTTTGCAATTTAAGAACTTCAAATTCAACTTTGCCATTTAATTCTCAACTTTGCAATTTAAGAACTTCAAATTCAACTTTGCTATTTCGAACAAACTCGTAAGCACCTGCCACTTCTATCTCTCATATCATTCTTTACCCTACCAAATCTACATTAACTATCTCTCTATCAACTCAGAAAATCCACCGAAGCACCCAAACACCAACACAACCTCACATCACATCACACCAACCCTTCGCTTCGCCTTTCTTTCTTCCTTCGTTGGTGAAATTTGTTCAATTTTAACTGAAAAGTAGTAAACAACCATTATGCAAATTATAGGCTCATTCTTGTTAATAACATTTTGTTTGTTTGAAGTGTTTATCGAGATTCTACGGGTTACTTTTTATTTCGCATTATCGTTTTGTTTATATGTTTATTGTGCTTATCTATTTAATACTGTTTAGTTGTTAATAGAGAACTCATTAATTGCTTCGCTTTGTTTATATGTTATGGCATCTTCATTTGAATAAGTATAGGATTAATTACTGTAATGTGCTTTGTGTTGCTAGTGAAAGGTGTTAGATAAGTTTAGAGTTGTAGTACCACTGGTGATAACTAGAATTTTTGTGCAATAAAATGCATAATGGTACCACAGTGGTGATGAAAGCTAAATTTAGCATTGTGATATTAATGGCAGTGCTATTGATGATGAGATGGTATTGTTTTGCAGTGAATGTAAATTGTCGTTTTCAGAAGAAAAGTTATAATGACGATCAAGTTATCAACTTACATTTGCATCGTATTATTCGGCTCTACGTCATGGCTGAGTACAAATTCTGTATGGTTAGAGCTGCCGTTACTTACCGAGAAACTACCAGAAGGGTGGAGTTTGCCGTCGTATCTGACTGTTGTCGTACAGGTAATCAAATACGTAGCCATTTATCAGGCATTCAAATTGTAAAGTATATTTTATATTATATTTTGCTGGTGCCGTATGATATCCGGCGTAGCCATTAAAATGTCCATTTTAGCGCTGTGAACCAGCTCGGATGTACGCTTGAGTCATCATTCATTCCTTATCCAAGTTTAATTCACTATCTGTATAATACAAGAGTTCACATTTACATGTTTCTATAATAGTAAAATGAATAGAGATTGCAGAGTGAAGATAGGTTGTGGCATTATTGATAGCAGGATTGATTATTCGGTCATTTCAATCTGTTTGATTTCTAAATATGGTTAAATAATGAAGTGGTTAAGTTAATTTAACATTGACAGTAACTATGCTTAGATCGGATAGTTACCGAAATTATGTATGTGATAGCTGTAAATAATACGTTATGTATATTTTTTTTTTGGATCATGCTAATTTAAGCAGACAAATGACTGTATCCGTGTGTGTCAAAAAGTTTCTGACATAAAGTAGCCTTTCTCTTTCTATTCATAAAATGCTTCTTTAACTACAAAACGACAACCTTTTTAGGGAACTTTTTAGTTAATTAAGTGTATAAGTATGGCAGCAGCAATGGGCAGGTTTTTTTTTTTTTTTAAATCCAGTCGACTAATGCTTAATAATATATCCAAACATCATACTAATAGAGTTAAATGTTAATGAAATTAAATATGTGCATCGCCTTTATTTTCTTCAAATGTTTCAGATTGCTTCTATTGGTCCATTGATTTACAGTATCATACGTAAATTATCAAAAGTATCTATTCCAATACCAGCTATGATCTTAACATTACTTATATTTTGCTGTTTGTGCACCGTGCTGATGGCACTGTTTTGGTCTCAAACCATCTTCTTGTTTGGGCAAGAACGATCTGTCGTACTAATGATCCTACTTTTTGGTACATATCTTTTTTGTTAGAGTTAAGTGTGCTGTTATGTAAAGATGATTTAAATGAATTGAGATTAGTATACTGATTATTATTCTGCGATATATTATAGCCATATAACTACATGGAAAACACGCTGATCCAGAACAGAACTTCAGCTACATAATGCATTCATTGCCTATGAAGGACATAATCTAATCCTAGCAAGTAACATAGATCATAATTTCCATTAAAGTTCCTTGAAAACATATGTGTTAAGTATCTGGTATGAATTGTATCATTTTGGAGAATATCTGGGATAGCATGAAATAGCTGATGTTGATTGTATCGCTTTTCAGGTATGGCATTAGTTAATGCAACATCAAATGTACTTTTCATGCCATATATGGCTACGTTTCATGATTCTTACTTAACGGCATATTTTGTTGGCATGGGCTTAAGTGCTTTATTTCCGAGTATTGTTTCGATTTTGCAAGGTTCCTTTTTTCTACTTATTTTTGCTTATTAATAAAAAAGTGCAGATTATCCGAATTAAATTTGGTAGTCTATCGGTTAATATTACTATTCCTAAGTTTCATTCGGTAAATTTCCGTCTGGTTTTAGTCGTATTAAGAATAAAATGATATCCAGTAGACTAATCCTTCTTTTAAAAAAAAATTCTTTATTCTAGCTTTTTTACAGAAAGCATACATAGACGACAGTAATTAATATTTTATTCGCAGTTCTATTTATCTCTTATCTTTTAGGCAGTGGTAATAATTGCGTTGTTGTAAATGGAACGTCGATACAAACCAGTGGTATTTTACAATTTGGCGTTAAAGAATTTAATTTCATAATGCTTAGTTGGATGCTTCTTGCTACCGTTGCATTTGTTTGCTTAATTTTTCTTAAAAATGCTAAAATTGCCGGAAAAAAAGAACCTTCAACGGACCAGTCACCTAAGAAATTATCTCCGTCAGTTGATGAACCTGGCTCACCTAGCAGTAGAGAATTTAACCCTTTGAATGTTAGCTTGCTTTTTTGTTTATTTTTTGTATTGTTGAGATAGTTTTTGTAACACTATTACATCTGGCAATAGCAGTAAAAATGAACTTTCAGAAAGAAAAATTCCTATGTCTAGCCATTAATCTTAACTTGTTAACCAATCCACGGGTCCCAACTTGTTGTTTATTGAGTAGTTTTTTAGAAATACATCCCATTGCTTCTGACACTAATTATCACTGCCACTCTCATGCCACCGTGAAATGATCAAGTTGGATTCGGAATTCCATTTGGGTATAAAGAGTATATTTAGCAATGATAGCCCATAGAGTTATGCAGTCAATCATGTTTTCTCTTATATTTTTTTCCAGCAGTGTGCGGAAACGTATGGCGCTGAAAATAGATCACGTACTAATAACTTACGATTCATGTTATTATTATTTTTGATAGCATCCATAAGCGCTCAAATGAATGGAATCGTCCCGAGTGTTCAAAGTTACGCATCATTGCCTTTCTCTCAGGTTCTGTTTTGTGAAACTTTCGAATTCGATAATTTTCAAACTGAATTGTTTTTTATATTCCTTCTTCATTTATAGAACTGGATATCTTTATTCTGTTAAACTTCATTAGTCTCTGAACTGAATACCAGTACCATCATGGTTAATTTATTGCTCTGACGCTTACATGCTTGTATCATCATAGCAATTTGCCAGGTGTGTCCGTCTGTTTGCTAGATTTACCATAGATCTGTTTCCTCATATTTTTCAATCCTGACAATACTTACACGGTTTTGCATATATCGATGCTTTATTCACTATCGATTTTGTTTATTCTTTATTCTAGCTTTTTTTTTTTTTTGCAGAAAACATACCATCTTGGTTTAACATTATCGAATATCGTTTCACCAATTGTTTGCTTTTTACCCCTTTTTGTGAAAATTAATGGTTTACCTGTGTTGGTGTCATTAACGATGGTATCAACAGTGCTAACCGGATTGATTATCGCTTTTGCAGCTATGAGTCCGACACCCATCTTGCAATTTTCTGCATGGGGATCTGTTCTCATTGTATGTTAATTTTTATGATTAAACCTGGATTTTCCCTCATTTCATTTTGAGGGATTTATCTTTTTATATCTCAGTGAACCGTCAAAATTTAGAAATTTAACTTTTAAACAATTTTTTTACATACATATCAGTATTATTTGTTGTTATTTCTTATCAATTTGCCTTACATTTTATTACGTTTTGATGAGTAGATTAAAAAACTGGAAAAATTTTTTTGTGATTTAACATCGTTGAGATAAGCAAATAAATACTGAAAAAAGGTTTAAATAAATTTTTATTTATTTTAATTTTAGATAATTGTGGTGGTTTGCTCTGTAGCATTGAATTCATTCCTTCGAACAGTTCTAGCAACTGTATTGGGTAATGACACAAATGATAGGGAAATGAGGCTTTTCTGGGGTGGATTATTTATACAGGTTGGTATTTTTTGAGATTTTAGACTCCAAAAGTTTAATTTTGCAGAAAATTCAGCTTTTTGACAAGTTTTCTGAAATTTAAACGGTTAATGATATGCTTTCCTAAGTTTCTTTGTTGCAAGAATAAGTATCTTTTTTAGACTTCGAATCCATTGTCGGTTCTTTTTAACTTTTCAACTTCAAATCTATTGTCGTGACGTTGAATATTTGAATATTTAAGCTAGTGGCAAGGATATGAAAAACATACAGAAATTGAATAGAGTAAAATTTGAAAGATGAGAAGAGATGAGAGAACATTTTATCTTATATTGCAGTGTACTTCATTTATTTGACTTTTGTTCTCTTAAATTTTTTTTCCAGGTTGGATCTCTTCTGGGTTCAATTGCAATGTTTCCATTAATCAATATCCTTCACTTGTTTATTCCTGCACCACCATGTCAATAGTACATGTATTTACCTGTTAGATTTTTTATTTCCATCCATTTTTTGAAAACTTTATATCAGCAATTGTCAAACTATTGTTTTGGAAACCGAATCAGTTCCTTGCAAAGTTATACAATTTTCATTCCCTATTCATCATGTTTGATTAATGAAAGCGATTGCAAAACGTAGTGTTTGAAATATAAAGAAGTTTTTGTGAATATCGTTAGCCTACTCAGATGGCTATGTTAGCTTAATGGATAAAAAGATTATTCCTAACAGGAATGATCATAGAATCAAACATTGATTTAGTATACTATTTCTAAGTTAATAAATCATTCTTAAATGTTTATGTCCTTATATTTCACTTAGTATTAATTGATCTTTCATGTTGTTCTTTCCAAAATTTTCTCTCTGTCTTTTTTGTTGTTTCTTTCCAGAACTAACTTTTCTTGCACTTGAAGAGAATGTGAAACTTAGGTCTCCGTCATATATAAATAATCGTTGTCACATTCAACTGTTCCATAATTCAAAGTAACCTGTGTAAGGCGAAACTCACTGCAGTCATTGAAAGTAATTTCAAAAAGGTCTCACTGAAATGAATTCCAGAAAAAGTTATGTTAATAAGTTTGCTGTTATTTTGCTAACTGTTTATTTTACACTTTTTTTTGCTTGATTGTTATTTGTTTTAGTATTCATTTTGTTATGTTTTCTTTCAAATACTTCATTTACCAATACTTCATTGTAAATCTCGATTAATCCTTCAAAGTTACATTGGTAGTTTCTCATTGCTATATTTGAAACTAAAGCCGGTCGCTATTAAGATGACAAAAGTTTCCAAATTCAAAAGAGAGATGAAAGTTCTGATTATGCGAGTTCATATGTCTATGATTAATATTTTAGTTATTTATATCTGTAATCAAAATGTATTTTGTTTCGGATGCACGGCAAATAGTCATCTTAGTCAGGTGGGAATATTTAAGATATTTGCAGTAAAATCTGTAAATAAAAATAGCGAAACATTCCTTCATTTCTATTGCATTACTTTTGTGATTAAAAAAAAAAAAAAAAAAAAAAACGGGAAAAGTAGATGCTTTAATCAGTAATTTCTTAAAAATTATCATATGATAAGGTTAAAAGTAATAGTATTGTCGGAAGATTATAAAAGAATTTTATTCCTGCAAAATGTGTCATTTCCAAATTATTTGACAATGTGAGTTGTGCTGTTTCTTTAAAGATGAAAAAGGGGAGCGAATTGTAAAATACTTTTATTGTAAGACTGTTTTGTTAGAAAAAAAGAGAAACACATCTTTTTATGTATTTTCTTAGCTTGTAAAATTTTAAACTTTTAAAATATTTTTTTATGGGTTTTTTCGTACATATATGTGTGTGTACATGGTGTAAAGTAAAGTTTAATTAATTGTATAGCAGTGTTACTTCTGAAATTAGTAAATATTTTTGGATAAGTTAATTAATTGACTTATAAGGAACGAATTTCAATACTATTTTACATAATAAAGCATTCGTTGACTTAGAAAGATAAATTATTTTTGTCTGTCCTTCATTCCATCCATCCATCCGATTGTTGTATTTGTTAAGGCTGTTGAATGGATCAAAAGTTAAGAAAGATACTACAGTAAATACATTGAACGATGTTCAATCAATCTTCTCGCAAACATTGCATAATTTACCGCCACAAACAGAAAAGTGTGTTAATGTATTAGAAAGGAATATTGGTATCACTCGAGAAAATGTTAATCTTTTCTGAAATTTGCTAATGCAACGAGATTCATTCTCGTCTTTCTGTTTCAACCACTTATTAATTAGCCAACGAAGCTAATGCTAACATGAACTGAAGAATTATATACCAATATAATATTATAAATTCATTTAATAGTATATTTCCATCAATAGAATCATAATAAAACTGTACTGAATATATAAGCTTCAGGTGATGATTAGAATAAATGTAAACAAAAGAAATGACAAGAGAAAGTTTTGTTTCATTCCTTAATCATTTCATACTAAGTAAATGAGTTAGTTGTCAAAGTAAAAACTTATTTGAGACATTCTTGTTCACAATTATAATAGTTTGCTTATGGAATTTTGGTTTTCTAATAGTTTGCTTATGGAATAATAGTACTGACGGCACTGTATTTGATGTTTGGATCAGAAGGTCATTTCGTTTGCGACCTTATTTGCTTTATTTATCCAGCCTACAAAAGTCTTCGTGTATGTTTCCTACAAACTGATCCAAATGTTTTGAATTTTTTGAGCGAAAAAGAAAAGTTTTTCATAAATTAATGGATTATTTTTTTTTTTTTTTTATCGAGACAAATACTTCGAGACTTGTTGATTTCGTTATTTTCGGTTTTCTCATATAAGAAAGTGTTTTTGAAATTTAATGCAATTTTTAGAAAATAGATGAACAATCAACAAAACATGCCTTAAAATGGCTATTGTATTGGACAATATTTGGCACATTTACACTGATTGATCAATTTGCTGATGCTATCAATCGAATTATACCAATTTACTGGCTTGTTAAGGTATTTTCAGACTTAAATCTGAAATTTAATTGAATTGGAAATAAGGTTTACTTAATAGAATAAGAAAGAAAAAGTCGAAATTGCAGAAAATAATCGTTATTTTGGTATAATTTTAAGCCTTTTTATTTCAAATAATTTTTAATTAGAAATTATTTTTTTTTTTTTTTTGGATCCATGCTATCTCTTTTTTTATGTAATTTTTCTGACTTTACCTAATCATAAGGTAGCCAATTTCGAGACCCTTTGATAGTAGAAAACATTCATCAACATTAATTTTTTTTTTTTCCTTTTCCAGTTTTTTTTTTAAATAATTTAATAAAAGAATTTGAAAATATGTATTCAAGTTGATAATTGGAATATTTCTGGAGCATTAAGTTGCAAATTTTATTTAATGAATGCAAATGTATTTTACTTTATTTCAATTAAAGTAATCGTTATGTTGTCATTTGAAAAAATTTATTCATATTGTAATAGAATTTAATTATAAAATGTACGTTTTCGAATGTATTTGAATATATTTAACTGTAGTGTACATTCTGTGTGTATTTGTTTCTACCTCAAACTGATGGAGCAAATCGTTTCCGCGATACTATTTTAGCACCAATTTTTCTATTAATACATTATAAACCTCGAGAAATTGTCTCACTGTAAGTTGCATTTTATTTTATTTTATTTTTTATTTTTTTTGAATATTCCTCTTGCAATTTATTTAAATTTTCAAGTATTACTGACATATTTCTTCATTCTCGACGTTTCCCTTAAAATTTTAGTTGTAAAATAGAAGTTAGAGAGATGAATATAGAGAAACTTTTTTTTTTTTTTTTTCCTTTCAATGTTTTATGTTTTAGATTTGAATTACAAATAAATCGATCAAATGTGGGAATACCCACCAAGGCAGTAGATTCGTCAACATCACCCATTCAGGCCAGTATTGCGAAGAAAGTAGATGTCGTCCGGAAAGCGCAAATTCCAATAATCTTCGTCATTGGTATATAATGAAAAAGTCTTATCAAAATTTCAAAAAAAACTTTTTATAGCAATTTTTATTTCATTTCTAAGAATAATATAATATTCAGTAAGTGAAATGCAAAGCTTAACAAAACTTTGTTCAGATTATCCCAATTAAGATTATCTTTCTCATGAAATAGGCGCACCTGGTGCCGGAAAAGGAACGCAATGTGCTAAAATGGTTGAAAAATACGGTTTAACGCATCTCAGTACCGGTGATCTTTTACGGAACGAAGTGGAATCGTGTGGTGCAAGAGCCGATTCATTGAAAAAAATGATGCAAAATGGGGAACTTGTTCCAGCGGTAATTAATTATTATGATTTATAACATGTTTTTTAGATATACAAGATATCATCTCTTTTTTTTTATATCTCTCTCTATCTGTTTGTCTCTCTTTCTATGAAAGATTGGGATAAGAATGTGAATTAAAAGTAATAAATAACTCATAATAAGAGTAATAAAAGAAGAGATAATAGCAATATTGAAAAATATGAATTTAATACCAACATGGGATCTTTTATTGATATAACTTTACTTCAATGCAAAAATACTTCTTAATTTTCATTTCTAATGGATATTAAATCATTTAAATATTAACTTTTAGAGAATTGTGCTAGATTTACTGAAGGAAGCCATGTCACGAGCAACGATAAATGGCAGTCGAGGTTTTTTAATTGATGGTTATCCACGTGAAATTATTCAGGGAGAACAATTCGAACATGAAGTCAGCTAATTTTTATATTCAGCAAATTAGTATTTGATTATTTCAATATTCAGGAAAAAAAAAGTAAATGAAAGCTGTGAATTTAGATTTTTTGAAGAACTCAACATGCTGCTTAATTTATAGGTTCAATCACCTGATCTTGTCATCTATTTCAAAGCTGATAAGAAAGTACTCTATGAACGCTGTATGAATCGACAAAAAATAAGGTTCCATTATAATAGCCAAATTTGCGATGTTTATAAGTTTAATTATCATCATCATATAAGAAATAAAATATTTAGTGAATTATTGGTGGAACTTTTCGGATTCTTTATTAGGATATCTCAAATTAAAATTTTATAGTGGCCGATTTGATGACAGCTCTGAAACAATCCAAAAACGATTGAAAACATATGAAATTGCTAGTACCCCGGTAGTTGATTACTATAACCAAAAAGGAAAGCTTCTACAGGTGAAATATCAATTTCATGAGTGCTAATTGAAAATACAAGGAATAAAACTGAAATAAAGGACTCATTAAATATTATATAGATTTTAATAGGAAATATTTTAACATTAAATGATTTCCCGGCTGATTTCTTCACTAATTTACTTCCTGCAATTAATTTATTTCAGTTTTTTTTTTTTTTTTTTTTTTAAAGCTGAAACCATTCCACTAGAATTTTTGTTAAGATAATATTATTGTGAGTAGAAATTCAAAATTTAATCACACCGTAAACGTAAGTAATTAAATATGAAATAAAAAAAGAAAGATAAATGTTCTAAAAACTTTCGAACTTATGCTTCTGTACATTGTAGACATTCTTGAAACTTTTTGAAGCTATATAGTACCGTGAAACTTCATAACTTTATCAATTACTGATAAAAAAAGAAGAGTTGATATAATTATGCAATACCATAAAAGATTATTTTGTTTGAAATTCGGAATATAAAACTGTAATAAATTGCAGATAACATCAGAAGGAACAGTGCAAGATGTATTCGCGATTGTTGAAACTCATTTGGACAAAGTAATATCTAAATTTCGCAGCTAATAAACAAATGTTCTGATGACAATGAGATTTTAATAATGGAGTAGTTACTTTATGATCGTTTCTTAATTGTCATACATAGCACTGTCCAGAGAAAATAATTATTTTGTCATGATAAATCGTTGAATAACAATTGATGAAGAATGAGAAAGGAAAAAATGCTGCGAATCTCTAAGTAATGTCCACTAAGATAACTGGTCATTGGTTATTATACTCCTGTTGATATCACCGTAGACTTTCTAACTTGTTATGTGAAATCATTTTATATATGAAATGACAAAATGAATTTAAATTTGAGTAAGAATTTGTAAATTGAGTCTAAATATTATGAATCCTTTGAGGACCACTTCGAGTCGTCTCAGCTTTAGTGTCACTCATCCCCGTATCTTTATGCATGTTTAGTCCTCCACCCTCCCATAGTTACCCGTTCTCCAGGCAACAGCTGCCCAAGCGAAAACTCACTTTGGAGTCAGAAATAGTTGGTAGGTAGCTCGTACCTGAAATAATACCTGGAAAGCGATTGGAATTACTAGCTAGTTGGCTGCAGCACAATTAGCAGCGACAGGAAATGATATTATTGAGGACAGGTAATTTGGCCTAATTAACAATAATTAATTAACTCTTCTCCCTTCTTGCGCTTTATCTTCTTTTTTCCCTTTCTTTTCCCTTTTTTCTCTTTTGTTTTTTTAGTTTCCTTCTGTCTTTCTTGTTTCTCTTAACCTTTAACCTTTCATTTTTTCGTCCTCCAACATTTCTTCTTGTGGTGTGTTGTTGACAGTTGCTTAATGTTTAATGTCTGCGAATGAACGCTTACTATTATTGTCATCAATTTGGGTAGTTTTAAATTTCTCCCTTACCCTTCATGGGTAAATATTTACCTATAATTCTTAATAAGCAGCCCAGCTACAACTTATATCCCATTTCAGCGGTCATACACTTTGAATTCCTATTTGTCTTCGCTTCTTTACTGTACCTTCTTTGCTTTCTACTTCTTACATCACATTTCACATCTTTTTAGTCATTTGACCTTTAACCTCTTCCACTTTTCTCCTTCCCTGAATACCTAAGTAAGTAAGTAGTAGGAAAGCACTGAATAAGTAATGATGAAAGAGAGATCTGCAAGGGAAAAAACCTCTTATTTCCAAACAACTATTTAAATCTCGAAAGTACGGAACGCCAATTTTCATAACAGGCCATTCCGGTGGTATGTCACTCGGTATATTACGAGTGTCGAACGTACGTCATGTCTTCCTCATTAGTCAAGTGTTTCTCACGTACGATCACGTGCTGTTAGTGTTTGTTCTTTGTATTTGGTAAAGTTCTTGGTGGGAAAGTGGTTCATGACGTATACTTTATGCTAGGATGTTAAAGCGAATGTCTTTCTTTTACGTTTGAAAATATATCAGTTAGAGACCGAAAGTAATGAAACAATTGTAATGATGCTATAGTAAGTAAAGATTGCATTAACAATGGTCGAGAATTCTTGCAGTTTGTATTTCTTAAACAGTAGCTAGCATGTTAGCATGTTTTACAACGGAAAAAATAGCAAATCCGATATATGATTAAGAATTACTTCGATTTTTTTGCCGAAATAAATAAATTTTCCAAGATAATGAGAAAAAATAGTGCTAAATCCTTTCAGCTTAAAAGATTTTTTTCTTTATTTTTCTTTAAGATCGGTCAGGAAATAACATAGTGTAACATATACAGTTAAGTATAGAGATGATACTAACCAAAATATAAATAAAATAATGCGGTGCACTTTATTTATTATATCCTATTTTCTCACCAGACGAAATATGATGCCAAGATCTTGTGTGAAATTATTTAGCTACTGAAAAGAACTGGAAAATAAACTAGTTACTGTTACTGTTCGGATGTTTGAAATATTTTTCTCTGCATACCGTGACATTATCTATAGTGTCGTAACTTTATTGAGTTCAGTTGGACAGTACTGTTTTTAATTGTAATGGCTAAAGTTATTTCAGCTTTGCAGGTTTTCGTGAAGTATTTATGATTCTTTTTTTATTTTAATGATTACATCGTTTCATTTAAGCTGGGAAAAAATGAGTTCTCAGCCGGATCCGACCAAAATTATATTACCGTCGCCAATTCGTGTATCACCTCTGTTGCGGTTTATGCGTTATTCCTTCCTTGGTAATTTTACAAATTCACAAGAAATTAGTATTTTTGTTTATGCTTTTATAATTTTAGATTTTGAAATTAATTATATGGACAGAAAATGAGTTACGGTATTGTCGTCTAAATCAACGGATAAACATTGTCTGGTAGTTTTAATTAGAAAGTCTTTAAGGAGCTATTGTCTCGTTGCTCAGCTAGCAAACTCAAGTAAAGTGTGAGTTAACTAATTCCAAGATAATTTAAGGATTAGGTGTTGTTTGGGGATATTTTCGCTATCAAATGATTTGCGAGAAACATGCAATTGTGCGACAAAAAGAACATGAGAAGAAGCTTGAAGAGGCAGAGAAAGAACGAATTCTTCGTAAACAACAGGGAGATAAGAGCCTCTACGACATTTATTTGGTAGGCTGCTAAGATTGTTACGATTTCTTATGTAGTCCTGTTTTAGTTATATAAGATGCAGAAATATCTTCTACATGAAGGGGAAAGAGGGATTCTTATTAAAAATTGTAGATTTGATTTCTAAATCCACGCGCTGATAAATTTCTTCTATTTGCTAGTGTGATGGGAATAGCTTTCATAAAATTTGAAATCATCTACAAACACGTAAACATGTATTTCTGAGAAGTCGAAAAATATTTTGTAGTTTTTGCATTATTGTAGTTTTATATTACTTTTTTGCAGGTAAACTGCACATATTTCTATTTTTAGAACATCCTGGAAACCGATCTTGATGAAGGTGGATCGCTTTTTGGTAGCGTTCGAGAATAACGAAAAGGAAATCGTCTACGCAATTTCTATGCAGTTTGTTAGAAGGAAAATATATAGTGCTAGGTATGATAATATAAAGCTCTCAGTTGATCTGACATTTCTATTTTGTGTTACTAATGTAATATATAAATAAACTTTATGATATTAGTACATAAAAGTAAGCTGCGTACTTCCAAAAGAATATCACTTTATGATATATATGGGTTCGAAACAGTTTAACAAATCACCAGTGTATGAGTATCACAGGAGTTTAATAACTCTGTGAGCTTAATGAGATTCTTGGTGTGACGTCTAGCATAGAAAGTATGATGCAGAAATGTGTTATTGCAACATAAAGTGTTTATTTGGTACTGTCACTATTTCAAATAACAAAATTGCCTGAATAGTCGGAGACATCTAAAAAGGTAAGAGGTCATAAATTCTGACGGATTTGATTCAATGCGTTGGGAGGCGAGATGGCCGAGTGGTCTAAGGCGCTGGTTTTAGGCACCAGTCTCTTCGGAGGCGTGGGTTCGAATCCCACTCTCGTCATCAGGTATGCTAGACGTTTGAGACCTTTTCTTGTGGGATTAATAGATAGCAACAACGAACAATTTTATCTTTCGCGGCTGTCTAAGAAATAAGAAGAAAGGTTTACATGTGATGAGAAACACATAACTTTTACTTCTACCAACAGTGTAACCTAAAGGGCGAATCGATCGATCTGGTGAACCTCAGTAGCGATATGTTTATTTGAAGGAAATGTTCCAAACCTAACCATTCTTGTAGTGTTTCGGCATCTTAAACTGGTAGATGTCGTCGCAGTCATAAATTACCGATGCATGGAAAGCGTAATTTACCAGTATTAATAGATATTCCGAGAGTGCGAAGAAATCATATGCTGCAATAGATTAGCAAGTGACTAGATTAACAGATAAGGTATCATATCAACTATCAAAACTTATTACTATCATGTAGGATGCACACGTTACTTATCAGCACTGTACACCAACTATTACTATGTGGTCAATTTCGAAGTGGTAAGTTTGCGAAGGTCGCTGAGCAAATGTGGTGAGGAGATCGAAAGCAACTACGGTGAACGGATTTGATACAGTTGTGCTCTCAGGTGACAAAGACTTATAATCAGGTAATTATAAGGTACAGTCACAGCAGTAATAGGCTTGTACTCCTGACAAAGACTTCTGTAATCCTAATTGAGAATATGAGAAACTAGGCTCATTAGCTTAAAACAATAGATTCGAGTATACCGAAATTATAGCACAAAATCCAATACATCGCAAAGAATAGGAATGTGACTGGTAGCAAAGCAATATAAACTAGCGTTAAGTAAAATTTTAAATTGAAACTCCAATGTCCCTGAAACACAACAAATAGTTTAAGTGAAATATTATGTAAAATTACGTATGTGGCCTCCATAACTTTAATAATTTTGATCATTTCAGAAATTAAAAAAGAAAAAAAAAGGCAGAAGAATAACGGAATTATGCTTATGTGCCAGTGAAAATAATCTTACATTAAAATGTTCCACGTAATGTTTACTCCTCCGATACGTCGTTGTAATAACCGTGAAATGTATTGCGCTGGAGAAAGCAAATATCATGAAGAAGTGAACATGCCAATCTGTCAAGTATATTTGTCATTGAAAAACGAAACATACAAATTATTCATTTCATCTCACATTTTAATGCTCCTTTTGTGCATAAGATTTTGTGAAAAGAATTGTTTGTCAAAAATGAGAAAAACAAATTTTTTAAAATATTTACTAAAATGTGTGCCATGCAATTGATGCGTTTCTTCACGTTCGCCAATTACCGTTAACAGCAAAACCATCAGAATCTCAACCAAACCTGACAGAATGATAATCCGTGATAGCACTTCGTGCAGTTTCCGGTTACACAATTCATTTGATGGAATTCGACAAATTCTATCTGGAAAACTAATACCAAATGTACGATTAAATTTCTTCTGTAAAGTATCATAGAGGAGATATAGTGTTAGGTAAGTCAGTGTTAGACAAAAAATTTATAAATCGGATTTCTGATTTATGAAATTTTTAACAATCAGAAGATTGGCTTTCTATTTCAAAATACTTCATCATTAAGCTTTCGAACAAAAATCTGATCGGAAACAACTCCGGAACCAAATCAACATGAGTTGAGACCTGATTTGCTGGTAATGAAAAAGTGATTGCACATATGTCATATTATTCTTGTATTTTTGAATATGTATTATATATTCGCGATATCGGCTACCAAACAAATGTGTTTAATAACTTATATGGAAGGTTACTAAATTATATTAAATTATATTTATATTTGTGAATAATGTAATAATTGTATTAAATTATATTTATATTTGTGAATAATTGCGCATTTGAGAAGTAAAAGATGGAGAAATTACAACTTACAATTTGTTAAAACTAGAAGAAATCGCAGTGGAAGATGAAGGAGAACTGCAGCATTCCAAATGATTCGTTCCTTTGGTAAATTGATAATTCGCGAAAATGATGGTATATTAACGAGCTATCAAAGAATGAAAAATGAGGTGAATTACCATCAATGATTCGAAAAATAAGTGAAATAATTATTGTAATTCATCAAAAACAAATAACAAAAATGAAATTGTTACTACTAAATGAGAAAAAAATATAAATTTATGTGAGCAGTATGAATTAAGCTTTAGTTTTAGACTTTTTTAGACTAAGTGAAAGGAAAAAAATTGCAAAATTTATAAATGTTTTTGAATCTATCATTTCCACTTTTCATATTTTTACTTCAAAAATTATTTTAAGAGTAACACTAAAAGAATATCAAAAAAAAAAAAAGATTAAAGGAATGAAATAATTAAAATAAGCTTACCCCACATGACCAATCATAAGCTAAAATCTGTTGATAATCCAATGAAAATCCAAGTAAAAAATCAATTATAAGGGCTAAAATAGGTGCACCAACGGTTACAAGGACATAATTTTGAAATGAAATTTGAAGTAATATTATAAAATCCTTCTTGTTATCATCTTTTTGAGTATATGGAACGTTGCTTTCCTTATTAAATTTCATTTCATCGGTTTCTTTCATCCATCCATTCACTTTGTCATTCGTCGTAAAATGCACCATTACTTTTCTCTATGCAATAACAAATATTTATGGATAAAAGAAGCATGTCAAAACTTGAAATGAATTCATCTCGTTTTCTTATCAGTAATATCTGTTCTTATCAGTTACTCATTGATTGACATTTGGTCTCTCATAATGATAACCGGAAAGCAAATGGTGCCTAATTCAGTACGTCTGTTGCAGGCTGATCAAATCTTGATTTCTGATAACATTCGAAAGCTAAACTGAACCAAAAACCAAAAAAGAAAAAATTTGTTGCTGTTTCTCTTCCAGCCATTACTTCCTTTCCTACAGTCTGTTGAAGTTGGTAACAGGATGTGGTCTTCCGGATATCATCTTCCGACATTTGCAAACAATTTCAGGAAATTATTTACAAAAGAATTAGTATCTTTTTCAGATTGATATTTGATAAAAAAAATACATTTGTTTAATCATATCCCAAAATTTCGCAAAAAATCTTTATTTTCATCCCAGCTGTATTAGTTGCTTCTGAATTTGTATTACGATTTTCAGTATATTATTTGAAACTATCAAATTGAACAATTACAAATTAAAATTTCATTTTAAATTTAAAAGGATTTAACACAGTGATACATTAGAACAAAGTGTAAAGGAAATAAATCGATATCAGCAGTCTAACGCTGATAACTTACAACCATTTGCTGATACCGCACTTCACTACTGATAAGTATTGATAATTCCGTTTCCTGTATAGCAGCAAAGAATTTAATCGATTCTGTGCAGGAAAGTAAAAAGCGAAGCAATTGCAAGGTATTAGATAATGAAAATTGAAGAGAATTGGAAGATGAAAGAGAAATGAAAATTTGATGGTTTTCGACCAGGTGAAACCAGACAGAAACCAGTAGAATTGAGCATTACCTTCTTACTTCTTTCCTTTTCGGCGGCGTTGACAAAGAAAAAGAGGTCAAAGGACATCAACTGAATTGCATCCTGAAAGTTTGCCTTTATAAAAAGAGCATAAATAAGATGATTGATTCAAATTTATCACATAGCAGTGCCTTGTGATTATGCAAAATTCATACTTAAAGATGGGCTATGACAATTCGAAGGATTTTTGTTTTTATTTTTTTGGAAAACCTAAAGGGAAAGTTTATTTTGATCACAATAAACACATGGAGAATAGCAGAAAATATACTAATTTTGGTCTTTTATATTAAAATTTAATTTATTACTTTACAAAAATTTCAGTTTTTAGTTGATGGAAAAAAATAGAGTTGAGTAGGTTATTAAGAAGTATTTTCCAAAAAAATAAATTTGCAACTAATTTTGCAATAAAAATTAAAATTAAAATTTTTAGATGAAAATATGAGTGGAAATCTGCAGTGGCAATGCTTGTGTTTACCTTTTAAAAGTTGTTGAAATTTGACAATTTCCATATGATACTTACTTTTTTTGTGAAAAAAAGAAAAAAATAATTTGCATTTCATTCATTCATTTTTTACGTGTTATGACGTGATAGCACACTTAAAAACTCAAAATCCCAAATTTAATTGAATTATTGAAATTATTTGCATCACTTAATTTTGTGCAACAATTTCAATTTTTTAAATGTTGGAGCTTTTAATGTGATATTTGAAGTTTTTTTTTTTTTTTTTTTTGTTTAACTTGACATATATTCATGTAATCCTTTTCAAATCCTTTTCACACGACTCATAGCATTTCAGAAATATTCCAATCTTCATTTTTTTTGAAATTTTAACTTCAAAAATTTTCTTATAATTTTCTATCTAATTCCAATTCAAAACCATTTCAGCCATAAACTATTCTATATTCCGAGAACCGAAAATTGCTCGTTAAGAAATTTTTTTTTCTCGTTTTTCTTCTACCATTGTTGATTTAATTTTATAATTTTGTTATGTGGGAAAAACTTGTAATAATTAATAAAAAAAAAAATGTAGTAGTTAATAATAATAACGGTTAATAATTAACAATTAATAATAATAATAATGATAATAATGATAATATAATAATAATAATAATCCGCAAGTATCGTGTGGAAATAAAATTTTGAAAGCCACTATGAGCCTAAAAGTGGGTGCAATGAAATTGTTTAGTAATTTGATTTAAAAAAAATTTTTTACGGAATTTTGTAAATTATCACAATCTCATTCTTTCGTTCTGCTAAAAAGTGGCGGCAGAATGGCAAATGTAAATGATTTAGAAAAAAAAGTTGAAATTAAATTTGGGAGAAATTTGAAAAATTAATAAATTATTCGAATAAAAAAGGTCTTTATAATGAACAATTTTTTAAAGATTTTATTAGTAACAATTTTAGCAACAATTTTATTAATCAGAAAGATACAATTGTTTATGGCAGTTTCAATCATTTTTTTAAAATATTCTTATCAAAATTGACTGATTAAAATATATTATGCTAAGGTGATTGTTGTTGGCTTTTCCGTTGTCGTAAAATAAAATCTCTAGCTGTCCTCTGAAATTTCACTACTTTTTGGCTCGGATATAAATGTCTCATCAATGCTATCATTCATACTTCCGCCATCACTATCATCATTGTCATCATCACCATCATTATCATCATCATCATCATCATCACCATCATCATTATCATCACCATTATCATCATCACCATCATCATTATCATCACCATTATCATCATCACCATCATCATTATCATCATCATCATCATCACCGTCATCACCGTTATTACCATGATCATCATTTCCACCAATTTCATCATCATCATAATCAGTATCATACTCGTCATTATCACTATCACTATCACCGGTATCATCATTTTCTTTATCACATTCTTCTTCTTTGTCCATTCTACCCAATATGAATAAACTATCGCCACTGACTTTTGTTTTTGAAGTTTGCTAAAAATACGTAGCATAAAATGTGTATCTGATTTCTCAAAAAAAAAAAAAAATCTCATTTTAATATGAAAGTGAAAGTTTAAATAAAAAATGCTAACTTTGCCCATATTTTATCAGTTTTACTTTGCTTAAAATTAATTGAAGGCAAGTCAATCGATTATTCCTACCAAAGATTTATTAAAAATACCAATAAAGCAATGTATTATCAACCGTAATTTGAAATCTAAGATAACTTCAGATTAAACATTCGTGAAATATTTGAAAAGACGTACCAGGCCGTTTCTATTCTGATCCAATGCGGAGATCATTGATAGTTGATCGGAATTGGTTGTTAACAATCTATTCGGATAATCACTTTGTATACTAACTTTTCGTGTTTTATTTCGTGTCTCCGTAATGCTTGCCTTGTACTTCCGTTCGAATCTTAACTTCAATCATTTCAGGAAATTTCAGGAAAACTCGGGAAAGCGTACCGTAATACAGGTTAAGAACAAGTTGAAACTTCATTAATGCTTGCTCACTCTCTGTTCTCCATATTAGTAGAGAAAGATCTGACATTTTGCAACTTTTTAATTCAACCACTTTGAGTTTTAGCTAGTGACTTGTACATAACAAAGGTCAAGGAGCAAAGGTCATTATGTGATGAATAATATTATAGATCACCAGTGAATGCCCATGTTGTCTATTAACATGCATTTTTCACCCCTCAGTAATCAACGTAAATGCAATCCTTACTGATATGAATTCCGGCTCATTACAAATGCAAAAGTAGCATCCGGAAAATGTCCATAGCGTAGCGTAGCGTAAATAATGATTTATTGAAATTGATTTACACGTCCTTCATTTCACTTATCAATCATATTACTCATTCTATTCCACCTAATTTGTCTTGCATTGGTTCAGTAAACAAAATTAACTTATAGCTTTTATATTTAGCAAATAAATTTAAATAAGAATGATAGATTGACACAGATAAGAAGCAAACTATTATTGTGAATAATAAAGAAATTAACAGATACCGCTGCATTTTAATTAGCATTTCTTGTTGTTCTACAATAAGCGCCCGTGCTTCAACTCGTCGTTTCATCGCTTTCAATTCATTACGATATTCATCTGCTCGTTCTTGCTGTTTTAATCTACATTTTAAAAATTAGCATAAATTCATTAATGAGAAACTAATGCACAAATAATGACAATTTATCATTCTCAAAATTACGGAAGATGAATGAGACGGAACTTCATTACTTGAATAATAGATTGGATTAGATTAGATTAGATCAGATTAAATGAGATAAGATAAGATTAGATTAGATTAGATTAGAATAACCATCTTAAAATTTAACACCAAAAGGTTTGTGTTTGAAATTTTTTGCATAGAATATAATTCCGCAAATTGCCCATCTGAATATTATTTCAAGATCTTTCTAGAGAATTTTGCCTTTCCAGGATTTTTCTAGACAGTTTTAAGAGTTCCCACAAAATTCAAATCTTTTCAGTGAATGTCATGACAAACTAATTAATTTACAATCCATTAATCTATCTAAAAAATAAGAGAAGAAGATGCTAAGCTTACTTTTTCTCCTTCAATCTACGTTGAATATCACGTATTACGGTAACTTCGGTTGCCAATTTTTGTTTCAGTTTTATACGTGCCAATTCATTTCGTTTTCTCATTAATTCCCAATACTTTCTTGAACAATTTCGTTCACTTTCCATTTTTTCAACACGAATCCTTCAAGTAAATGAAATCCTTTGCTGTGATCGTTTAAATTATTATTATGTTAATTTATTATTGCTAATGTTTTATTAGGATTATTATTGTTTATTATTATTATTATTTAGAAAATAGAAAATAGGAAAAGAGTAGAAAAAAAAAAAAAAAGTATTTTATTATTTTTACTCAGAATTTTTGCGATAGTTTTTTTTTTTTCAAAAGTTTTATTTCTACTTTTTCTTCCAAATTCCCTTATTTATTTCCACTTTTATTATACAAATACCGATTAGCTTCATTACGTAGCAAAGATGCGTGATTGAGACGTATTCCCGGTCCGTTATATTCTCGCAAATTACCCAGCGAATAGCTACGACGATGTATTCTTGGCGACAAAATTTGATTATTGCACTAAAATTTTACAACTATGATTTATTGCAAAATTTTTAAAATGTGTGATTTATAATGAACAAATGCACATGATCACTGGAAAAACAAAAGTAATTATTATTTAGCCTAAAATATCGTCCTAAAATACTGTCCTGAAATATTGTCCTAAAATATCGTCCTAAAATACTGTCCTGAAATATTGTCCTAAAATATCGTCCTAAAATATCGCCCTAAAATATCGTCCTGAAATATTGTCCTAAAATATTGTCCTAAAATACCGCCCTAACTTCCATATGAAATGAGGAATCTCTCTGAATACACAATATACGACTGTCATTTGCTCCAAGAATATGAATTATTGATTTATTTCGAAAAATTGAAACGAACGAACTTTATGAGTTTGTATTCGTTGATCAGTTTGAAAACAAAAAGGTGTTACAACGGTTATAGGACGATTTGCTGCTGCTTTTTCTAGTTTATTTAATAATTGCTCGTGTAGCTTTTTAAAATTTGGTACCTGAAATAAGGATGTTTGAGAGGTGTAATTGCTGTTAAGGTGCTATTAAAGTGGTGTGAAGGTTGTTAGGTACCAAACATCATACCATATAGTTAGTAAGTAATTTAGTAGAAGATAATTAATTTCCGTGGTATAACAGCTAGCAGATGCAGCTTGTAAGAATAATTAGAACAAAATTATTCTTAGAAATTAAATCTCTCCCTCTCTCTCTGCGTTTCGATTCTTTTACCGATAAAATGGAAGTAAAAATTCTGCAAGAAAAAATAAATACGACTGAAATGGATTTTATTCCTATTTGTCACTTAGTATTTTATTGCATTGTTTTTATTTTGTTATTCTATGCAATTATCCAATTTTATCCTAAAATTAAATTTTTTGAATTGTAATTCAATTTATATTTGATTCATATGTATGACAATTAAAACTAATTAGAGTTAAATATTGATTTTGTTGTATTAAACATAAATTGAAATTATCTCTGTTGAAAATTAATATTTTGTTTGACTTTCAATAGCAGTAATTACAATTCAAAAAGATTTTCACTTATTGAAAAGTGATTCTTTCCTTTTGCAACTAATCGTTTATTGCAAAATTTCTTCCAAACTTTATTAGTAAGTATAAAAAAGTATACAAATTAACCATACGTTCCGTGAATAGCAGACGTTACGCTTCTTCTCGTGATTCACGCAGTATTTTCCATGTCGTAAATGGTGCTGCACTTTTGATTGCATTGCATGTTTCTGCAGTTGTAACTTTAATTTAATTCACACAATTCATCATTCATTGTTTCAACTTTGTTATTAATTAGGTTTCATCCTAACCTTTCACCTTTTATTATAACTTAGTAAAATTTTCAAATGTTCATTATTATTTCAGCTCGACAGGTGTAACATTGATGTTTACAGATTGGCATGCACAATTGCTACTTGTAATATTTTTTCGTTTTGTCATTTTATAATCAATTTTTTTCTTTCATTCATATCTTCATTTCAAGAATAAATTTGATAAGCTAAATCATTTTGATAATTGCTTAGAAATGAATGATTACTAAATATAAATGAAAATATAATTTTATCACTTTCTTTCAATTTGCTTTATTTTTTCAATATTTCTTAAATTTCTATATATCATTATCAGTTTTCATTTTTTGATTTTCAGTTCCTTCCATTTTCTATGTTATAATTACAACCATTTATTTGAAATGTTGATTTCAAACTTTTTAAATTATATCCCTTTTCTGCTATTTCTGTAAAAAAAAATTCCACAGGTAGGGTTTGAAATGAAATAATAAAATCAGTGGTACCTCAAGTCCTGCTGGTGCTCGACTTGTTCGAATCAATTCTGCTGCTCGTTCCGTCTTCCGTCGTGCCCTTTTATATGCTTCAATTTCATGTTTGTATGACGGTACGTAGACGCTAAGCGGAACATCTTTTGCCTTGAAGGCCTCTCGTTTACTCCATTCGGATGCTTCAGCACTTATACATCGACGCAAGTGGAAGCTTTCCGGTGCTAAGTTTGCACTCACTGCCGGAAACCGTACTTTTCCAAGTATTTCCATTGCTTTTTGGTGTCGTGTTTGCCGGGCCTAGTTTTGACTTATATCATAGGTACACGTCACGTGGTGACATTTTTCAGGTAAATTAGGCCTCAAACTACTAAAGCTCTAAGTGCATATTACTTACGCTGTTGTCATTCTCATTAACCAGACATAAATCTATCTTACTAAAATTTGTCATGCAAATCAGAGGACTAATTATTATAATACCTGCTCCTCCTTTTCACGTAACTGTTGATAACGTGGCTCATACGTAGATCGTGGTACTTCTCGAGCTCTATTCCTGCAGTTCAGGTATATAGCCTAGTACACTCAATGTTTTTCTACTCTTTGGCCAAATAGATGACTAATCTTTAGACGCTTATAATACAGCGACATAAATTATTGAAAAAATTTTTTGAAATGTCTTAAAATGCCAACCGAAGATACATTATTTCTTCCTTTTCTCTCATTTCTTCAACCTTCTTCTTTTCCATTAATTCGTTCATAAATCGCCACGAATAAGACGATCGAGTTGATTTCCTATTGTTTCTTAATATGCAAATTAGGCAAAGATAATAAGTTTTCTTCTTCTCTTTTAGAAAATCAATCGTCGTTTATTTAAAAGTTCTTTAAAGTGAACACATTCTGAAATGATTATTCCTCATTTTTTTTTATAAATTTAAGGAAAAAAAGTGATTCTTATTAAACAAATAATTACTTTAAGCGCAATTTCTCAGTATTACTGATGTTATCAGTAAGTTATCAGTAAAACTTTTTAGTATCACTAAAAATGTTATCAGCATTCCTCAGCATATTCATACCTTTCCTCACAGATTCTCTGTTTTTGGGTTTGCAGTACTGACTGCATTGACCGTGAACGTCTGTACGAGTCTTTTCCGTGATTTGCGTGAACGCAATTGCATGAATTGGATAAAACTATAAATACAGATAATAGTATAAATGTAAACAAAAGTGAATAGTTGTTTAAAAAAAATATATAAATATAATTAAAATATAAATATTAAATATAATTAAATATTAATGTAAATTGGATTGCATAGAATATCGTAATTAATTGTAATTAAATAAAATTAAAATATAAATATTAATATAAATTGGATTTGCATAGAGTATTACCATATGTACAGTACAAATAAAGTGATTACAACAAATATGAATATAAATAAACAAGATGATAAAGAAGTATTTTGATAAATATTAATATTGATAATATAATTATCGAAGAAGTATGATTTAATGAATAACAATACGATAAATTATAGTAATGGAATATGATAATAAGTGATAATTGATAATACAATAAGGCACAGTGTTCGATTCTAATTTGCATAAATTGAAGAAATCTTTGTTTATTTATTTTTCCTCTTTTGACATTATCAATCCTTAAAATTATGATTTGTAATGGTAGAATATAGGATTGAAGAATAATAAAGAATTGAAAAAAAAAAAAAATTCAATTTTTTTAAAATCCTTTTTAAGACAAAGTTATCAAAAATACGCTATGATATTATTATCTATCCATTTCTCTCTCTTTTTTTTTCTCTAATCATTTCTTGATTCCTTTCTTATCACTGATATTTTATCATAAAGTTTAATTTTTTTTTTTTTATGTCTTGAATAGCTAATTTTCAGTTTACAATCATTCATCCTACTGCATATTTCATAAAATTATTGATTAATTTAGAATAATTTCGAGAAATTTGCAAATATTTATTAGACAGAAAATTACCACAACATTGCTGATCAATTATATCAGTACGACAAATTTTTATTGATGCGACAGATTTGGATGAGTGCGACAAGTTGCACACTTTGTCAATCACTGCAAATGTCTTCTTATGCTTTTGTCGTATACGCATTAAATGTATCATGAAATTTGGATCTTCCAAACGATTTTTATTCTGGAAATGCAAAAGTTTAACAAAAATTTTAATTAGCAATTTCACTAATCTGATTTACTAATTATTTGATTTACTAAATAAAATAATTAAATGAATTTTTTTTTTTTTTTTAAGTTAATTTACAACAATATCAAAAATTTATTATAGCAAACAAATTGTTGATTTCAGAATATTTGCAAGTATAAATCGATAACCTGTAGAATAGTATCCAAGAAATGATCAGTAGCATCTAAAGCACGCTCCATTTCATCTATCATTGCTTTTTTTTCTGCTAATATAAATTAAATTTGAACGACCAATTTTAAAACGAAAGAAAAAAAAAAAAAAAAAAACATAGAAAGTTAGAAAAGATTAATTTTATAATTGTGCGCAAAGTGTACCAAACTCATCGGATTGTTTTTGAAGTGCGCAAAGAATACCATCTAGACTTTCTAGGTCATATAAATTTCTAGGCTTTATAACTATGCTTATCATATGGATCACAAAAAATTTGCAAAGATTGTTTATTGCCTGAAATGGGCAAAAAAAAAAAAAAAAAGCTTTGTCCCAGTAATATTAAACTCTATTAGCAGTTTTTCGGATTGAAATTAACTAACGAAATATGAAAGTTATCACTGAACAGGCGCTGTTGACTTTATCACCTACAAAAACTAAATTATATTAAAATATGAATGGAATGATACGACGTCTTATTTTACGTCTAAAGCTAAATTGAAGTGTAATAGTAGAAAGAGACTGCCTTCGTTGTGGGTAATGGTTACCCTGGTGATTAGGTATTGATCCGTAGCACATCAGATTCATTCTCTTTTTCAAAACAAAAAATAAATTATACATTTCCTCCTTAGCATAAAGGCAAGTGGATGAATATATTCGAATATATTTAGAGCATTTGCATCGTTTAATCTATCCAATTGCGAATTAATTTGGCAGAAAGTATTAGCAAAACGAAATTAGCATAATAATCTAAAATCTGTAATTAAATCTTTAAAAATTCAATTAAACTCAAGCTGAGCTGTTTAGGTGCTATACAATTGAATTTGCTAAGGTTTTTTCTTTGTCCTCTTCTCATTATCAGTGATCATCATTATCAGTGATCTTCTTCGGTGATCATATCTAATCAATTTCAAAAATATTCCTTTGCCTTATTCAAATATCATAGCCATATATAATCAATCAATACATTCAGTTTAATTAATAATTAAATATATTATTATGATACGTATGTTACTTCATACGTAAAATTATGACGTATATTATTTCATACGTAAAATTATGACTTTTGAATTAATCAATTCTTCTCTTTCTCTTCATTTTGCATTCATATCTATAATTTTTCTTTTTTCATTGAAATTGACTGTTTCTTGAAAAAGTTGACAAATCGTTATGTTGATGATAAAAAATCATAAAAATGCATTAAGCTGCTATTATATTTAGTACTATTGTTGGTATCACTGACCATAAATAATAAAAATAATAATAATAATAGTAATAATAAAAATAGTAAATAGCAATAATTACTCAATGATAATTGATAATAGTAACAACTAATGATAGAAACTGATAGTAATAATCAATATAATTAATAACATTGATAACATTAGTAATGATAATAATAACATTAATACTGCAACGAAGTAAAATTTGCTGCAATAATAATTTTTTTAGCAAATTTTGTTACAAAATTTATACTCTATTAAAATGACAATTTTTCAATCTTTGAATTATTAAATTAAATTGCCATTTCAATTTGACAAACAAAAATGTCCTTGAAGATATTGTAATCATTATCAGTCATTTCTTGCAATCTCTTTCCACCTCTCCACCTCTCCACACCTGTCATCACACATACCTGTAAGGCCACCTTTCCTCTAATTTCCTTTCTCTTTCTATTTCTCACATTCGCCATCGTTTGACGCTTATCTTCATCCTATACTTTATGTCTCTCTGTCAAATATTCCACGGGATCATTCATTCCCTCAAATCAGAATATCAGCAGTGATTATCAGCAGTATTATGATATATTGCATGAACTGTCCCATCTCTATCGTAACGCTGAACTATCTGTCATCATTATCATCATTGTTATCACTGTTATCATTGTTATCATTGTTATCATCGTTATTATCACCACAGTCACTACCATCAGCAATGAATTAATTACATATCGCTATTCAGGTTGAAGTGCTGATCACCACCGAAAGAGCGATATTCTAGAACGGTGCAAATAATTGCAACCTGTCTTACTTATTCTCTCTCTCCCTGCTTTTCCCAGCAGTCTCTTCTTGCCCTCTTCTCTTTCCCCAATTCCCTCTTATCACCTCTTATCTTGCCCAACCCATCTTCCGGGGTATGTGCTCTGCCCTAATCAACCCACAATTACAATTAGGTCTTTTCGCCATTTCTTTCATTCATCCATTATCATTCTATATCCTCCACTTAAATAGCAGTACCACTACTAAATCCTTTCATCTTATCTCTTATATTTTAAAAATTTCATAGTTTATAAATTATAAAATATCATCCAAACAATATTCCTTACATTCCTCTAACAAAAGTCCTAAATTACGAACTGTTAAAGTTTTCATTCTTTGAAAGGTTTCTGCTCAATCTCAAAATTCTAAATCAGTTGTTAGTTATTATTCAGAAGTAAATATCATTCTGAAAATTGAAAATACATACTTTTTTCATTGATAATATTAAATCGATAAAATTCAAACTTTACAGAATTAAAAAATGACAGAAAATTTTTTATGTGACCAATAAGTCTGTAATTGAATAAATTATAATAAAAATATCATGAAATTGTGCAGAAAATTGCGATGATATTTAATATATTGAATTTAATTTTGCTACAATAAATTTCCATCACAAAAATCTTTCAATTTCAATTTATTCTTATCCACAAAATTCCATCATTTCAATTTCTTTTGATTTATATCAATCATTGCAGGTGGCAATATTTTAATTATACTTCACGAAGTGCTATTAAAAAATCTAACTTTTATTCCAATCGTTCGTTTGCTCAGCTCAATTGATCGATTCAATAATGACAAAGATTAATTAACATATGATTGAAAGCTTATCTTAGAATATTTCAAACTTCATATGCTAATTACTATTTTGTTTCCTTACAGAACCATTGAATGAGTCATTCACTCAATCATTCACATCGAGTATGCATAATCGAACTAAAATTGTTGTATCATTCATATATATTTATTTATTCGATTACTAAAATTTCTTTTTTCTTTTTGTTTATTTCTCGAATTGATGAGTCATTTCAATTTTACTTTGCAATAATTTCAAAAAGGAAAAAAAAAAAAAAAAAAGAAATTAATGGTTAATCGTTTATGATTTTTCTGCCAATTTTCTACTTTAATTGCTCTTTTATAGCAAAAAAATAAAGGAAAAGAATGAAAGAATTTTTAATGATACATACCAATTAGAATTTAATGACAGTCATTAATTTTTCTTTTTCTATTTTAATTTCAAATTTATGAATTATTTGTTTCATAGCAAATGATGCAGTCTGAGAGATGAAACAATAAACGAAAAATAAGTGAAAATTAATTGAACTATTAATGCAAACAATTTTTTTAGTTTTATTTTAATTCATTTGCTTCATTAATTTATATCATATTTAATTGGAATAAAATAATTTTAAATATTTTTTTCTACTTCTATTTTCATCTGAAACTAACATAAAAAGATAATATGACATTTCTTTTTTTTTTTTTTCCTATCTTCTTTTTTTTCATCTTTACTCCAAAATAAAAATTTAAATCTTTTCAAATTTTAATCTCTCTATTTTAAATCTTTCCATAAACAGATCGAATATCACTTATCATAATTAAAAACATTGCTGACTTTTAACTCGTACCTAAATTTAATGTTTCATTTGTTTTAAGTTGTTAAATTTAATTTCTACTTCTAAAATTACTCAATGCTATTAAATGCTAATGTAAGCTTAGTAATATTTCCACCAAATATTTTAAGTCACAAATTTCGGTATTTCCAATTCCTTTTTATATGACCATGAGGATATTATTAATTTACGATTAATGTTATAATAATGCCAACTATTATTTTTATTGCTATACGAAATCTGTAAACAACATTTCATTGTTGTCCAGCAGATCAGTCAATCAATCAATCAATCAATCAATAAATTGTGATTTATTTTTGTATCTTTAAAAAAAGAACATTTATGCAAATTTTCCTTTGTAACATTTGTATGAAACTATTTCAATAACTTAACTATTATTTATCAAACTTAACAAGAAACATTCTTCTAAGGAATTTTCCATTGCTAATTTCTTTCTACTGCAAATTGCTTGCAGATAAATGTTGGATTGCAGAAGTAATTATAGGACTTCAGGTGTTCAAAGGTGATAAATTGATTTCTGTCGCTAATCTAATTCGATTTATCGAACAGAAATAGCAAATCCTTTCTGGAAAGAAATGGAAAATGAAAAAATTTTATTTAGCACAAAATGAAATTGCAAAGCAAAATTGGAGTAAAATAAATTTCACTTTCACTTACACTTCAAATTTTTCTTTTTTGTCCAAAACTTTTTTTTTTTCAAGACAATAATAGCAATGTTTGGTTTATTCTTATTAGTTAAAAGTTTTAATTAGCATAGCTTTCCTAATTTATGCGATGAATCTCAAAGTACTTCCGCTCGTCATACATTTCTCGTTTTAGCTGTGAAATCTTTAATCAAATTTAAAATTCCATCTTAGTTTTGCAAATTTCCTTTTTATATTCATCACAAAATTTTTTTTTTTTTTTTTTTTTTGCTAATAAAATATTTTAAAAATAGTAGATATTTAGAAGATTGGTCATTCTTCTTGATACTTTCATTTTAAATCTTTCAATTTCAAAAATGTAAATTTCTAGCATTTATATTTTTTCTAAATTTTGATAAATAATATTGCATTGTTGGAATGATTGAATTTTTTTAGCTAAGAAATTTGAAGCGTTTATTATAAGTGCAAAATAGGCAAATCGTTTAAAGACAAATTCTATTTTAGTATACAAATTCCGGTTTTATTATTATTATTTTTTTTAATACTATTTCTACTGTGTGATTTTTTGTATTAGAATAATTCAAAATCTGATGAATATTGCATATTTGTAAGAATATCAGATTTCCGGTAAGATTATTTAATCTTTTTTTTTTTTTCAACAATAACCATGTCGGAACTTTTATTCTTATTATGAAAAGTGTCAATGCATTGACCGGAAATTAAGAAAATTTGGTGGTATTTAGAGCAAAATCAAATAATTTAATTGCAATTTATCAGATTTAAAACTTATATGGAATGTAGAAATAAAAAAATTTTTAAATTTACCCTTAGGCAATTTCAATAAGACTATACGTTCTTCACATTTTTTCATTTTTTCTTTCTCATTTCTATACAATCAATCAGATCGATCGCTTTAAATCATTTTGAATTGGTTTAATTCGAAAATATAAAAATATGAAATATGTAATTTGATAATTTTTCATTTTCCACCTGCTAATTAAATAAATTTAAAAGTGAAAAAAAGGAAAGAAAAATTTACTCTTATTCCATATTTCATCTCTTTGACAGATTTTTTTTTTTTTAATTTCTTTTTATCTTCCTTTAATCCAAGCAAAATCATTGAAATTATTGTTGGAAATTTTATTCCTTGTGTTGTAGACATTATTTTGGAATTTCAAATATTTTCACAAGAAAAAAAAGAAAAAAAAAAGAAAGAAAGGAAAAGAAAAAATAAAAAAAAAAATATTGAAATTATTTATCGAATAGCATTTTTGCTAGATGTGTTATTTACTATATTTTAATGCTTGAATGAGTATTAAAATTTTAAACCCTCTCTTTTCATTCATATTTGATTGCAGTTTGTTAGATTAAAATAAAATGTTCAAGAAAAATTCAGAGAAAATTGATGATGCATTCCTGAAATTTAAAAGATATGAAAAAAAATTTTTTTAATTCTTTAAAAATTTTTGATCTTTTGAGATTTTATTTTATTTGATAAAGATTTAAATGTGCTTTTTTGTGGATAGGAAAAATTAATTTATAAATTATGTAAGCTTTTGAATAATTTTTGAATGTTTCAAGTATCATTGAAGAATATAAATTTTAATATGCATTATTTCCAAAATGTGAGCTCAAACAATAATTAAATTCGTTTATTCCACAAATTGTATTTATAAATGGCAATCGTTTATGAAACATTTAATTAAATTCGATTTAATTTCTTCTATTCGTTGCCATAGTGTTTCATTAAGTGCTAAAATTTTATTATATTATCTTTGAAGATATGAACACTTTGATAACAATTTTCATTTTCTCATCGCAAAATTTATAGGTTAATGTTATTCCTGCATCAAATTCAACGATTGAAGGAAAGAGCACAATCAGAGCTACTTGGAATGACTTTGAAAAATTATTAAGTCTATTTGCTAAGCAGAAGTCTCTCCTTCTTCTTCTGTTTATAAGAATCAGAAGCACCGACTGATAAAGTTCGTTTTGATGTACAAATAGTTATTGTTGCACCAAATATTTCTATTCATACATTTTGACTTTTTTTGATTTGACTTTTTGAAATAATAATAATAAATAGCAAAATAATAATAATAAATAATTGGCGGTAACAGTTTCATACCTGTAATCCTATTAGTAATTTGTTTAAATAATTATTTAAAGTATTAATCTTAATTCGGTACTATATAATCTTTACCAATTAATAAATTAACTAAGCAATAAATTAATTTCAAACTCTAATTTTTCTTTCGGTTCAGTTAATTCATAAAAGATTTATTTAATTAACAGTGAAATGATTAGTCAATTTAAAATATTAATTTAGCACTACAATTACAATTGAATTCATAAAAATAAGAAAAAAAAAAAAAAAACATTTTCCCATAGCCTAAAATTAGCGTAAATGGGAATAATTTGTTGTGAATTCACTTGAAATTGTACTTCATTGATGCATGTCAGCATGTCGTGCAGCATGCAACATGCATAACATGTCATGCAAATAGCATTCATTCATGCATGACAAAAAGTTAGTTAATATTGACAATATTTGAAATTTAAAAAGAATGGAAAGAGAAGAAAAAAGATGAAAAGGATGAATGAATGAGATTAACAAATTAATCCAATCTGTTTCTTTCCTAACTTTTGATTGAAACTATTTATAAAGAGAAGAGACGATGTTATTATTTGAGTCCAATTTCGGAATATTTCCTCCTTCTTTCATTCATCAATTTTCTGCTTATCATTTAATCATATCAGTCTGATCATATCACAAAGTTGGCTTATCTCGTCAGATTAATTTACATTTCTTTGTTCTTTTTTATTTGGAAAATAATCTCTTTGCATTGATATCATTATTCATCTATCTAATATATATCTGAATTACATTTTGCAGTATTTGATAAGGGAAGAAAGGAAGAGAAATTTGATTATTGTTATCAGTTCGTATTTATCATCCCAATGGTTCGAATTGAAATGGACCCACTGGATGAGGGGGAAAATATTCGTCACCTGAAATGTGTTCTGGTTGGTGACGCTGCCGTAGGGAAAACATCGCTTATCGTTTCCTACACCACAAACGGTTATCCGAAACAATACACACCAACGGCATTTGATAATTATTCTGGTTTCTTTTTAATTTGTTAAATTTAATTTAATCTTTTTGCAATCATTACTTTGACAATGAATTTCTCTACTTTGAATTATTTTATATTTTCACATCAATTTTCTTCGAAATTCAAACTGAAATCAAATTCTAATATCATTTTTTTTTTTTCTCAAATTCAAATCAAATTAAAGCTAAAGTCCAGCATCAATTTTTTGCAGTTTATTATCAAATTTAGTCCAATTTTTTTTTTTTTTTTTTCAAAATTCAATGCAAAAATCTTTGAAAATGTGCTGTTTATTTATGCTGCAAAACAGCACCAATAAATTTCATTGAAAAATTAATTATTTTCAGTATTGGTAAGGGTAGATAATCAACCAATACGTCTACAACTCTGCGATACTGCTGGAAAGGTTCCATTGCTTTTCTTCTCTTATTTTATTCTAATCCACAAAAAATTGATAGCAATTTTAAATTTAAGTGAAAGAAGCAATCTCTTACTGAGAGTATCACTGCAAGCCAAACATTCTATTTAGCTATATTCTTTTATTGCATACTATAATTATGACAGTATTTCATAAATTAGTTGTGAGATTTGTTGCAAAGGAAGTAATTCTAAGAAATATGCAAATGCATTTAATCAGTTTTAATTTTTTAATCAGAAATTTTACTACTAATTAGATAATTCAATCATTATGTTTAGACATACACACATACACAGTTATGCTAAAATATAAATAAGTTAAAATTATTATTTAAAAAAATATGAAGTTAAGATTATTTTTGTTTTAAAACTTTCAATTCCCATTCAGAAGCGAAAGTTTAAATTATCAAACTTTACAAATTTTTATTAAATTATTTTTGCTTTCTTAACTTTTCTGTCAACTAAGCATATCGTTTGTTTATTTAATTAGTTGTTTGTTTGACAAGAATCCATGATAGTTCATTATTCTTTTAGCAGAACTTTATTAGGACAGTTTCATTCATCTGACGCGCAAAATTTACTGTTCTTTAGCGCCGATTCTTCAGTCAAAAGAAATGAGCGCCTTTTGTTTACTGATATTACTGATAGAGAGTAATCATCTAATATACTTTTGTGTTGATCGTTTACAATTAATTAATTATCTATAATTATGATTTTAGCTTCTCTAAATGCGTGGTTCTTAGACGCTATTACATAACAATTACAAAAGCGAAATTTTTTCAGAAGTAAAATTCATTAGTTCAACCTCATTTCATCCATTTGTAAACAATCGTCTCATTATCATTATCATTTGTTGTCATCATCACTATCACTTCCACTACCTCTGCAGCAAACTAAACTGTTATCAGCTTACTTTACCTACAATTTAGAGTTGAATTATGACCAATTTAAAGGTGCTATTGTATATTAGAGCTTGCTTTCAGGCTGGCTTCGACTCTCTACGACCATTTACCTACCCGGACACAGATGTATTCCTGCTATGCTTCAGTGTCATGCTACCCGGTACTCTCCGTTCAATTACCGATCATTGGATACCGGAGATTAACAAAACAGTACCTAATGCACCTGGTTGGCATGCACATTCGTCATTTTGGAATAAATTTCACGAGAATTACTCAAAGTATTATGCACAAAGAATATACAAAAAATACATAACAGAGAGTGAAATATTTGAATATTTAAAAATTAAAAGAATTAATAGTAATAGTATAGTATTACGGAATTACATGATGCTATACGGTGTTTACACTTTATTTACTGTACCTAAATGAGCAAACTTTGTTAATCTTCTAAGAAAACTCTACAAAACAATATGTAATGATTACATTTCTCACAAATTGAAATTATTAACCTATAAATAGTGGCAATAAACAATTTGTGAGTTATTATTTAAAATTTACGGTCAATTTAAAACATAGAACTTTGAAATTTATTAAAAAACGATTGAGGAAGCTAACAAAAAAGATAGACTCAAAGTTTTACAATTTAATTGTAAATGATCATTTCATAAATATTTATAAAAATTTCATTCACATTTGCATTACTTTTTATTTGATCGGACAAATAAATTTTTAATCTCAAATTAATTTCAGTAATCCTAGTTGGTACTCAATCAGATTTACGGGCAAATGTTGGTTTGGTAATTGATTTATGCAAAAATGGTGAGCAACCGGTCAGTGAATCAAAAGCTCGAATGTTAAGCGATGATTTATGCACTGATTACTTGGAGTGTTCCGCATTAACGCAACATAATCTGAAGGAAGTTTTTGACGCAGCCATTTTGACAGCGTTACGCAGTAAGTCATCATCCAATACTACCACCTCGTATGCAACCAAAATTACCAGTATGATACGTCTAACACGTGAACAACGAGGTATTCTTGCTAGCGGTAATAATGGCGCTGAAAGAGATGCCAAGAAAGCAAGTCGCATTAGGCAAGGCTTCAAAAGGATTGTCACCTTGACGAAAAGGTTTCTTTAAATTGTCACCATTTTATTGAATCGGTCAAAGGTTGAATTATGATTCACTTTGACAAATCTGCCAGAGAAGAAAGTGAAAATTGTAGTTTATTAATCGAAGTCTTTTCTTTAGTTTATCATTTCCTTATTACAACTTATTTTCATTTTAATATTTGCAGTATTTTTGCTGGTAACCAACAAATCATTGTTTGTTTTGAATAGAAGAAAATCAATTTTTGAAATTAAATTTATTTCTTTTTTTGCTAAATAAGCTAAAATAATCTCAAAATTTGCACTACCAATGTAAATATCAGAAAAAAAAAAGAAAGATACCAATGCATAGAGAATGAATAATGTTTTAGTGCATAAAAATCTTAGTTGTTTGTAAAAAATAAAGACTAACGATTAAGTTAATCTATTTCAAAAAGGAAATAAATATGAAAAAGAAATATTGATATTTTAATCTTTCATCCAAAACAAATCAATTTCATATTTATTTGCATCTGTGGAATTTTCAAACAAAAATCAAATTATCTATCTCTTATGATGAATATTTTTGTCTTTCAAATCACCTAAAATTTATACATAAACTATTCACGTACGTCTCATTTTGTTAGCCATTAAATCATTCCGTTTCATTCACGTATCGATTCGTTATCGATGTTTTCGATTATTTTACAAATTCATAAAAAAATTTGTAGTATTATTTTCATTTTGTTTGCTCATTGTCATCCGTAATGCAGGAAGAATAGAGAAGAAATTATTTTATTTGCTTTATATATTTATGAACAAATTATATTTGATGGTGCAATTTATCATTTACAATTGTATTTTCAATAAATTTTCCTTTTCCTTTTTCCGTATGCGCAATTCATCTATCAAACGTGTTCAAATGCTAAACACAGATTATCTTGCAGAAATTAAATTAATATCATAAAGTTAATTCATTTCGATCAATATCTTAATAGCATTACTAAAAGTTATTCTTTCACATATTAATGTTTACATATTTACTTTCATCTATGTATGTCATTTGAAGTTTATTGGCAGTGTATGAGTAAACATATATGTAAATAATTTCAAATCAACCGCATAAATTAAATTTTGAACTGTTGACATTATATGGCATTTTAATTAAAGATTCTGCATAAATTTTGTCGTAGGATTGTATGTTTCATCGCATGCAGCGTACGTTCTGTCACGTGTTTCTTTCTGCGTAATAATAACTTCAAATTAAAAGACTGAAAATTAATTTACAGCAAATGTACGACAAGTGGTTTCCTTTGATCACAATCAAATCAACGGAAGCAGAATTAACTGATTCACCTTAATTTACCTGGCAAACATCTATTACATCATAAGTGCTATGTCCTTTTATCAAGTGTCTCTTTATATTGACGTGGACACACTTTGAGGTGCAATTTTAGCATTTCATGGAAAGAGTCGAAAAAATCATCAAAATTGATTTATTGCATAATTTGAAGGATAAAAAACTTTTTGCTGAAAGAATAAAAAATTTTCTCGACCTATTCTATAAGAATTTGTAATTCAACGTAAATTACGCCAATAAAAAGTTTGTTAGTGACAGTAGTAAGAAATTAATTATTCATAATTAGTAAATTTATAATTACATTAGAGAGAGATGGTCTGATGATATGCTTCTTTAAGAAAGGTAAGAAAGGTCACCAAGTAGTGTCACAAAGTGTCCAATGAAATATTCCACCTTTTTGCTGTCTCTATAAAACGATGATTATTTCTACATTTAAAGGCTATAATTTATTGCTTCGAAATATCCAATAAATAAATTTCCATGGTTCTTTGATTATTTTTATAGAATTCTAAGCAGTGTTCACATGAATACTACTATTTCAAATGTTCTGAAAATTTAAACTAAGAAAGAGCATTTGTTCTCGATATTGCTTAGATGACAAACCGTCCAGTATTGAGAACACCAAAAAGTTGTACTGCAGTGATTTTGCTGAAAACAGTGCTGAAATAGTAGAAAAAAAAAGTTAGAATTTGCTATAAAAATATTGTAAACAAGTTGACGTAACTATAAAAATATTTTACTCAGTATAAAATACCTTCGACGTAATTAAAGTTTATGAGCACAGATTTTATTACTTATCATTTTATTACGTGAGTTGTGTGCTATTAAGCATAGTTATGATAATGTGATAAGTGATATGTGATAAGTGATAATTGTTGTAATTCATCGTTTAATTAAGCAACGAAAAATCTTTGTTTTTAATAATTTGATTAATTTGAATAAAAAATTGCAACTTCCCAAATTGCACACAATTTTTTTTTAGTTTGAAAGGAAAACTTTAATTCTGCTTCTTTTGCATTTGAAATTTCAGCAATTTTGCCAAAATTTAAAAACACTAAATTCTAGAATAAATTGAGGCGTTCAATAAAAAGTGCAGAAAAAAGTATTTTTTTACAAGAAAACACAAATATGTTTGTATTTAGTTTGATAACTGTAACTGTAACTGGTGTAAATGCATGCAAATAGATGCATTTTCTGCGTGTAACATGCATGCATCAGCAACTTTTTTGTATAATTTGAAATAAAAAGGAAATTAAATTAAATTATTAATAGGAATACAATTATATTTTTGTTTACAAAATTACAATTATATTTTTGTTTACAAAATTGCAATTATATTTTTGTTTACAAAATTACAATTATATTTTTGTTTACAAAATTACAATTATATTTTTGTTTACAAAATTACAATTATATTTTTGTTTACAAAATTACAATTATATTTTTGTTTACAAAATTACAATTATATTTTTGTTTACAAAATTACAATTATATTTTTGTTTACAAAATTACAATTATATTTTTGTTTCATAACTTAATGCATTAATTGTGCCAAATTACAAAAAATAATTCATTTTTCTTCCCTTCCTGCTACATTTACAATTGTTAATTTGACCTTGAATTGAAAGCTTTTATAGGATGGCATAAAATTATCGATGAACAATGGCCATTTTTGTTGTATCTAAAATTCTTTACCTTTACATCTTAATGACTCAAATATTTCTAAATTGTCAAGTTATTATCATCGTCTTCATGATTTCAGGGTCAAATGAAAATGAATACTTTAGCATGAAAACGACGAAAATTATTTGTGATATTCAATGCTAACGAATTTAAATTTTTTATTGCACAATCCACAAAAGGTTAAACTCTAACTGTTACGCAAATAACGCATGAAGTCACGTCCGTGTAATTTTATTCATTTAAACGTTCTATCTTATGATAGCTTATCACTCCAAAAATACTATCAATTACTTTTGTGTATTTATCAGATCACTAAACTTTTACCGACATTTTTAAAAATTTGATAAACTTCTGATATCTTGAACTGATTGCTAATGAGTTTTTACAATTCAAAAAAAAAAAAATGGCTTTCCATCTAATTTGTATCAGAACTTATCTCTACCATATTTATTAAACATTTTATGTTTTTGTTAAGTTTGCACTTCAATTTTTCATTGCTTTTCAGCCATTTCAGACTTCAATCTTTGACCTTAGTGAGATTTTATTAATTATAATTGTTTCTTACTAAACTGTAACTTGTTATTTTGATTGAAATTTTGCAGAAATAAGTTATCATATTTCTCATATTATTATTAACTTTATTTTTGTGTTGAGTTTACTATTGTTCTATTCCGTTTGTTATTACATTTGATTTCGGAAATATTTTTGACATTGTTTTCTGTGGAAAGAAGGATGAAATGAGAAAAGGAAAGTATGAATTTAAGGAATTCATAAGAACCCGAAAGGAGATGTATATCTTAGACGGATGGACGGACGGATTAGTAGAGAATTAATTGCATAGCATTTTTTGGTCAGATCTGATTCGCAGTGACATTTGCACATTTCTTTTTGCCGCTTTGCAAAAGGGGGAAGCATATTTTATTACCCAGTGGACATCTTGACCGGCTGCCGGTCTGCCGGTTGTCATGGAAGGAAGAAGGAGGGAGCAGGTCAAACTGAACGATCGCTTCTCAATAAAGAGGTCATTTAATGCCTTCGTATATAACATTGTGTCATTCATTATGATTAAATGGCTCTGTCTGATTGGCAATCGGTCGCGTGCAGTAATATTCTAAAGACAAAACCATATTTAATGCTGGATGGGATTTGCTTAATTAGCCCGAAAGAATGAGTAAATTGAAAGCTAATCGATTATTATTAGCCTTATTTATCACTTAGAAAGCCAAGGACTGACTCTCACCGCAGCTTTGCTGGGAATCTGAACGAATAGCGCATTCAACCATATGCATTGTAAATTTTTTATTGAAATATCTCAAATTTTGCTACAAGATGAATATGGCTCTTTTTTTAAGTTCATCTGGGTTACTCATATATGCTCATTCAGTACTAGTCAAACTGCAAAGGTCATTCAAGATGTACTTTAACCTCTACTTTAAGATGAGTGTAAGAGGAAATATACAGCACGAGATCTGCCAGTAGTTCATCAAAGAAGAGCGAAAATAGTGGTTCAAAGTTCAGTTGACCATTTACCCAGGCCTACCATTTCAACCAAGTTGACCTATCTGACCTGTCTCTCCCCGTTGTCTCGATTCCATGTCTTCCACTCAAGTGTAGGTTTATCATTTGGACTATTACTTTTGGCGTTCAGATTGACAATTTAGTCATTTCGGTGTTTCGTTTGTTGCCTTCAAGTGCAGAGTCATATAGATGAGGGAGATAATTAAAAGCTTGACGTGATCGTACGTGAATGAAATCAAGTAGGATGATAGAGAGGGAAATGAACTTGAAGGGACAATTCCGGATTGGCTTTCAGGATAACTGTCCGTACCCAGGTATGAACTCTGACCTTCCTCTGTGTGATGTGGTGACCCGGTGACAGTACTGTGGAACACTTGACTCTCTCCCTAAAGTGGTTGCAGACAATATGTTGAATGGCTTATGCAAATATGATAGGATGCTAATATTGTTTGTGCAGACGAATGAATGCTTACTGCAACCCAGGTAGAATGCATAGGGACACTGCAACTCGGCCAGGTAGGATGTACACAAGGGACATTGGGTATCGGATATCGGACATTCAAATTTTAGTGTGCTACCGGACGGATGGTCAAGTCTCTGCTGACCTATCGCTTTTTCATTCCAAGTTCAAAAATGTAGTGGTGCAGTTAGAGAACTCATAGACAACTGAACCCTGCAATTGTCCTCTTCCATTTTTAGTCCTCCCGGAGGGATGGGGAGGGATGGAGGGTCTAGTAATCCATTCTTCTGAATAACTTATTGTTCATAATTTATTTCTTTGAATTAACCGAAAATTGTCGTAAAGGTCATTTTGGCTCGATTTTAGGTCACTTGATCCATTTTTATTCTAATTAGCATAGCATCACTTAAAAGCCATACATTCGAAGAAACATCCCATTTCTCTCTCTCTCTCCCTCTCTCTCTCAGTATCTTTCCTAAGTTTACTAGTGAATTACTAAAATAATAAAAAATATTAAAAGTGCCTCAAACGAACAAACTAAAAAGTCCGTGGACACACGTCTCTGAATTCATTAAAATTGCTCCCTCCTCTAACTGAAACGAGTACAACTCAGAGATTTTCCTCAAGTGATGGAATACTCCTGCATGTCGAGAAATCCGAGAGTGAGAAGCTGAACTCTACGTAACGTACGTCAGCAAATCGCACACTCCACGAAATGGTCAATCACTTTTCCCACACTTCAGTCTTCACTTCAATTTGAGTGGAACATTTTCATATGCTAACGCTTCAGCATTGTCCTCCAATGTTTCATCTGTCACGCACATTTGTTTTACTACAGCTATTACTCTCGATGTCACCAAGCATTGCTCCCGATAACACCAAGTGTCGCACTACAACTATCTTCAGTTCCGCTAGCTGCGCTCACACTATTCTCATTCATTTCCTTTCTCACTAAATTTCTTTTTGAATGCCTCAAAAAGAAAGGCTATAGATTACTTTTTGCAGTGCGAGTGTATTTGCATGGATTACATGTGCATGCATGCATGTCTGAGACGACACTCCTTGTCACCTCCCTTCTCTCCTTGAAGTATCCCTCCAGTTAGGCCTGACACTGACAATGCTAAGGCCATACTTCTGCTTTTGCTGGCAACAGAATCCATTTCCTTAGTTTCTATCGTACCAATTCACTTTAAGTCAATTTAATTTAATATAAATAATTTCGCAATGCATCCCATGGGATCTGAACGTCATTTAAAACTATCTTGTGGTTGAACATAATAAAATCCTCAGTGGAATAGTAAGAACAAGTAGTTTAGAGTAAGCTAACTCAAAGCTATCTGACTTAATTTAAATTTGAACTTTACTCAATGCCAATTTAATTTAATTCAATTCAATTCAGTACATTCAGTGCAGAATATACTTTAGTGTAAAGAGTATGAAATTTTCACTCTCCTTTCATGGACAGAAAGAAGCAACTCACTGAGGGAGGAAGATCTGTCCTCCACTTTGTCTCCTTTGCTGTGACAAGTTTGTCCTTCCTCCTTTCCTTAAGACATTTCTGTTCATACTGATCAGAGATCTACCGAGTCTCATTCGTCCTTCTGATGACCCTTCTTGCATACATTCTGGCTTCACTGCACTACTGTCTACTGCTACTGCATTTCGAAATTAATTTAATTTAAGTTCAGTTGAACGGTAGCAATGCGACAAATGTGACAAATTAAGTTGCTTTCTAGAATGCTTACCTCAGTTTCGTTATTCTTTTTCAAATATTTCAATCCTCGAAAGTGCACTTGTCCTCCTAATGACCCCTAACCTCCTAATGACCCCTGTTAACTTTTTAGATGAGTTCTGATACTCTTTGCTATGAATAGCGTTGGATATCGGAATAACAGTGTGTTAATTTGGAATAAATAATAACGGAGATGAGAGAAGACTGGACAGATGTCTGGAAGAGCACTAAACCGATAGTCAGAAGGACTGGTGTTCCGGCCTACCGGTCAGCGCTAACGGCTAATCCTCTCACCTTCCGTTTACTCTGCTCCCAGTTCATTCATTAAGCAAATATCTCCGCCACTCCATTCGAGCAAATAATTGGCTCATCTTTCCATTTCTGTATCTGTGCTTTATTCCGTACGATTTTTCCGGTATCTATCATTTTGGTCCTATCGAAAAAGTTATTATTCATTTAAGAGAGAGAAGAGAGTAATTATTTTGATTTTCCGTTAATCAGTTTACCTGGAAAAACCGATTTATAATCATTGGAACGACCGACCTTTATTTGACAGATGTTTAATCGCTCTCAGATTATGAATTGAAATTGTGGGTCAGTGAAAATGATAGTTTGTCAGCTATCTAATTCTTCCTTTTAAATTTCTGATCTTTTTTTTTTTTTTAATAATTTTGAAGTTTAAATGTTTTTTAGAAGAATTTCCGTTTCTCTAAAAAATAACAAAAATCAATTCTTACCAATGGTACAGCATTTTATCACTTCAACCATCACATATTAGCAGTAACTAAGCCATCCATCTAAACTGAGCTTTCAAAATGTTCCAATTTTAAAATCAGTTTATCAGTGTGTTATTTATTTATTATTCTTTCTTTCAGACTTATCTTTATTTATCACCAGTTGTCAAATGTCATTTTTTGATTTGAAAAATTTATGTAACGAAGGATAATACATTTTAAATAGAAATGAACTCTTTGAATACATCTCATCTGTAAGCCAAAATATCAGTAAGGCATTGAACAATTTGTGATCTCGGATCAGCAAGAGTTTCGTTTAGTTATTACCAAGAAATTCCTCGGGTAGGCAATTAAGTACTGCCAGTGTTCGGGTGGGCAGTTAAGTACTGTCAGTGATACTTCCTATAAGTACATTTCTTTGTACTACAAATAAGTGAACGAACTGATTAGTGAAGAATGCAAGTATTGATAACCGCTCACTTTCCTCTGCAATGAATAATTAATTCGATTTTGAAAATTACCAGTAAAAACTTACTTTATATAACCAATTGATCGAGAAAAGTCTAAAATTGATGAAGAAAATCAATATAAATTGCTGAGATGCTGAATCAAACAATTCAATTTCGAGAAAAAATAGTGTTAAATTTGCCAAATAGGCCAGTGTTGTAAATTTTGAAATGACCATTTCTTACAACAGAAGGACTTTTCCCGAGTAATATATCTCGATCAGTTGTTACTACGGCGATGTGACAGTCGAGGTGACAATTTTTCTCTTCGTTACTGACTGTGTGTGATATAATGCAAGCAAATTTTAATCTCACAATCTTCGTTACTTTGCTTCTGGTTGTTCAATAATTCAACGCTGTGCTATCCACACATATCACATCTCGAGAAGATGAAGAATCGTTCGTTTTTCCTGCCTCCCTCTCTCTCTCTCCCTATCTCTCTCTCTCTCTTTCTCAAGAGAATTATTCAAATTTCAATTTGAATTGATTTCTTTTTTGGAAAGTGATCGCAACACTGCTACACACACCTTCTTCATACTTTCTCCTATGACAACGACAAAGAGCACAAGGCAGGTAAGAGCAGAGGACAGAAAGATGTCACTTTCATTTGTTCGACATATCTCTTCGAAATTAGCTCGATTTCATTCTCATCCACAACACCTCTTCCTATCATAGTTCCATTATCTGATCAAATCAGTACCGTATTTCGAAGCTGCTCAATCTATACGGTGCGGACCGCATCTTTCGAGATAGTGCATGACGAGAGCGGAATAGAAAAAGTATGAGTTTCAAGGCTTTTTGATTCAAATTTTAGCTAGTGCCAGTAGACCAGCATAATATATTCTTTCGTTATTCATTTGAACCAGATCTATCGGCCGATAGCATCAGTAACGGCAGCACAAGACCAAGGGTGACAATTCCCGTAGCGATAATGTCGCACGACATATGGCACATGCCGCGACACCGCCCCAATTTTCCATCCCATTAGAGGATGAAAGATAAAAGGAGGCAGTGGTTATAATGCAGTAACGTCATCAAGTGAAAGGGTTTGTGAAGTTTGAAGTTCGAACTACTCTCGACTCACTCATAGCGCTTATCAGTTTGTTACTTTTTAATTTCTATATTCATTACTCTGAGACATTTTCCTTCTTATTCAAATCATTTAAATCATTCTTTACATATTCTCTCCATGAACTTTCTACTTGAAGACCGTCACAACAAACAACAGTGTGTAGCTTCAAGTAAAGTAAAGTAAAGCCAGAATTCCGGAAACAATATAACAGTTGATTGTCAGGTTTTCTTGAGAGCTCCTTCCAAATGGATAGGTTTATGAACCGGAGTGACCCATCCTGTCAGAAGGGATGAATAGATAGTCCTTGTGACCGCGTCACTTATTTGCATATTCCTTTCCCATTCATTCCGTATTGTTTGTTTATTATTTGCTTCTCGTATACTTATAATATGTCATTTTTGCGCCTCATTGATGTCGCACATAAGAAAATAATACTTGCTTACTTGTCTCTGATGTTATTGGCCACCTATGATTATTTTTCTGTCTGAATTTCACTTATTTATTAGGACATTTTCAAGTTATCCTCACATTATTGAGAACAGGAATATACATAGGTGCAAGCCATGAAAGTGACATCTGCAGCTGCAGTCATCCATCTATCCGTAATGACACAGATGTCAAATTTGAATGTTTGTTTTAGTGCCCTTTGACCATCCATTCTAGACAGCCAATTGTTGTGAGAAACCATTACGGGTCACACGAACGGAGAACCATTGAGAGGTCATGCAAATGGTCACTGATTCGACCAGTAGCATTCTATTCGAGGGCTTACTGCTCATTCATCTGAAATGTCATCCTGAAATTCTCATTTGTCTTTTTCTTCTTTCCATTTTATTACATTTCAAAATACATTAAATTCTGAATTCAAATTTAATCCTTTCAAATAAAACAATCCTTAATAAACAAAACTGTTAGATAAACAGTAAGCATTTTTTGTCGCAATTTCTTTTAAGGCTTATATTTTATACTTAAGGAATATTTTCATGCAGCCCAATTATACTTCTCAACTTTGATAGGTAAACTGTGATTGTCTCCTCAGATAAGCTCTCTGCAAAAATCAAGGTTAAGGATACATTCACTTACCTTCGGGCAAATTCTTTCGCAAAAGCATAGCTTTGAAGGGTAATAATTGGGCATAGTTTACATGCTGTGCTACCAAATGAGAAAATTAATAATTGACGGATGATACCTCGTTCGTTACAACAATCTTTTCATTATACTGAAATGATAATATTTCTCGTAGATTACGATGACGAGAACGGTTCAATCGTCAGCTGTGAGGATACTGTCGTTGACTTTGGCGCTTCTTATTGTTGCCATTACCGCTTCACGCCAGTCCTATGATCCGACCATGCGGGATTACGTCGAAATATGTGACGAAATGGCTCAGTTAGCTGGCGACAACTTTTGTAGGGTAATGATTTCGACATGGTTTGCATGTTGTTTCAACAAATGAGATACTTAATAATTAGCCCATGATTATTTCCCGTTTCCCTCGGGTAAATTTCTTGAGACGAGAGTCAGGCATTTTTTGAGCCCTGTTGATTGAGACACTTCTGTCCGGATGTCACTTACAACAACTCAGTTCAGCCTAATTCAGCTTATTCTGGTCTTCATTACCCACCCATCCATCTATATGATACTTATGAACAGGTAATTTTCACCCAGGTATTCGATATTTGCTGTCGTGACCGTGCAAAGAACAAATTGAATGGCGATCGCTGTCAATTAACTGATCCCACTAATGGATGCCAACTCACTCCCGAGGTATGTGTCAATCATCATTATCGTCAATTTCTATTGATGTCCTTTGATAATCTAATTTATATGACACTCATTTACAGCATATTTGATATATTGAGAGGAGGTAAATTTCAAGGTGTGAAAGAGCTACTCATCTATTGATCTTTGATCCATTTTCTTCTGGTTTTCCCGTTCGAAAAAGGCAAAATTGTTGAAATTTTTGAGTTATTTTTTGAACGATAACTTTAAAAGTCCATCCAGTGAAACAAATGTCAACGTTAATGTCATCCAATACTGAAATTTGAATAACTGATGGGTAGTGCGATAATATATCAGTTCATTTCTCCTTTTCCTTGAAATTTTCAAGAGAAGAATAATCGGAAATTAAAGCACTATTCATTTCCACTTCACCCAACCCGTAAACTTCAAATTGCATAATTATAGTCTATAATTACATGTAGAAATTATATACTAGGCTGAATTTTTTAATTAAACGAAATAAATGACGGATTTCACCAACCATATTAAATGGAAACGGATGAGAGTCATTTTGGTGTCGCTGCATGGGTGACAGGCCGAAATAGGTTCAGGCAAACAATGATTTATAGTCTCGTCTCCATTCCCATGACTAAATATTGTCCTACAGCCAGCAGAATGTTGTCAAAATCGGTGACCTCGAAGCAATTGCAGTAATTTTGAATAAATTTCATATTAAACAAGTGGTCAGTTATGATAGAAGGAAACAAATATGAAATTGTTGTCGCATCATTTGATCCATCTCCGTCCGTGCATGTTATGAGTGACAATCCATCTTGAAGTTTTAGTTCAATGCGACATTTTAAGATTTAATTCTGTTTGGTTTCTGTCTAGTCGTAAATATTGCCTAATGCACTGATATCGGCGAATTTTTCCTTCAGAACTACTAACACTAGATATGACCATTGGACTATCTATCGGTAATCGATAATCGATAATGATTTATAGATCTTGTGTACTCAAGAAATTCGCTGCTAGACAAAATATTAATGAAGGTACCATTAGCAATACAACGTAACAGGTGAAAAAGCCTAGGTGTCTCTGGTTTCTGTGCGGTCTTCTTTTGACACCTATACTTTGTACCTCAGTTTAACTGAGCAAAAAGCAAAATGATTTAGTGACAAGGAAGGGACATTCCGTTCTCGGAAAACACCTGCCTTAGATATGTAAAGGTCATTGAGTTAGTAGTAGCCAGTATTTACATATTGTCTTAATTAAGCAGAAGATTTAAATTTGCAGGGTAATGTGGAGTTTCTACGATGTCGAGCCTATAATTGTACCCCCGAGGTGACAACCACCACCACCACAACGACAACGACGACTACCGCCCGTGCTCTTTTTCTGAGTTCCTCATCGACAGGTAAGGTTTCGACCTGATCAAGTTATGTGTGTAGCACTGCATTTCATCCTTAAATTCTCAAGCATCGTTCAATCCATTTATGCTATATTCGGAATTCTCACTTTCATCCAAATTTCTCAACAAAAAACGACGCTACCTAAAGGACCGATAACTTTAGACCCATCACTAAACTTCAATTTGATTTTAGTGATGATCGATGCTTCTAAATGCATTTGTTTAAATTGTAGAACGAATTGACTGGAACCGATAGGTGAACATTTGCCCACCTTCATATCTGATCTGCTATATTAGCAGCATCTACTCATTGGCTAATTCAGTTGGTCACATTTGGTCCCCTAAAGCTATAAAAGGGGGACCGCGTCCTTCATTTTCCTTCTTCTCTCTAATGCACCAAAGGAATTAAAATTTTGATGGTCTCTGACCTTTTATTTGTGCGATTACATCTTGTTGATTATTATTTAATAAGTTGAATGTAATACATATTCGGTTGTTCAGTGTCTTCTCACAAATTTAGAATTTATTATCTTAGAAGTAGCAGAATGGATGAATGTTTAATTTAGAAATGTTCAAATAATTCCTTCATTAATAGCTCTTCGATGTTAAGAACTATTAATGACCAAATTGTTCGAAGTTTTTTTGCAAAGACTATTAGACGAAGACGAAAAGTTGTGCTTTATCACTGAAGCCATCTCTGCAGTTCCTTTTTATTCAAAACTATCAGTGAATTCTCTTTCACTTTTAAAGTGACATTCTCGGTAGCTTTTCGAGGTCGCAGAATGATGCGTGAATTGAATAATCATTTGAGCGTGAAATGAGCAAACAAGGAGACACCTTATTAATAGCAGAAAATGACGGCGCTGTTGGTACGGCGCAATCCTCTGTAGGCGATTAATCCCTCTCAGCTGCTACCATAGCGTGTCTCCGACTAGTACTATTCAAAACGAAACAAACTCTTTGAGGGATTTTCTGAAATTAGTTCATCGGCCTGACTTGCAACTTGATTTATTGCAGGTATCAAGGCAGGTGCATTTGTTACCGTAATCGCATTTGCTGCAGCTTTTCAACTAAGCTTCAGGCAATACTATCATTGGATATTGCTCGCCTAAAAATATCTCTAACATTTTGGTACGTACTTTCCTTATGCTTCACTATAGTTAGTGGGGAATAAACTTCGAAGTAATGTCTCAGTTAATATTTCTCTGTGCTGATTGCACCTATTCCGGCTGTATAACGATATTTCCGGAATACGTTGTTTCCGTCACAATTCAACCACAAAACATTTTAACTTCCTTTGTGACACTTTAAAGATTTACTGAACTTTGTCAAAAAAGATTCATTATATTTTCGCTATATATTTTATTGATAGAGCAGATAATTTTTTAAGATTCAATTCTGAAAATTATCACAAACACATGAGAAATGGTGGTCGAATATATTTGATCAACATCTTCCATAAATTTTGATAATTGATTTTTTAAGAAAGAAACAATGTTTCATTTATTTAAACAAATTCAAAATAAAATATTGCTTTAATTTTGGAAAAATTTTTCAAAGAAAGAAATATTCCATCCAGCTTTGCATTACTCACACAGTAATGTATCGATTCATTTAGCTAAATAACTTTGGCTATTAACACTAAACCATCAGTCCTCATATTTCTTACGTTAGTTTAACTGCCAAACTTCACTTTACTCTGAATCTCTCGACCCTCTTTTCATCACCAATTATCATCATTCATTATTCCTTCCTTAAAAAAAAAGCCAATAGCAAAATAATTGTTAAGCAACGCGAAAGTTAGAGACAAGAAAAGTAATAGAATTGCAGTGAATTACAAGTTATACACACTTTGTGAATTTTAAAAATTTCAAGAGTACTTCGTAGAATGATCAGAATGGAATTACATCAAATTTCAATGCCTTGTATAGTCAGAGAGAGAGAGAGAGAGAGAGAGAGAGAGAGGGACATTAGTCTGACTTAGGTATAGCAAAGATAGCATTATTCTTGGCTTCTATTCAGCTTCTATTCAGGTACCATTGCATATGAAACTGTCGTCTTCCTTAAGTAAAAATTATGGATAACTTTCACTTTTGAAGTTGCCTTGCAAACATATCGTTAAGACGTGAAATTTGACGATTGTTGAGGATAGCTTTAAAATAATGAAGTGAATGATGCTTAGAGTTTAGGAAATTAAAATGACTCATTTGAAATTCATCAATCTTTCTTTCATTCATTTGATCTAATCAATTCAAGATTAACATATTCATTTTTTAAAGATTATTCTAAGCAACCATCTACAGTGGCCACTGATCAGGAAGAAAAAGCTGCAACCGTTACTCGACAATTGGTACAATCCGGAAAACCTCAGAGTTCTTCGTATTGTTCAATCCCATACTGCTCCACTTTGTTTTCCTCTACTCTGTTTTTTGTAATATTTTATGCCATTCGTTAGTATGTGCTCAAGAGAGTAGTAAATGTTGAAATGAATTTAAATATTACTGATGTGTTGAAAATGGCACTTGATATTGTTGATGTTCAATTTGAAATTTATTGTTTGCTTCTTATGGAACAGTGACATTATTTTGTTTGACTAATTCTGTGTACCTTCAATTCTGTTATCTTATTAATTTTATTTGATACATTTTAAGAATCATACAAACAATCTTATAAATGCAACAAATAATTCTTACCAATTTTCTTTGTTAATTTGTCAATTTTTTGATCGATATCTTTTAACATCATTGTATTCGTTCGTACAATTGCGCTTTGGTTTTTTTTATTGGAGAAAGAATAGCACTATCAAAAGAGATCTCATGTTCGGAAGAATGAAATTGATATTATCTATCTGGGATCACATGACAAACACACCATACTGTACCAACTTTTCCTCAAAAATTAGTTAATTTAAAATTAATTCAAAATATTATATTTCTAAAAAAGCATTTTATCAGAGAAGCATGAATATCTTGAGGACCGAAAGCACTAGTTAGGATTTCCTGTTCCGCAATGTGTCGGAACAAATAAGATTGTCATGACTACAGCGATATCAAAATTATCACTTTTCGAAAACCAACTTAATTCCGGTTTATATTCTCTACGTACTGGTTTCTAATGATCCCACTGAATGCTCTTATTTAAACTTATTTCAGTGCATTTGTTACAAATTCTTCAGTCCATCATATGTCATGTCATGTCATGCCATCCGACATGCTTCTTACGTCTTCCAGACGTAAAGGACACGTCACATACTCACTCCTCCTCTAGAGAAAACTACTAGTGGACTTTTCTAATTTAACTCAATTTCTTCTCTTCACATCTCACATTCCTTCACCTTCACACTTATCGTTTATCTGAATTTATGAAACGTTCACTTTTTCTTTTAGTATGACTTTAGTTATAACTAAAAATGTTACATTGCACTTGCGTTATTAGCATCAGAACCATCAAATTCGCATCAATCAGTTCACTGAATTGCAATTTAGAACTTTCTTATTTAGGCCACTGGATTTGAAAGAGAAGAATTTAGTTATCAGTACTGATAATAACCTATGAGAAGAGTGAAAGTAATCTGATTGCACGAGCAAACCTAAGGCTTTGTCCATTTAGAACCACCCACTGATTTGACCATTGACCTCAGATCGATCAGTCGATTGCTATGAATTCTCTCTCTCTCTCCCTCCCTCCCTCTATCCAAACGACACTGATGACAGTGCAACCGACGAATGTGATAACAAAATGAATGATCTGAGAAGCACTGGACTGTCTCATTGGAGTGGGCTGCTGGAGCTCTCTTCATTTCGATGAAGTGACACTGAGTCAGATTTTGTGGTGACAGTCACCACTCTGCAGTCTTTGAACAGTTGGAAGATTCGGCATGGTTTTTTGATAAGAACGGTAGAGTAGAACTGAATTCTATGCAAGGCTTTCTGCCCACTAATGATGTCCTCAGATTCAACTGACAGAAGCTCTACTTGCAGAAGATAAGGTAGATGACACGATCAATAGGAGAGGAGAGTTGTTGGAAACGATCAGCAGGAAGTCTTACCCAACATTCAGGACATTTTCTAAAAGTTACCCATCCCAGTTATTTGCGCTTATTCTCCTCACTTATTGGCTTATGGTATTCGGTTGCGTCACTAGCGCCTCATTTATTTTCCGAATACGTATGGAATTGATTGTTTCACTATGTTTAGTAATTTGAAGTCTAATAATCTTCCAATGATAATTTCTATTTTTTCAAATTTGTCTTCACTAAAAATTGCTTCAAACCATTGGATAGTTTCAGTTTCGCCCGAAATTATTGCACGAAATGTAACGCTGCTATTTGAAGAAGAATTCATTGTTGACTGTCGCATTCATAATTTCATTTTGGCAAGTGAATTAGCGCAATTTGTTTCACTCCTAAGTTCCTAATCATATTTCCCACTCTTAAAATACCTCCAATTTACTTACTTACAATTTACTAAGTAACTTTCAGTTCAATCCATCGGAAGAAAGAAATGCTCTGACACACACTCTTCTGTCTCCTGTCATATCTTTAGCATATATCTCTCTCTGTCTTACAGAACTGAAGGAATGAGAACTGAAGGAAATGTCCGTGTCACATTTCTCCCAGTTTGCAACTGGTGACGATGACACAGCTCCAACCTCTGACTCATTTATCGCAATTAATGATATTGTATCTCCCTCAAACATTGTCACCCGTATAGGCTGCGATCAGAGAGATAGCGGGTAAATGATTGGAAGGATAAGTATTCTCTTGAAAAGTCTCTCTCCTCTTCCTGGATTATCACAATACTTGGACAGCTTCCGACAGTATATGACAGTTTTCGCTGTTTCAAGGCCATGAACATTCCTACACCTTGTCTCCACTCTCAAACAATATAAGAATGGCAGTGTCCGGGTAGGCTGGGAACTGCTCCCGAGCAATCCAAATCTATCTAGAAATATGTGACAAAATTATCATGAATGACGACAGGTGACTCGAACGTAGTCATGAAAAGAACACTTTCGTTTGTCTAATTATTGCATTAATTTTCTAGCCCATAAACAGTCGACCGATTTGCAACTAATTATTGCACCTTGCCATACAGTTTCTTCACTGAGTACATTTCATCTGATGACATCACTTATAAATGAGGTGACAGTGTGAAATGATTCATCAGCAAGGAAATCGGAGCTTTGGTTTAAGTTCCGTGACACTTCAGAAAGCGTTTCTTCTGCTAAGTCCGTGATGCGTGCAACGAAATGCGATTCAGGAAATTGATGCTGAGAAAGAATTCTGATAAAACTGAGCCAAAGCAAAGTACTACTAGGCAGTTGACAACTGTGTCATGTCGGAAAGCAATCACAAACAAAAGAGTCTCTCTCTTGCTCTCTCAAATACTTTGTGATCAGATCTAATTGTAGTTAGTTATACTTGCTGATGTGTCATTCGCAAAATAATAGTCTTAAATTTTAGGAAAGGATAGTTGACTAGAAGAGACTTCTCGTTCTTCCTGGTATGACATGGCCAAATTCTTCTCCTCATGATTTGTTCACACTCAGTGCTGCAAAAGATTGTGACAAGTTTCTGAGTGAGTTGTGTCTCGAAGGTCAAACGGCCAAGGACCAAACGAGAGTAGTTGAAGACATTTAACAAGTGACAGTCAGCCATCCTTATCGAAATAGAATGAACTTAGATATCGTTCAACGATCGTTATCTCCCGGGAAATCCAGTAGAAGGGCACAGCATCATTCATGGATGAGCGTAAACAAAAAAGTATATTCTTTTTTCAACGACAATAAAATGAAATCTTATTTCATGAAAAGCATCCCACATTATACTTTGCAAAAACTTTTTAGGACTGAAAATTGGTGATTGGAGTCATAAGATTTCACATAGTAAATAGTTTCTCATTATTAATTTCTGAGGAAATAAGCAAAAAATAAAAATGATTAGGTCTGTCGTGAATACGAACACGTTTGATACACCATTTTAGAGCTTTATGAATGATCAGATCAGATCACGTTGCAATGCAGTAGCAATTTTTAAGCTTTTGTAGATTTCATTACAAGAGTAAATTAATGGAAGGATCAATTACAGTTGTCGTTAGGTTGTTGAAATGGGACATCATTCTGGCACCTGTAACTGAGTGTCACCTGAGAGAGAGAGAGAGAGGGATATCATCGATGAAGGGACAACGCAGTGAAACTTCTGTACGTGACAATGGTCGTCTGCAGCATTTACAAGAGGAAAGGAAAGGAAGTCTCTCCGGAGAGGATTCTGTTTAGAACTAGGCAATACTTCCGTACGTGATAAGAGTCACAAATCAACTCACCTGGTCTCTAACAATTCACATTCACTATACTAGGATGGCAATCTTCATTACGTGACTCAAGCGTTTCTCGAAGTGACGCGATGACTCACAGTGGAAATACTAGTAATGATGATGTTGGCTAAACCGTAATTTTCAATATCAACGTGTGATCCTTCTATTTTTCAGTATCACTCTCCGATAGCAAAATTGTTCGGAGGCTATAAACCAACCGTAAGGTTAGCATGCTTATATTGTTTTTATATCCTTCTCCTTCGTCGTGAGGATTTTTTTTTTTTTTACGAAACTTAGAATTAACTGCCGGCTGACGTATGTCACCGGCAGTCTCAACATGCCGGACAAATCTCAACTGATGGGTCAGATAGTATGTCCGTAGACGAGATGGGATCATTAATTTCCAGGATGACAAGTTCGATTCAAATACGAATAGATGGGGCTTATTAGTCTTATAGGCCGTACTTTATAAAATGAAGATTCCGCTATCTCAAGTTTGTTAGCACTGAGTGATACAGTCAATCCCAAAATGGCATTACAGTATACATATATCGGAGCTTAAAAAGCAGTGTATATCTGTCCAGGGCTCATAAAGTCCTAGAACCATAGGCGACGGCGAAATGGCACCTTTCGAAAAGGAAACAGTGAAGCCATATATTCTTCCGGTCAACAAATCCAAACTGAAAAACATATAGTGATCTAAATCTATAATATTCAGATGAAGATAAGGATAACTCCGCGGAACTGATGGCCGAATTGGCTAGAACCAAGAAGGAACGAATACTGGACAAGACTCGGTGTGATGCTGTATTAGCTAAAGAACATGGCCAAGTGACTAAGCTTCGTAAGCGAGCTTTCATCCATTTCATCACTCATATTTCTTTTAATTCTGCTCATAACTAGTAATGAATAACTTATAATAATAAATGATATGATAATAAAAGAACAGATTTGTATTAAAAGTGTTCAGAAAAAGTAGAGAAAGTATGCCTTTCAACACCGTTCTTGAATACGAGTTTTGCAGGAACGGATCAGAACCAAAAATATTCTGCACGGGAACATACTACTTAATGTGCGTCACACCGTAAACTGCAAGTTACAATATCGGTCTAAAAATAAGAATGCACTCATCTATATTTGTATATTAGTAATTTAATTGCAGTTAGTTCTAGCGCTGTGTTTAATTTATCAGATTTTGTATTGTTTTTACTTACAATTGCAAATCAGCTCCACCGCCAAGTTTTTTATTTACTTTTAATAGCATTGAGATCCAGCTTACTTCCACCTGTTAAATAAAAAAAACACACACAAAACTCCAGAAATCTTCAATTTTCTTATGAATCACGATGGTTTGGAGAGGGATGATTTCAGTATTTCCAGAAAAACCTATACTTGTCCACAACTGAACTACATAAGAGTCTAATTTTTTTTTTGTCACTTTTTTTTTTAACCATTAATTTCCAGTTCCATTGAACAAACTCATATTCCATCCCGTTTCTTCACTTACTGCAGCTTATTTTGAAATATCGTATTTTCAGCATGATTCGACAACACAGATATACACCATGGGACAAACAAAACATGAGAACACAAGAAGTATTGACTAAAAAAGTGCATAATAAGGTAATCAAACCATCATTTAATATATTTCTCCATAAACTTTTTGTGAAATTCAGAGCGAATGGCATCATTGATAAAAACCTGTTCTTTCCTGCGTTCTTCGATTCCTTTCGCACAGTTCTTGAAAACTACATCGTCATCCCATCGTCGTTTGACCTTAATTATTTTATATATATATATAAAAAAAAAAAAAAAAAATGAATAAAATAAAGTAAAAGTCTGACAATAAGCACATATCAGAGCTGACTGAAATTATATCACGGATGTCTGAATGCTGCCGCTTCCAGTCCCAGTAATCCTGACTATGCTATATACTACTAATCATAACAAACATTCATTTTACAATAAAATGTATATATATCACAGATCTCATGCAATACATCACAGATCTCATTATAGATCACTAGTACTGCTATTTCTAGACCGAAATTATTGCAGTCTATAATTTGATGTACATACCTTGAAATCTGATGCCTCCGAATTGAGTAGTGGATTTCCGCGTAGAATGTTTTCGGTCCTGATCCGTTCCTACAAAACACTTCAAGAATCGTTAAATTTTGGCACAAAGCATAAAGCTTCCCTATTTTCTTCGGCAGTTTATCTTCTAACACAAACTATGCTTATCATATTTGTCATTAAAGTTACTTACTAACTACTTGTATATGAACAGAATTAAACGAAATATGAATGACGACATAAAAGCTCACTTATTTATTAACTACTAAATCACTTGGCTTTTACCTGCTCTTCAGCTAATGCCGCATCACGCTGAGCCTTCTCTAGTGCTCTTTCCTTTTTGATTCTAGCCAGTTCGGCCATCAGTTCCGCGGCATCATCCTCATCTTCATCCGAATTCTAAAATCAACATACATGATGACAGATTTAGATCATTATAAACTAACATATAAAACAAAATTACTGATTACGTCATTAACATCATCATCATATGGATCATCTTCGTCCTGGACATTTGGTGCTAAGCTTCCTTCCAGTCTTGGTTTTTTCTGCGCATTCCAACCAGTTTCTCGACTTCTTCGTTCACGTCCTACATTTTTCTCCTTCTCATCCAATTCTCGGCGGAAATCCTGTAAAAACAATGGCAGTCTTGAATAACCAGTGCATTAATAAACTACCTTACCAGCCGAAAGTACGATGCACAGCCTCTGCAAAGATTAAAACTTAAAAGCTGTAGCATATGTTTCCCTTCAAACTTCAAAAATCTGACTGGAATTGTGCTTCCTTCTCTCTTTTTTTACTTTAAACTGTGTGCTAGTATCTCAAATTAATGCACTTAAAAACTCAACTTAATATCCTTACCCGCGACTTAATATCTTCTGCATGACTTTGTCCCTTTTGCCGATATTTAAGTTTCGTGTGTGACGGCATATCCTTGCTTGAATACTGCTGTGACAGCTTCGACAGATCACCCTCATTCCTGCCAGACCCACCACGTGCTGGTTCAAAAGTTGGTCGATGTGCAGTTGTCATTACGATAACCTAGCAGAAAGCAGCTTACAGAAAAAGTGACAATCACGCAATGCAGTCACAGCAGTTTTATATATGCTTACGACGATCACGCATACTTGCAGGACACGCAGAATTGAGACTTGATTGTGAACGCTACAGGTACAAATACTTCTTCATAACACGCACGGCTATGTCATGTCACCAGCAAACTACCCACCCACTCATGACACTACCGCCTCAACACCGCCAAACAATGCGCCCATTTTTCACGGCTGGCCGTCATCTGAATGACCATGACATATTGTTGAGGATGCTATGTTGTTCGATAGTGCTAGAACTGTTCTAGCCCTGTTAGGGGTCTTCTCAATTTATCTGAGTACCTGAATTCTCGAGAAGTCGTGCTAACTTGAAAATAGTCCGCTCAAGTGTATTCTGGACATTGCTCACTTCCTTCATTTACTTTGCTATTGATCTGTTGTCTCTGTCAGTCAGTTCTCTTACGACCAGCAAGGACATGGGCAGGAAAGTCAGGAATACTGAGGGTCAGGAGAAGCGGGGAAGAGGTCAAGAAGGGAAAAGTGTGTCCATCGTGTCTAATGGCTGTTACCCATTTAATTCCTCAGGATAATTAATACTCAAGAACTTTAATAACTAGTGAGATGGTCGTGGAATGGCTTCAAAATGAAACGATGGTAAGTCACCTTACTGCTCAAAAATACATTTACACACTTGCATTTATGCTATGTTCAGTTGATTAAGTTCAGTTTGCTATGTATTTTATTGTAGATTTGTCAAGAATTACATGAATTATTTGCTGTCAATTAAACCTGTTAATAACGGTTTTGGCTAATTCCATGTTTGCACTCAATTTTTTATTAAATAAGCATAAAGTATTGTGAAAAGTATTGTATTTCATTTGTTTAGTGGATCAAGTAACATTTCATCTTTTATAGTGAATCAAATAACATTTGGTCAGGTGGTTTTGTAACTCACTTATTAGTCGGATTATTAATGGGCCGTGTACAGATGTGAAAACTTGTACGTGAATGTCTTTCATTTCATTTCATTTGATGAATTGGTAAACTTTATCAGCAAATTGAAATGTAATAAAGCCAAAATTATTGCCATTTTGCTTTGGTACAATGATGCCTTACACTAAGTCATCTGAGTCATAAGGAATTCTGACTTGAGGTATCTTTTCCGCATCAGTATTAATCGGGCGATTCATTTCTGATACTCATCTAAAATGTTTTGGTACGGTCAGAAATGGAAGGAATTTGTCATTCACCAGTTTCTTTGGATGCCACTGGCCTTGAGATCGATAAAATTAATGAAGTGTTCATGTAGAATTCAACTTTTCCAGGTATTATAAACTAATAATTTATCGTACATCGGTATTTCCCCAATATCCGTGCTCCTTTTAAACTCCCTCCTAAAAGAATTAATAGATGAATTTCAAAAGCGTACTTATATCCATATATATATATATATAATGATTCTTATCCACTGCTTTCATTCTCTTCAGTTAAGACTAAAAGAAATATGAAGTGGGAGTGTATTTTCATAGTCTTTTTAAGGTCTTGGCTAGACAAGGAGGAGATTTGATATAAGTTTCACAAAGCGTAATTTCAGTTACCCTCTACTGCCGAATATACTGAATATAGATTTCATTCTTCATATCGCTAATGGCTATGATTTTCCACTGGAATCATGGCACGTGCTTATTTGATTCTAGTTCATTCTCTTCGGATCTTATCCACTATAGTATTTTGTGGTTTTTTTAAGACTGAAAGAAAATGAAGTAACTGCTTCTATATGATTCAATGGATATAGACATGAATCGCTATAAAAGGGTATTTTGTAATTATGTCTCTTCCTTTCGATGCTGTTTAAGGTATATAGAAGCGAACTGGCTGATAAACTTAGCATTTCAAATAAATACACTTCTGCATATGGATATACAGTACGTTTGTTGGTTTTTTTGTTTTCACGTTTGTTTTGTTTTTTTTTTTCTTGTCCTGGTTTACAAAAAGGGACGAGACTTTTGTATATTTCAAGGGAAAGTCCATACCAGGGGGAAAGGGGAAAGGGGAAAGGTATATTATATGGTTCAAGCTTACGATGCCTTCTGTGTTTTAAGAAAAGGCACCGTAAAAAGATACCAGCAACTGTTTTTATTCAAGTAGAGTGTAGCATATTATTGGGGAATTGAATTTTAACAACGGAAATGAATAACAGTAGTGAACAGTATCTACTAATACAGAAAGGTGTTTAATTGAAAGTAAAAGCAAATATGTGATAGGATTGATACTGTTGTAATATACTACTTTCTTTTCTTTGTTTTTGAGTTAGCTTATGTCTTCACTATAATATGAGGATTGCTTGTTGCTTAGTTTTTCCGATATCATTTTGGATCTTAAGAAAAAGTCTCGAAAAATCAATTACTTTAAATCACTTTCGAATCCCACTTTTTGAATCTACAGTGTTTCAAAATATGCTTTAGATATTCATGCATATTCTTCAGTGGTATGTTCCACCACATCGAAAATGAGCATTAATAAAAGTTTGCTTGATTTATAGAAGATCTTGTGATTGCTTGAGGTGCATGGTTATTTATTTAATCATTTACATTTAAAGATTCACAACTTCGTTGGTTGCAACGTTTATCATATTCAAAAATCACCTGGGTATATATACTTCGGAGAAGAAGGATGCTCATCACCGTTATCCGTTCATGTTTAACCCAAGCAGTTAAAGGTGTGTTCAGGACGATAGGAAGTAAAGTGTTGCCCAGAGGACTAGATAAACCATTATATGTTTTGTTTTGTCCGACTATGAAAACTCAAATCTTTGAAAGTTAGACTAGCATAGTTAAAATTTGTACCGAAACACAGTAATATTCAGGGTAATATATATAATGATTTATTCATTTGTGCTAAAAGGAATTCAATTATGGTAAAAAGCTTTCCTATACTGGAGAACAACTCTTTTAGTGATTATCCCATTGAAAAATCATTTCCATTTCAGTGTATTCGTACTGTGTTCTCTTTTATTTTGTTACAATTGATCTACATCGTCGTATATTTAATGGATTATTCGGAATTCCCAAAAATGTGTAGTTTCTGATAGTGCGACAAGCGGCTCACGACTTGCAGTATAACAGTAACAATGTTTGATCATAAAAATGTTTCTTCAGGAAAATGTCTAAGGCAGACGAAGGACGTTTGATTCATATCGCCAAGAAACGTGAGCGTGCTAAGGAAGCTATCGAGCAAAGACGACGAAAACTGGAGGAAGAAACGAAGAATCGTAAGACTTCCTTTTTTTTTTTTTGATAAGGACATAATGTCCAATTGTGATTCATGCTAATTTTTAAATTATTAGTGCACGATGAGAGGACTTCGGTTGTTTCTTCATTTAAGCTTCTGATATTTCAGTGAAGTCAGGTATCACGACAAAATTCACCGCAAATTATGATGCTATAGAAGATTCTCTGAAAACAAGCACTGTTGGTCTGGTGACACTGGACGAAATGCGAGAAAAGCAACGAGATGTGGTTGAAGCAAGGTTCTGCCCTGCCATCAATTTTTACCGTGGATTACTCCGATGTTTGATACTCATCAATATGAATATTTTTCAAAATTTTGAATATACAATAATAACAGCTGCAAATAAAGCTAGAATTGGAGTGGATATTTTGAGAACCGAACGAGCAAGCTAGGATGTTGACCAGCCGTTTTGGTCATAGGTCAAGGTAGGGTAGAATCTCATATCATAATAGAAAATGCAGTGAGTGAAAGATATTGGATGTGAACTTTGATAATTCTGCAGGGAGTTGCAAAGAGCGGTTGAAGGTAATTCGAAGGAAGCTATTAGAAGTGCAGATAACGATAGTAAAGGTTGTCAAGTAAGTTCTAATATTATATCCCTTCATATACATCATTGCTTTTATTCATCATATTTAAGTGAGAAATGATGATTGTAATTTAACGGCTTGCATTCATATATTATATTTGTGGAAGGTATTTACTTGGCTCCATTACCATATCATCAAGGAATTTGTCTTTAGTCCACGATTCACCATCACTCCATACTTAGATTTAGTGATCTTCCTGTGTGTACTTCCAGCCTCCTCAATTTTCCGTTCATTTTATGCATATTTAATGAATGTTGTAATTTCAGAAACGAGTGCTTTCGTTTGCATTCAGTGATGAAGATGAAGATGAAGAGGATACAGCGTCTGTGCCAATAGAAAAAAAAGTTGGCGTTTTGATGCTTATAGGACTTCGCTTACCACAAAATTGCCAGTTGCCAGTAGATGTATAATCTAATTTCAGCGAATGGGCATGGATCCAACGGTGGAGACAGCATTCCTTCCGGATCGTAACCGAGAAAAAGAGATGGCTAGGTAAGTTTGTGTTCACTTCATTGATTTTTTAATAATAAATTTTCAAATGAATATGTATTAAAGGTTGAAGGAAGATCTCGCAAAAGAGTGGCAAGCATTGCAAGAGAAAGAGAAAAACGAGGAGATCAATATTGCATTCGTTTATTGGGATGGCTCTAGTCATCGGAAGGACTTGAAAATGAAAAAAGGAAATACAATATCACAATTTCTTGTCCGTGCACTTGAAGTAATATTTCATACATTTTACCATCGTCACAACTTTTTCTTCCTCTCTAAGAGAAGAGAACCACTGAAATTCACCAGTTCAATCATACTTTTGCAGTTATTGAAAAGGGAATTCAGTGAAACGCGGGCTGCTGTACCAGAGAGTTTGATGTTTGTTAAGGAGGATCTCATCATACCTCATTTCTACACGTTAGTTTTTTTTTTTATTCCATACTATCAATGGAAACGTAATTGTCAGAACTGAATCTGAATCTGTTACCTTTACTACCGATATTTAATGCATAATAACTACACATCATATATTTTCCGCATATAGAATAAAGGGAATAGAATCCGTACAGGTATATCTGCAAATAAAAATGTCATCGTCTAGGTTCCAAGATTTCATTGTAACGAAAGCAATGGGAAAAACTGGTCCTCTCTATGAATTTGATGCCGCAGGGGAAATACGGCTAAGGCAGGATGCTGCTGTAGATTGTGGCGAATCTCATCCAGCCAAGGTATCATCAAAATTCACGATGTATAATTAGTATCAATGACTTCTTTTCATCTCTCTGCAGATTAATTGAGAACCGATTAATAATTTCAACATTAAAAATCTGTGTTTAAAAATCTTTAATCGATGCAGAAAAATAGTTAATGTGACAGATCAGCTTCATTCATATTTGTGCCTTGTGGTGTGTTCAGTTAATATGGCTTAAAGAAAAATACTAAAGACTTTTAGGCTTTAATGGAAAAGGAAAACAAACTTTAATGGAGAAGGGGCAAAAATCCTTAGTAAGAAAAACTAATCCATTGCATTACTTTTTCAGGTTGTACTACGAAGTTGGTACGAAAAGAACAAACATATATATCCTGCATCTCGATGGGAAGCTTTTATACCTAACAAAGAATACAGACGAACAATTGATGATCTCACCACCATTTGAAAACTCATGATAAATTTGTAGTGGTTTCGTGTTTTACGCCATGAATGCAACATTTATTAATCTTTGATAGAAACAGCTGATTTCAGCTTCATACATGTTCGTAGTCGTCACATATTCCCACTATCCACACTATGTTAGTGTTAGTATTGTTAACTTCACAATGGAGATAAGAAGCAGTTCACAGTACAAAAATTTTTGGGAAAACTTTATTCACCAACAGAGGAAATCATTTAATTCATGCATACATATGAATATTCCTCCTTTCTAGTTTTTATCATATGGTTTCAAGACATTCGCATAATTCATTAGGACTATCACGGTATATCTTAGTTTATAATAACGTCCATCAAGGCCACATGTACCTAACACATATACGAAGAAAGATCCTACTTATCGTTGTAAAGAAAGCCCCTTGAGCTGTTCGATACAGGTATCCATATATTTTTCCTTAATGTTCTCTTTATTATCCATTATCTCTGATTGGACCTGCAAATCTTTTTCATTGATTTACAATATTACAGCGATACTTTTGGGCAATAGAATAAATGTACGCAATTTATTGTTAGTCAGACAGAAGGTGGATCTCATATATTACCAAAAAGTGCATGAGATTTCACTAAAGCAGAAGTTAGGGAAGAGTTTAAACTTACCGATTTGATGATCCATTTTAACATGTGGTCACGAGCGAAACTATATTTTACAGCTTCCGTTTCTTGTAAATAATCAAGGCGACGTTTCATCTCAGTAGTCAATCTCTCCACGTTTTTTCGATAAGTTGACTCTAATTGAAGGGCCAAATTCTCTTTAAAGATTGCTGGATAGTACTCCTTCACAGCTGCATAAGCACTTCTTTCAGCTTTTGATGTCTAAAATGAGATTCCAGCCTAGAAAACTACTGTCGGAGTCCTATCCCGAATCTGGGTGTCTGCGGAAATTATTCCATTTTTTCCTTTTTATAATAAAAAATCATTGCAGAATATTTCAATATAGGAAGGAATTTCAATAATAAAAAAAGGACTGCTCTATCAATACTTTATCACTGCTAGCACTGTGTTACTTATGCAGCATCTCACCTCCTGAACTTCTCGAACTGCTTTGAAGTTATTGTCGATGATATCCAGGTATTTCTTTTCCACTTCTTTACAATTTTCATAGAAATATTTGTCCCATCGATCTGTAACAGTCCGGATTGTAAATAAGAAAAAAAGATGGTAGATGTTCCCAATATATAAAGCAAACTGTTCAATACAGAAAGTGGTGTAAAGTGGGAAACGAAACAACAGAGTTACACGGTTTATCACTTTGAAATTTACTGCCATTTTCTCCAGCTCTACCGAATGAAAGCAACGGATAAAAAAAGTGTAAGTTCTGTTTCGAAAGGCAGGAACATATAAAAAATATTAGTGAAGAGACATTAAATAAGGAAATTTGCGAGGACTCACAGTTGAAGGCCCTGGAGAATATGTAATAGTAGAAGAGGAGGACCAAGATCTTCATTCTATCGTGGGCAATCTCAAATAGCCCCTTCGTATGCAGAAATGCATAAAGCATCGCGAAGAATACATATGGCCCTACAGAAGCATAAATTTATCAGTGTAGTATTATTAATGATGGAGAAATTATTAGATTACATAATCGAAATTAATGGGAAAAAAATTAGCCGCTGACATAGGCTCACTAAAAACCAAGATTTGTCACCAAAATTAAAACGCGCCGATTCTTAATGTGATTCCAAAGGAATCACAAGCACTCGTACCAAATCTTACTATTTCAGAAGTCTATAACACAGATTTCAAGAAAAATATTGGGTTTACCAGATGTCCCGGTGTATTTATGGAAATCATTCATAAATTTGTCTGGCACGATCAGAAGTCGCAATTTCGGCGGATACATACGCTTCACAGGATATGGATAATTCACCTAAGAATAGGTCATGAAGCAGTGAAAATCATACGTATCAATATCCTACTACAACATTGTAAAATCCAATTTGATTCATCATACTGATAGAAGATAAGTATTCAAGGAACAAAACCAAAAAATATCTTTAAACATACCAAATCACGTTCCGGATATTCCTTGAAATCTTTTGGTATCTCTGGTAGAGGTGGGGGAATATACTGTTTCCCGATATCCCTCATAAAGGATATCGGAGCATGCGTCTCATCCTTCAGCGGGATTCCTATAAAACAATGACATACTACAATACAATGCTGACTAAGGAAATGAAGGTACTTGAAAGATTCGAATGCAAAAATCATAATCTAAGAGTTCAGTAATAAAAACGATGTATTATTAACAAGCCAACCTTGAAAACGACATTTCAGTTTCGTAAAAAATCCAATTTTTTCTGGTACATCTTTCCTTCCTACTACATTGCTTCCTTGCTTCGCAGTGCTCATGAGAACATTAACTAAAGTTGCGAAATATTACAAAGTTTTATATCCATAACTTCAATTTTCACATCCCTCCTACACAAACCATTGTTTCGATCAATTATCAGGAACTTTGTTCTTTATTCCCACTTTACTTAAACGTCGCAGTGACGCATCAATGACACGATCAGCAAATCGATGCGAGACAATGAAAAATGCTGAAGGGAAAGAGTTTACTTGTATATGTCGGTTGACTACGCCGTAAAATAGAAGCTTCCATGGGCCGAGTTCCGGCGGCCAATGCATACCGATTCAGCGCCATCACGAATCACAATACGACAGAGTAAAATACTGCAACATATTCGAATGAATGATGGCTTGTTGCTGCGCTGCGCGACGGATTATGCACGAAACAAAATGCAAAATAGAAAAGCAATTAAAACAAATTCTAATAGATCATTCACTGATAATATTAAAGAATGCATATGGGCCTATTTACTAAATTCTTCTTAAAATCTAAGCTCGATTTTAAAGAGAACTTATGCTATTGAATGATTACAAGTAAATTTGGAAAAGAATAGTTGTCACGATAAATGAAATAAAGTAACACACGAGCATAAATGAATGAAAACAGAACAAACTGAAACTTCTATGAAACTTCGACCTTTCTTAAAATGATGCATATTAATATATAATAAACAATTTTTGTCCACAATAATAACTTCCGTTCTGTTTAGACGTATTAACGCCAACATTAACGCCAAATGTACCACCACAAATGCAAGCGAACGTGTTAAATACGTTCACGAAATAAACGTACACATTCACGGAAAAAAAGATTGAAGTTCGCCATGATACTCATTCAGCGTAATACATTTCTCTATTTCTCACACGTCTCCCCACGCAAGTAATGATACAAGTGACAATATCGTGTCATTATCTCGGGACCATTTCTCGGACCGTCGTCGCTTTCCCGAGCGGATGGCCACAACGACATCACTTCATCAGACTATACTGTCACTTTTCGAAGGAGTTAAACCGGGTAGAATTACGGGTAAATAATAAGTAGTGACAGGTAGAATATTCGAATAGAATGGATACTCAAACCAATTCACTCGACTGTTCCCGAGTTACCTGCCCACTTTACAGCTCAGGTACGGCCAACCGCAAAACACTTGGACCGTCTGCAAGACCGCTTGTATCGCTGATTTTCGGATTCCCTGAAGATTAGAGATCGGTAGGACATTGCTTCCAGTGTGCCGGGAAGTGGGAATGTATAAGCGAGATTTCTAAGCAAGACTTTGGGAGAACAGTACTGAGTGACAGTTCCGTTGCCCGTGTCCGGAAATAAACACAAGCGTACGTGTGTGGAGGAAAACACAAAAGTGGTAAGATGTATTGGTAGGAGTACAAGAAATTAGAGCAAGTTATTGTAAGAATGGGTTAGCATTTAACTATTACTCGAATTACTAATCTCTTCTAATAATTTCAACATTTAGTAGTACAATGTAAGCCAGCACCTCCAATCTCCAACATAATAGCAGTTAAAATTATACTAGCACTAATAAAATGTTCAACAGGAACGTTAGGTAATTGAACATGAAAAAAAAAGGACTGGAAACTTAACCAAAACATAAGTAATGCATTTATCAGTGTGAGTATCAGTGACCCATTTCTATGTAAAAGTAGTTTGTTGTTGTCAAGTTATTTGGTTGGTTTTATTATTCTGTGGATGATTATGATATTTCTTAGTATACGTATATGCCGTGTAGGAAGTATAGCTTTTCCAATTCTGTGTGACTTATGGACTTTTCAGGTCCTTTATTGGACTAAATGCAGTTATCTCGATACTTAGTGTTCACGTGCCATCGAGAAGGCTCATATTTCACTTACTATAAATCATAAGATTGCTATGCTTAGCGCTTCATCACAGAGCCGTCTGTTGGGCTCCGCTATTCAGGTGAAATCTATAAGTTAATGTATTGAGGTTGTCACAGAAAATTAGACTAGCTTGTATATCGACGACTCATTATCAGTTGAAGTTAAGGGAAAGGATAGAAAATTATATTGTATAATTGAGAAATATATTATTTTGAGACGTTGTGCGTGTAGTGAACATTGTGTTTATCATTAGAGTTGAGGACAGCTCGAAATAGTGGAAAAAACCGGCCGTGATGGGAAGCTATGTCATAATTACCAAGTTGTTCATTTATACTATTTTTGCAACAATTCAAATTTCAGACACCTGTTAGCCAAGGTTGCATTTCGTCCGCTTCATTATTCTCTTATTCGGCATCAAATTTTATTTACGATTTAAGGAATCCTCTATCAAATGATAATGAAGATTGCTCAAAAGTGAGTCAATTCTTTCAGACGTAAACATATTTTAGGACGAAATACATTATTATATTGTATTAATATCGGTTTCTTATTTCAACCTGGAAGCTCTCGCTTTGAATTGCAGCAGTGTTTGTTCGTTTTCTTTCAAATAAGAAGCACTAGCCTGTTTATTTTGAGCCGACATTGTTTTCCAGAGTATTACTTCAACTTAAATATCTTTATTCGGGAGGGAGAGTATACTCAGCTGCATTCTTTTTTTCTTTCATCCACATTTCTTTATCCCGGTTTTCTTCTATAATATTTCTCTTACAAATACTTTGCTAATTTCTTCATATTACTTCGAAGAAAAGTTCACTGAATTATTCAGATTTCATAAATTAAGAGCTCATTGCAGTTCGAAGATATACTTATATCCAGATGGGAAGATGCTGAGAAGCGTAATGTATTGAACTATGATCTAAACTGTATGTACAAACTGCTGGAGGGTGAATTCAACTTTTCGGTACAGGTTTGTTACCTTGATTTCTAATCAATTATTAAGCTACTCTTGAGTCCAATGAAAGGTTCCAGTAAGTTGAGAAAAAGCGAGATATGTAACAGTTCGACCCATTGTGACATTGATCAGAAAACTTAGCTCTTACAATTCTCTTTTCTGGTACTTTTGTTTTCGTCTTTTGGTTGGTCTACATTATAGTAATATAGTAATTATGCAATACAATAATATGCTACAATTCAATGGAAAAAAATGATCAGATTATTTAAATTGTTTATTGTCCCAATCACTGTTTCCAATCTTGGCTTCAAAACTAAGACTAATAAATTGATTGATGTCACGATATTAAGTATCGATATTCTTTGAGTGAGTCCGCTTTTATTTACTTAGTATTTATTACAAGTTCGACTGCATGGTACTTCTGGTTTGCAGAAGCAATGCAATTCTGGTCAGCAATACTTTTAATACACACACATATATACTTCCTTGAGACTGATGATAAAATGTGCAGGATGAGCATGTGTCATTTTTGAGAACCTGGTGTTTATCATTCATCATTTTTAATAACATCAATTAAAGAAAAGTTTTTGGTCGACAATTAGTTCAAGAAAATTGTTGCTGCACAGTTTAGCGGAATTAATTGCAGTTTTTAGTGTAAAAGGGTTTTTATATCTAATATATAGGTGAATAAGTTAGAGAAAATCGATTTATTGTCTTCAGCTGAATGTTGAACGTGGAGAAAAGAGGCGTAAACCAATGCATTTCCGTGCATTACGTGAACCTTTTAGTAATCTGAGATGGAATTTCACAAAATTGAAAGAAGATGAGGTCAGTTTGTGATCAACATCAAGAATTAGTTATTGCCATCTTTTACAATTTTTTGAAATATAATTTTCTACGGCATATATGTATATATCCCTTTCTGTTATAAATCAACCGATCATGAGTGATTCAAGATAGAATTTTTTTTAAGATACTTTTATATCTGCAACGCAAGGACCATTTACTAAGCAATGATACATCGGATTATCATGTTGTTGCAGTTAATGCTTCACCGCTTGCAAGAGGACATTCTTTGCTATTGCCATGCATAAATTGTTGTATACCACAGGTAAATTTCGCTCCACTTAATTGAAGGCAGTATTATTACTCAGAAAAGAAAAAATTTGGGCGCTATGTTTTCCAGATGGTGCGATCGTCAGTCCTGAATATATATCTTTTCTATTTTATGTTTTTTTTTTATTATGGGAAATGTGCGATGATAGAAACTACGCATATTTTCCATAGGGACAAAAAAAAAAAAAAAAAAACAGCATGACTTTCAGTTTTTAAAATGAACCTATTAACTTTCTAAATGAAATATTTTGCAGATCTTGTCCGAAGTAGCAGTTCGTTTGGCAACCGATATAATGCTTTTAGTGAGGGATAACTCCTTTCACATTTTATTCAACAGTCTTCTGGCGTTGGCTTCCATTAATCATCTACACCTTCATCTTTTAACCTGGCCATATGACTCTGACTTGATCAATCGCGTAAGCTTCTGTCCAACATCTTTATTCCTTCATATCCTATTTCTTATCCTTTGTAGCACCTCTCAAGGCTAATGTAATATATCTTTTATTACATGTGTCGCTGTTATACATGATCAGTGAAGTGTATCGCAGTTAGGATTCGCTCTCTAAATCCTCACATTATTTTATCGTATGTAACAAAAAACTGAAGTGTCTAGTAAGTATAGCAGTAATATCGTAACTGATTTATAGAGGTGTGAACATCTCATCGATAATGTATATGTCGTCAAGCGCCCGATATGGTTTGCGTATGCTTTTGTCTTCCAGTTAACTGGTTCAGAGCAATATGAAAAGTTCGTTATGTAAGTCCAATACTTCATAAAAGGTGGGAAAGTGGAAGGAACAGAATACTTGTTCGTTTCCACTCGTCACAGAATTTTCGTTCTAATTCACCAAAAGTTTCAATTTCAGGAATATAGCACGTTGTGCAGACTATCTAAGCACTCATGAAGTAGCGCACAATGTTTTTTTCTCACGTGCGCAACCACTAAGAACATCTGGCGCTATTCAATCGGAGGATAAAACAAATGTACTTCCACAACTTGTCACTGCATATATTTTCCCGCGTATTGCTGTTGTTGGTTTGTTCTTTACATTTTTTACAGTTGTAATCATCAGCTTTCTCATATATTCCTGTTTTCCAAAAATTTTGCTAGTCTCTCTCAACTCTTCGTGCATTTTTCTAGTAGATAAGGTCGAAGAACGATGGTGAAAGATTGAAGAGATATTTGTATGGTGCCTTCCATGTGCTTCTTCAGGATGTTGAGAAGCTTAATTCTTGCTACATATTTTATTTCTTGTATGCATAATGAAAAGGTTATATTTTTGATGATGATATTTTTAATGTTATATTGATATGTCATGTAAGTAAATAAACGTATTTATAGGAGCCAAACCGGTGAAAAGTTTCAGTCCAGCATCTTTGGAACTCTCGGGATGTTTGACTGCCTACAGTAAGTATTTATCTACTTTATCAAAAAATACTCGGTGATATTCATATTCTGTCGGACTATAGATTTTTTTCGTTGGCTTCTTTGCAGGGCAAGGTGTTGGAGTTAATTCATGCTTGGTACCTACAGTGTCTCCTTCAAACATTTTGCAGCATATCAGTTTTTCGACACAGTCACTGAAGAGGGAGTGCTGCGCACAATAGACGAAGAGGCAACATTGCCTGACTCACGGTTCAATCAAATTTGTTCCGAACTGAAACGACTTCTGTCAGGAAAAATGCTGGTCGAGCAGAGTACTGCTGACAAGATCGAGCCGGTAGGCTTTATTGATGTTATCATGATTTTGTCTTGGATGAACTTGATTGCGCTTTTACTCCTGGAACTAGCTGATTAGTAGATTTGATCATAGATTTTCTAGCTATCGTCGTCAGAGCTAGAAGAATTGCGCGATTCATTCCAAACATTCGAAATGCATTCGCCAAGGCGCTTCTTCCCTGCAGATGATCAACAATTTACATTCGAAGAAAAAGGAAAACCAACAAACACCAACTCAGGAGCTTCTCTTTGACAGCTGTTTCCCATGCTTCCTGCTTGCGTTTTTTTCTTCCTTTTTTTATATCGAATGTCTGTTTATTATAATGGAAGACAAAAAACAAAGGCAAACTTCTTACTCATTTGTGCCTTTCTGTAGCTACTTTGATGGTATTCAACACTATTGAAAACTTGTTGATACTGCAATCTGCTTATAGATAGATACCTTTTTTTATCTTTACCCTTCATTTTCGCTTCGATATATTGACAGAGCACTAGTTGACATGTTAAATAGATACACATTGCTGATTGAAGTGAGCATTTTCGTGGAAAGAACATGACTCGATCAAGTGCTGAAGATAATAGTAACACTTACATCTCTCGAATAGAAGGAATAACATGAGAAATTATTATTGATAGCAGCAAGCCTAAGAAGATTAGCTGATTTTGTGTGGTGTAATTTAGGGCGTAAAAAGCTTACTACCAGTTTTCATTTATATTTAGTGCTAGGGAGGGAAATATGGTCTTTCTATATTTTCTGCTAAAAATACTATGCTAAGGCATATCCGTTCTTTCTTCATTGACCGAAATGAGTTTACCGCTTTATTTCTCCTGGCATACCATGTTTTGCACTTGTAAAAGTGCCCCGTCACTCTTTACTACTGCTTTTCTTTGCAGTAGGGAATAGTAAAAATTGACAGACTTCATTATCAGTTCTTAACTTCCACGCGTTCTATGTTTAAAGTGCCTTCCTTTCAAGTTCCTTACAGATACCAATTCTTCGTTTGTTCCCACCATTCTGCTGTCAATTTCATTTTTTGATTTCGAGAATTAGGAATTTCTTAGATGTTAGATTGTTTTGTTTCCCATATGTGTGTGTCAGTATTATTTTCAGTCAAAGCCTATATTCATATATGTATCCTCATCCGAAATGATATATGGATTGATTTTAATAATAAATCTACTTGATATTCATACTTGAAAAATCATACTTGAAATATTATCGCTTCTCCTTGCTATGGAGAAGCAACAGAAAAACTGACAGATCTTCACTATTGCTCATGCCTTTACTTCAGAGACACTCAACCATCATGAACTGCAGTGATCAGTGTGACTGCTGGAAATATTCACATCTCTTTTAAGATTCTCACCGGCAGCGAATACTGTGTCTTTACAAAAAGTGAGTAATTGCAGCACAATAAATCTGAGTTTTCCGAAAATCATCTAGCTATAGATTCGCCCTAAAAAATTCACAAATGTCGTCATCGTATTAAGTGAGGTAAAGACATTGTTATTCTGTTAATAATTGAAATACACGAGGATTTAACGGATCACAACGTTGTTTCCTCACTCTTATCGGTAGTCAGAGGCGGTTTAATATTTCGCCCTAACATCAAATGCCGATGTTGGATGTCTCGGAAGCCTTCATCATTAAGCACAAAGCGATGTTTGTTGATTTTGATCGAACCTTTCACAAGTGACCATAGCTGATGTCCGGCACTTCCCAGAATTCGAACGTTGTGCCTTGTGAAAAGCACCTAAAAGTGAAGCAATTTAGCGACGCTGTTAACTGATATCATTTCAGTTTATCTTTACAGTTAACAAAATGAAAAGTGAAATTTAATTGATATCATAATATACAATATATTAATTGCTTAAAAGTTTCTACTATCTCTTTGGACAAAACTAAAAGTTGTGAAAACTCAATTCAACTATAACTGAATTTTCATTTGATTATATACTTAATTCGGGCGAAATTCTTCCTAAAAAGTTAAAAGAACAATAACTGACACACATAAGGCTATAAAAAATCGTCATATTTTTTTGCAACTACATTAGTTACTGCCATACTATGTACAAAAAATTACTCCATTAGCAGAATTAGAAATATCAACTACACTATTTTCAATGCATTACTATTCAACAGTGACTGTTTCTTGCCCATCTCTAAGGAGTAAAATTAATCTAATCAGGAAGAAGCCAATCTTTTATTTGTAATTTCCTTTTCCTACGAACTAACAACTAATATATTTACCTGGAAATAGTAATTTAATTTTAGCGGAATTTTCAAGATTGTTTATAATTCGAACATTTCGAAATGGTAATGCAGCCAAAAGATAAGTGCTACATGTAAATTTGGGGCAGAACAACTTGAAATTAACTAAGAAAATAGCTGGATTTTCTAAACACACATATTTTACTAGGTATCGAAATTAGACGCAATGAATGTCGTAAGATAAAAGTTTGCTTTCCCGATATGGAAAGATAAAAATGAGCGTTTCGTCCCATTTGTTCTAATCAACCTTATAGCAGCTTCCTTCTTCGAATTAAGCAGGGAAGAAAAAAAGAGTCCAGAAAGAAATAAGAGACGAATATTCAACAATTTACTACAGCTATTTTTCTTTGCGAATCAATATTGATTCCCGAGCAAAATGAGAGTAGGAGAGACAGCAATGGTTTGTCCGATTCATACAACGACATTAAAACAGTTTTCAGCCAAGTGTAGAAAAATAATCAGTAGTAGAATTCCGAGAATGAAAATCCAGTGTTAGGTTCTTTTCTCAATATTTTTGTTATTCTTAGATAGACCCTGTTCCTAAAACGTAACGACCATACTCCCACATAAATATTCAAGTTCAATGTTCAAATTATTTTTGTTCACAGTGACTCGTAAGAAAAATGAAACATGAGTGAGACTTCAGCTAACCTTTCGTGTAAATATCCCATAGTGAGAGATGACGGCAAAAAACAATTTCTGGTCTTTTTTACTGATATAAATACGATGAATTCTTATGGCATTCAGATGCCATGCCAAATACATGACCACCAAAAACGAAAATATCGGCAGTACAACAAGAACACCCATCTGCAAGCTATCATATTATGTCAACATAAGTAATACGACACTTTTAAAAAATAATACCTGCTGAACTATGTTAGTATCTTTGACAGCATTCCATAGTCGGCCCCTTTTCACGTTAGCCACACAATTCTCGGATGTCAAAAAGCCAATCAAGGGTACCGCCAGGGTAACTAGTAAAACAAAACGTGAGGCATAATTATCGCGGTAGATCATGAACCACTCATTTTCACTTATTCCATCCCATCGATGTAATCTTTTCACGATTCGCTGTGTGAACCGTCTGTTCACTTCCTGTAATAATTGACGGAGATAAACCATATGAGATGCTGTTCGAGCAGTTTCGTTAAATTAAATTAAATATTTCTGGCATGATGACAAGTGAAAACAAGGTACGATTAGTTGCGCTAGTAGCACGGTTCAACTTACAATACTTAATAAAGAGAAAACGTAACGCTTCACGTACTTCATGTAAATTCCCAAGACCTCTTCCTCTGCTGCTAACAGCGGTATGTTCCCACCGAATGAAACGTACACGTGCGATCGATGGAACGAAACATAGAATCCTGTGGCACATCCACATATATCTACATACAAATCATATGTTCCATCCGGAATACATACACTTAATCTGACGTAACACCTGTCGTACACACGTTCACTTCCCCTTCCAGAAACGTACACTTTGCAATCCAAGTTTCGATCTATCACTCAGTTCACAATGAGATGCTTGTTATGAAAATTCTATTCAGAAATATCTCACTGATATAATTTTCTCAAAGTGATTGGTCGGTTACCTTAGGAAGTTAGTTTTGAAGAAGCATTTGTTGTCGTCATCTCATTTTCTCGGCAATTCCTTCCACTCTTTGTATTTCTCACTCCTTTGCGTGATCGAATCGGAAAGTATAGCATTATGCTGTTGTAATGAGATAAGGTGTGGCAGAGGTAATTTGGTTATTATTATATCATAATAAATGTAAAGTGTGATATGAAATGGATCTCATTGTTTATATTTGTATTCACGTGGAGCAGTCCGTTGGATTGCCGCACTAGCAATGATTATCAAAGTAGGTATTCTGAGATTCTTTGATTTTGTTTTATGGGCATTTATGGGCATTGGGTCCTATGCAATGTGGGGAGGCGGTATTGTTGTGGTAGTTGGAAGGAACTCTCAACCAATCATATCCATCAGTTAGCTCATTAGAATTTGAAGGAGCAACATTTTGAGGAGTTCCGCATTTTGATGCCGCTCGAGATGGATGAATATTATCGTGGGCAGTTATTTGCAGTATCAGAGACGAGCAAAAATGAGACTGGAGGAGGAGATGGTGTTCTGGTACTTCTATTATTAAGTGATGCGTAGTTGGTTGGATCTAGAAGGTGCTTCGCACTTGAGAATATCTTGAGACTTAGTCAGTGAAATAACTATTTGCCCCTTACAGAAGCCACCTAACAGGTAATGGAACAAAAATGAAGGAAGGAAAAAGAAAGTGGAGACAAAAGTTTCTAGAAACTCGTATATCGTCTAGCGAGTTTTCCTACGGTGAATATTCAGTATTTCATTAGTTAGATGCAAACAGAATATAGAAAATAGGGAATCAACATTGCTTTACAACTACAAGTACCAAATCCTTTCCAGCTTACCGAAAAATAGTTTTAATATTCTTATAGCGAGGTTCTTATACTTGGTCTGAAAGTGGATAGAATAAAGAGCAGGGGAGAAAGGCATAGCAACTTTTAAATTTAAGGGAGATATGAAAAGATACAGTTGTTTGGCCTCTTTTTTGCAGGTATTGGAAAATGACGGTTTTACAAGTACGACGGTGCGTCCGGGTCATTCTATCACCGGTATTTACACACACAAAATCTATCGTACTAAGTCAAAATCGCCATGGGCGTTACGTAAAATATTTCCTGACGCAGCATTCGTGTTACACGAAGAATGCTGGAATGCATTCCCATATTGTAAAACAGTTATTAAGGTTAGTTTATTGACTGTTCTTGCCTTTTTTATTAAGTAGCACCTATATAGGACAGTACACACTGATCTTAGCAAGCACCATATTCCCCCTGTTCTACGGTACTTCCTTAGCACAAAATGATGAAAATGTATATTGGCAGAATCCCGATTATATGAAGGATGGTTTCTACATTAATATTGAATCGATGCATCTTCCGGATAAAGGCCATACCGAAAACGTAAGCACTTATGTCTGGAAAGTTGTGATAGGAGAAAACCCCTACAAACTAAATTATGATTCCTGTCACAGAAGGGGAGCAAAGTTCAGTTCTAAGTCACTCAGGACTAAGTGCAAAGAAGCCGTAATGCATTATTTGCATGTCATGCACCTTTCTGGAAGGAAAAAGGACGTCTTCACGATAAGGAAAATAACTTCTGAATGGATAATAGCAATATTTTTTAAGGCATTGGATTTGAGCCCGGCATTATTAAAGAAGCGCGAGGTAATCATTATTGATATCTACGATGATAGCCTGTTGAAAAAATCGGTAAGCCACAGCAGGGACTCTTTTTGGTGTTATTTAACAGCAGTAGTACAGTTGCAATACTGGCTGTAGTTGCAACTGCAGTAGCATAGAAATGATAACGTGTTGCTCTGCACGTTGCAGAATAAAACATTGCTAGTTTTCTGTTTTATTTTGTATGTTTACAATGGCTAATATTGAAAGTTTGCAGGATATTACACCTGAAACAGATGTACGTGAATTTGAGTCTAAAAAGACTGGTCGTGGAAGATTGCCGAAGGACTGGATTGAGACAACCAAACCGGTGATGTGTTGTTACAAAGTTCGCTTCTTGTTGCTGATCACATAGCATATGAAGTGGCATCTTCGGTCATTTAATCTTGAATGCTGTCGAACTCGATCCGTTAATACTTATAGTATTCGAGTGGAATTATATTTGTGAGGAAATTAAAGTTTTTCAAAGAGCAGCAATAGTTTCAGGTAGTACAAGTACATTTTAAAATGTTTGGATTCCAAACAATGGTAGAGCACGTTCTCCAGAGACAGTATCCGCGAATATTTGCAAAATTCAATCGGTGAGTTATTATTTATCAGTGCCTCTACAGTGCTGTGGAGTGTGTCGGTAAATTTAGTTTAGGTAAGAAAGGAGGCAGTACAGGAGATTCTGTCAAATGTTAAGGCATATTTCTCAACATCTTTTCTGGTCGTTAGTCGTTATTTTCTTGTTCGACTAGTTATCACTAGTTGAGATTGCACAACATATTAACTTTTTACAGGGAGTTATACTGCTGGACCGATCGATGGTACGATATGACGATTGAGGATATCAAAAAGATGGAGAGAGAAGCGACAGAGCAATTAAAAAAACAAATTGCCGAACCGGAAAAACGTGGCACCGTGTGTGATGTTGATGATAAAGGGACAACTTAACTTTCCTCAACTAACCTGTCTGTCTATCATTGCTTTCAGTGACTCATTCTATTCCGGTAATGAAAATCTATAAAAGACCGATGCACATAACTATCCATCCTGCATTCCCGAGAGATTTTCTAGCACTCAGTGGTAGTATCAGTCGATATGTTAAGAATAAACTTACTTCTTCCTATAGGTGAATCATTATTATTTCTCTGGAACAGTTACAGACGCAACAACATCTGATGGAAGATCTTTCTATAATTGTTTCTTCCTCTTTAGGGACAGATCCATGCCTATTACAGTAGACATATTGAATATTTCAATACATGAATATGTGTTTGTGATCAGAACCATTTGTGAAAGTCATTTGTTTAGTTAGTCCATGTTGAGGCATATCCTATTCCAAAATCAGATTCATTCTAGAACGACTGTATCCGTTGTATTTTTTGGAAGCAATTTAGGAGTTTCAGGATATCAGTTAGGATTCAGTAACTCTGGCTACATAATAGGCACTAACTGATTAACCTGAACACTCAGACGTGTTGGAATATGGGAATTTTCTTTATGAATATTTTAGTAAGAAATTGTCTGATTTTTTACCTGCAATCCAATCTGATGGGTAAATTGACTTAATGATTGGCACAGCAAGCCTTCAAGAACTCCATATCAGGGAACTAGCCATTATTGTGAAAGACTCCTCATTACTATGCTAAAAAGTTAATAATTTTGGAAATAAGCTCTACAAACAAAGCAATAATAATTGAGGGAAAATGTAATCTGGTAAATATCGATTGTGTAAGCTACCTTCTGAAGAAGTACGAAACAAGATATAATATGGTTTCAAGATGCATGTCAAGAAACCACAACGTTCAATTCCAGCAATCAACGCAGCTCTTGTATGGTCATACAAGTTTAAAAGGTAAGAATTATCCTTGCCTAACGATGGATTATGTCATTATTTTTGAAGAAAGCTCTAAATATCAACACCTAACACACAGAAATTAGTTCTAAAAAAATCAGATGATTTCCAGAATGGAACGGTTCCGGTCTTCGGTTTACTTATCAAATAAGAGGAACAGAAAACCTCAGTAAGTAATGCATAGAACAAATTGTTATGCATAGCCGCTATTCCGGTCATCTGTCAAGCATGGTAATGCTTATTAGGAGTCCATAGGTCTGTTGGTGTCTTTTCATTCGTCGCTATTAAATACAGCAATTGTTTAATATCAAGAATTGCTTGAGTCTGAGCAGTGCTTCTTCTAATACGGAAAAGGATCCATCATGGATTCTCGGCCAAATTTGTGAAAGAGTATTTCACTGGAATAATTGGACGAATTACGTTATTATCTCCAAGAAACTGTTGGACAGAAGGGGTGATCGAGTAGTAATTATAGTTGCAAAATTGAAGAAAATGTTTACGGACAAATTACCAGATTTCCAGCACGACAGCACTTTCGCTTTCCCATTACTCGATATATTTTTTTCGATTCTCTGTTTGAGCCATTCAGTTTTCTAACTTTAATGGACTGAATTATTCTGACGTCACACTTTGTACTTGCAAATCCATTTTGAAAGCAATTACACTACTTACTCCCAAACAGTTCTCACGCCTGAAATATTTATTTCCCCACAAGCAGTATTAATTACATATATTACCATTCCTGATAACTTGTCTGCTTTACTGCACTCATCACAGCTATAAACGTGAAATATCGTCAGCATTTTCAAAAATTGTTCAACTTTCGCCTGTACCTGAGCTTCCGAGACTTGTCACACTATACTGGGAGAAATCAAACAATTCTTCCTAAATTCATTGGTAGTATAAGTGATGTATCAATTAACAGACTCCAGACAGTGTATTGCATCTCCTCGTATCTTCGCTTCTCGTTATCATTATTCTGTCCTTTGCAGAAATTCATTTGCATATCATTCTACTGATAAAACAATCTACTGATATCATTGCATATCATTCTACTGATAAAAATCAAAATGGGAAAATAAATGAACGATAACTACGTTCTTATTGTCCATTAAGCAGTGATATAGTGTCTTCTTTACAAGCGATTGTCCTGCTTAGACGTCAAACGGTCATTTTTAGTCTTCGTTACTCGTCCATTTCCTGATTGATCTAGCTAGAGCGGTTTCAGAATAGGTTAGTGCTTTGTTTTTGCAATATTTCAGGATGCTTCAAACCATTAAATACATTTAATACTCAATGCAACAACAGTGAAAGGAATCAAATACTTTTTTTTTTTGGTAAAATTCCCATTTAATAGGGAAATGTCGTGGGTAATGAGATGATATACCTGTACTTTTGCAATCTGTCGTCCACTTCTGGACAGATCAGTATGTATCCGATCAGTCACAAAGTGCTGTGATGTGCCACTTTTTGATTTTGCTTTATTCACTGAATTTGGTAGACGGGCGGGTGCGGGCGAAATAACTGCATTACGAATGAACTGAACGTATTTTATCCTCATATAATAGTGGGATATTGTCAATAATTGAAAACTAATTTTTTATCTTTTGATTTCACAAGCACAGAATTGTACCTGTCGAACGCACCACAATTCAGAGATCTACCAGTCCCGGTTTTATTCCGGAGGATAATCTTGGTTTAAGCAAAGACTAACGTACATTGCAATTTCAACAATCTCTCAAAGGACAATAACTCATATAATCTACATTTTTGATCTGTAGGTAACAAAAAACCTCGAGGTGTCTCTTCTGAACACTTCACCTTTTCAGGCTTATTTTGCTTGCGGGCAATATAACAAAATCGAAGCATACAGATACAGAAACATAATATTGGTATTGCTATCGCTAAAAATCCTTATTTATTGATTTGAGAGAAAAAGAAAACTAATGTTAGCTGAAAGAGAGCTTATGATTCACACTCTAATCTAAAAAAATCTAAAATATGAGGTCCGATTTAAGTCTGAAATTTTATTCTTAATTAGTTTACCCAAACTGATGCATACTACAATCGTAATAGTTAAAGCGGTAAGGTAATCGCGCATATTTTCCATATGCGCCCGACCGTAGCAATTCGTTCGCTGCCTGATCAATGCAGCTTTTCCATTTTCTTGTGAATTCAAATATTTAAATTCCGTTCCTCATTACGGTTTTCTGTCAAGCAGTAGAATTCATTGTTTCAATGATAAAGGAAAAAAAAAAAAACTAAAATACAGGCAGTATAGGGTGAAGAAGTTGCTTGTAAGTTTGGTAAGTTTATGAATTCAGTGTTGTAAATTGTTTGGAAGCATTTAAGTAGTAGTTATCATCATTAAAGTCACATGAAAACTGAAAACTATCCGATCTGCTGATCAGTAGCTGATCAATTTGAAGTTTCTAGAAAACGCTTATCCTATGCAATGGATGTTTACTTAAAATTAAGTGAATATTTGAGAGGAAACCACTCTGATATGCAAGTAAAAAATAATGAAAGAAATGATTGTAGCACAAAGAATTCAAAAATTTACCTGAACGATTAACTTATTCATTTTTCAAAAAAAAAGAATGACCTCTTGTAATTCAAAATATTTCTGCTTAATATTCTTTGTTGATGATTTTTTTAAATGAAATTTAGCTTGAATTTGTTTCCCTTCATTTCATTCTAAATAACCCCTCTATTATTTCTTCATTCATCACTTGGCTCACTTGGATGACGATATGATTATTGTTATTATTATTATTATGATGACGATTATGGCTGGTTCTACTTACAATTGATGAGATGAAAAGTGCTGCTTATTGAAATGAATTGAATCCATGTCATCGTCGTCGTCGTCGTCGTTGTCATCGTTGTCGCCATCGCCGTTAATTCATCGGCATCTGTCGTTTGCTCCCCTCTCGTTCCTTCCGCCTCTTCCGATATTAAGAAGCTATTCACAGGGAGCAAATAGCAAATAATAGATTATCAAAATCACTTACATTATGTATTTACAGATTGAATTGAGGCCAGTAAGTAATTGTTTGAAGGCCTCAATTTACACAGCCAGTCCATATGCCCATGCTTACAAATAGCCTACGAAAAAGCCTTTCCTTGGGCATCGCTAGCCCATTCATTGCACATTATTATTATGCTCATTCGATTGCGCTATGCAAATTAGCCCCAACGAGGCAAAGATGTCTCTTTCACCATCATGTCACACTTTATAACTGAAAATTCAGTGTCGTCCTCAACAACCTGAATGAATAAATAAAGGACGACGTGAGCTGTCAACTAATTAAAATACCACATAAATGAAATAGGCATTTGTACTTCAAATAGTTATACTTACGAACGACCAATCTTTCCCACAGATAACAGATGCAAATTTCCTTTCCAAAACTTTTTTATTCTCATTTTTGCTATCTTATCCAAACAGTTTTTTGATCTATACTGTCGATATTCATATTTACTGCTAGGACACGCAAGTAATTTGTCCTCATAAAGCCTTTCATGCTTCATGTATTCTCCTAATGCTCCTGGAAGTTATACTATCAAGTACACTTAATATTTGCTCATAAGTTTTATGCTTGTATATCTCTTGGTTTTCATATGATGAGGTACCCAAGAGAATCCCTCTATAATTTTTGATGAGGCCTGGAGCCAGCTTAGTGAGAGCTCATCTAGACCTAACGCCCTTTTTCCTGTCACTCATCTATCTTAGCTTACTTTAGAAAGAGTTGTTGATGGGCCAATCTCGCACGGAAATCAATCTGTACACATGCTTGTATTGTTTGGCTCACTGGGCTACTTAAGGATTCGCATGACAAGTAGGAGGGTAGTGGGGCTTCTTAGATTTGCGGTGTATGGATACGGTATGAGTATATATATATATATATCTATAAGTAAGTAAATATTATTCCCCAAGATTATGGGTGTCAGTTTAATTGTGTTTGTCTCTCTGTTTCTGTCTATTTCCTTGCAGAGTAATGATCAAAGTAAGACTGAGTTGGCTTACAGACTTAGTCTTATCCAATAGCTTACGACTTAGATAGCCCATCGAAATGTCCACTACAAATACCCTACCGACCCAGTCTCACTACCCACCCGTCTGTCTATCTTATGAATCTAATAAAACTTTCTTGCAAATTAACTAAGGGCTGCTCACAACTGCTCATAACTATTTCTTCCACTGTACTTTTTCCTAGCATTTGAGATGAATTCCAGTTCGCTGGCTGATGCTGATTGTGAAGATGTTGCCTGATAGTTTGTTAATTAAGCACTGATAAGAGAAGATAGCTACTTTTGATACATATCATTATCATAGATTATCAGTGATACACCCTATTATCACAGATCATGCAACAATTACTATTTGTAAAGTTAGAAATGCAAATGACGACGGATGTGGTTGATCATGAACGTCACTATTACTGAAAGCTGTGTCGTGAAGGTCCCACAGAGAAAGGACACCTTGTGATATCGGCGTGTTTTGTGTAACTCATAAGCAGCCTTTTAGCATAGAATTCAACTTGCAGGTGTAAAATTTTTCTTTTCTTTTCCCAGATTGGAGCAGAATTCCCAGCGAATAGTAAAATATAAACTCATATGAATATTGTGAACCTCGGAGACATCCCACAGTGCAACTCATACCTGATCTCCTGCAGGGGTCTTGGGATACGGTACAGTGTTATGATGAGTTAATTTGATGTTTTTGAAATGAATAACTTTCTCAGCTATTAATGGAAAAGTCCTCAATCAAACAACTAAATAGGGAATGAATAGCTAAACTTATTTCATGTACTTTTAAAGAAAAAACTTTTCATTTCTCAGTTGCATTAGCGCTGATTTCCAGCAGCACAATACGCTCAAAGAGAGTTTTAGTACTGAGTTCAAAAGCAAGAAGTGATCTGCTCCCTGTCCATTTGATAACTGTCACAGTCAGCGTCCATTTTACTGATAGTCAATGGTCACCGCGGCATATTCTATATGATTCGAGAACTATTAGAGTGCTGTACATCCTTAAGTATTATGTGTGTATGTATGTGTGTGTATGTGCATGTGTGTGTATATGTATGTATGTATGTGTGTGTGTGTGTGTGTGTGTGTGTGTAAGTGGTATGTTTTGCAATTATTTCTCTCCGTTTCTTCTAATTTACTTCTTGACGAACTCAACGACTAACACTTTGCGCTCATTCGCTTTTAACGGGATGATGAATCTTTTCTGTAGAAGTCAGAAATGACAAATTCAGATTGAATTGATCGCAGAAATAGTCCTTCAGGTTATATTACATATGGTATAGAAGAGAGAGGGAGAGAGAGAGAAAGAGAAAGAAAAGAGAAAGGAAATTTTTGAGATTTCAGGTACTGACAAGAGTAACATCCTACATTTTACTTTTATAACAAGAATTATTTGAGGACAATTTATATCAAGTTTGTCTAAAATCATAATCTTTGTATCTATGAATCTTTCTCTACAGATTATTTAAACTTAAAACTTCTATTATTATCTCAGTTGCAGTAAGCATCGATAAGATCATCCATGCCTTATCCATGACCAAATAATGGTTATCTGAGTAGAGATTAACTTTTCCTACCAACAAAACGATCATATTACCGCAAAAATGGACTTCCCAGGGAGTGATTATCGGACTTCCGGTATGAGAACACTCGAAACTACAGGATTCCTGTCTGTACTTATATTCACAGGTTTCAAATTTCCTTTACGTAACAGGCTATAATTATTAGGTTTATGAAACCAATCAAGGACAATTGAAATGCTCAACGCTGGAAATAACCATAGTTCCCTAATTTTTCTACAACAGTTAATTGCACACTTCCTAACTTTCTTTTTGGAATATTGCAAAAACACACATTTGCAAATGCAAATTGATAAACTTTATTAATTATCACTGAGATCGAACCACTATCGAATCATTATTAATCGGTAATTGTTTCGAAGAGAAGGGTAACAGAGGTGGACAGTATTGACAGTGGACAAACGGTGATCCTTTCCGTTTGTTTAATCTTCAGCTTACAGCCGCAAACAACCGGTACTGCAGGTGTGCAATGACATCGTTCTCACTTGCTGCATCCACCCATCTCGATGTCCCGAGACCTCTTTTCTCATAGTGTGGCAATTGGAAACTTCATCCTGTTCAATTCCATTATTTCCTGCAACATGTTCTTAGCTAATTGCTATCAGAATTATTCTTGAAAGGAGACGGTGACACCTCATTTCCTACCTCGTAACCTGCACCTCTTCTCATTCCTTATCCCTTTGAAATTTCAATACTTCAAGTATATTATCGACAATTCCTCTTCAGATACTCCGTAAATGCCATCTAAACAACGAGAAAAATGCCATCTATCAAGTGCCCATCAGTTCCGATTATTTGCCCACAAATGACCAGTCTATATTTATTACTGTGTTATCATTGTCCATGCATTACCATAATATAATAAGCTTAGCAACCAATGTTTATGCAGCAATTAGATGGATATTAACTAAGCATCGGGAGCAGAGGCACTAATCCCTCGGAAGTGCTCTCCACATGTGTCTCCTTCCTACACATTGTCATTGTTTTTGACATATGTCAAAGGGTGGGATTAGCAGAATTCAACATTATTGCACTTCGGTTGTCACACAGTAGTGATAGTAAGGACAGTGATAGCGTTGATAACAGAAAGTTATTGATAGCCACAAGTATTAGAAGTTATCTTTTTGAGTGGAATGCAAACACTTTGAATGGCATTTCTCATTTCATCCTAACCCAATCATTCCCTTCTATCCCATTTTCTTAGAAAGAGAGTTGTCCAGCAATTCTCGGTAGAATTTAAAAATGGACACTCTCGAATCCGTTCAATTTCTCACAACTTATGAATGAGAGGTAAAATGATGAAAAGAGATAGAGAAGACAGATATATCCTGCGGAAATGGCATAATTGTTGGGGTTCGGTTTGTTCTGCTTCTTTCTAATTACTCTACAAATTTGTCCATCCTTCTCTTAATTGTCCTCAAATATTTACTTACACAACAATGATGAAAAATGTGAATACCGTGGATAACAGGGAAATTAGCATATGTAAATGACTAGTGGGGTCATGTAATCAGCAATTTAAGGTACATTAAGTCATTTGAAATGCAGAACTGTCTTTTGAATTTAAAAATAATCAATCAACCTGCTACAAAAATTTAGCTTTCTGAGTTTAGTTACATAATCGATGAGACATTATTCAGCATAAAAGTTCTATCTTATGAAAGATCATTACAATGAGAATAAAATGAGTTCAGGAAACATTGATCGAAAAGTAACCCTTCTTCTCTGCTAAAATTATCACTGTAGAATTAATATTGTTTTCCTTGTTGATTATTTAGCACGAGTTGATCAAAATTTTCTAATTTCAGATATTCCGGATAAGTTGCAAAAAATTTCAGAAAAAAAATCTAACAGATCATCTAGCATTAGCCATAAAAAACCATTCAAAAAACTTTAACAGTCCATTCATTTTCTCTTCACACTTCTCCTCTATCCAACGAGTAAAATAATAAAAGTTGAAAGTTACTGTTCTACAATTGCTACTAATAGAGCGGTAATGTTACTGCTACCGCCATTGCTACTATTACTACTGCTACTACTACAACTGATTGTCGATCACAGCAGGGGTGCATCCGGATGTGGCTAGTCTAGCAAGTGTTCCGGGTAATAATCAGTATTTATGGCACACAATGGCCGATATCCCATGCTACTATACTTTTCTCACTTCATAACGACCCCCGCTGTCATCCCGCGGTTTCCATCTTTCTTGTCTTCCTTCTACATCTTCTACTGCAAGCTAAAGCTGTCTCGACTAAATAAAAGAAATTGGATCACTTTTGCAGTATTCTCTTTTTCCAACTGTTGAGCTTTTCGCTCTATCTATTCTGTTCTGATTATTTGACTCAAGCATCCATTGATTATCAGGTAATTACCGCACTATGAAAAGTTTGTTATCAGTGAGAATGAATGAATTCAGATATAACATCGGTACCTGCCATCTACTCTAATATCTTCTCTTGGTGCTTAGTGCTTACTGCTGCGAGATTAGTGAGAAGAAATGCTCAGGGAGACATTTAAGCAGGATGATGGAATGTTAGCTCTCAAATAGTAGTCCAATCCTCAAATTTAGTTACTTCTTGGAGAAGAAAAAAACATGCTGCGTGATTCTGTCCATTAGTTCCGAGTAACTTATTAGCAGGAAAGATGCTTACGATTCCGATAAATGAAAGATCAGATTACTTCTTCACCTATTCTGCATCTAAAATACTGTGACAAAATAGTGCTCTTTTCAGCCGAAATGGGATGCCAAAAATTTCTTTCGTTACATAGATGACAATTAGCTGATGGGAGGAATAAGGCGATGAAATACTTCTGCTAATTAATTCCATGGATGAATGTGCCTTCTAACTTTGTTAACATCAAGCTTAGTCTGGCACTTCTTCCACATATGCAGCTAGTTCGCTTTACCAGCAGAAGCACAGCTAGTGTCACACACACGATGTCTTCCTTTATTACCATCAGTGATGGTTGACATGTGACATGTCCCTACATAAACAGTTACATGCCTCACTAACGCGGCATAATATAGGGGAGTAGTAGTACATTACCCGCTCTTTCAACAAAACCAGCAATCCATTAACGCGTTTCGCATTACCAGCAATATGATGAGAAGAAGGAATTCGCCGACGATACCGTTTAATTGTTCTTTTTGATAGAGCACTAAGGAAATAGTATTGAAAAGAAAGGAGACACGGGAAATGAGTTTGAGATACCGTAGTCGAGTTAATCGACCAATATGCGGACGGAAGAGGTCATATCTTATTGTTGATATAAATGTTCTTGAATAAGAAGACACAAACTTCTGATAGAAGTAAGTAGAGATGCCCTTCAAGGTGCAAATTGACAACTGCCATCATCATCAATTTATAACTAAATCAACTTGTGACTGAGGACAAAAATGAACTGTGCTCATCATCATCGTGAAATTATAATCCATTATATTACAAATAACGAACGATTAGCCATCATTTTGACCTCTATCACTGAGATTTGTTATTGACAGTAAGACTAAAATTATTGTCAACAAGCTGTCACCTCCATCTCAATTATCATCACAGCACACATAATCCTATTTGTGATGATATGTGAAGGAGATGTGTGAATGTGTGTACCTATGGTATATATCTATATGACAACAAAGATTGTGTCCTGTGTTTTATTTCTGCCCCTCTCTGACATATATATTTTTAACTCTTCTAACTTACCACTCAAAGAAATCAATTTTTGCTGTACTGGGAAATTTCCAGTTCAAATTAAAAACTCTATCCAATTGGTCCGGATATGGGTGTCACAAGGAAGCAGTATTAGCCGGGAAATATTTTTTTATGATGTCATTACAAATAGCGCCCGAAGAATTAGTCATGAAACGTTCAAGGCTGTAGCATTAATGAGAAACAGCTGATATTATCAGAAATTATTTTTTTTTTATTGACTTTCTCACCTCTAATAAATTGCTTTTGTTGTCAGAAATGAACTATGTAGAACACGCCTATTTCACGTCATTTCCGTGTGGATTTTTGACCTCTGTTTTACTCTAAGAGAAGTTTTGAATTCTCTTAGATATTTTAACTTAGTATTATGGATGCCATTAACAGTAATAATGGCAGCTTCCACCGCTATTTAATTTAGTCGTTATCGAGAGGACTGACCATTGGCCATATGTTAGCGTCTGAATATCGGTACTACATTAACCCCTACTGCGAAAATAGAGCATTGCATTTTCATCCATTGCTCGTAAAATTCAGCTTTAAATGTCCAAAAACGTTGTGAACGAAGAAATAGAAAGGAATGGACTTCTTATTGTTATTTTGTCGGTGTATGAGAAAGAAAAGATAATAAAAGCGTAACAGTAATAATAATAATAATATTATAATAATAACAATAATAGTAATAATAATGACAATAATAATAGTAATAATGATAGATGGATGGATATGTATATGTATGTGCACATGGGATTAATTCAGCCATTTAAGGAATAGTCTATTGTTTCTGTCCGCTAACAGATGTTCTGATTAATATACTTCAACGGTGTTCAACACTCGTGCACCGCTCTGTTTTACGTCTCTCCCTCCTAGCCGAGGCATGTGACCTCTTCCAGCAAAGGAAGGTAAAAAAGAGAGGTAGCATATGTCCAACAGGCAAAGCACACTATTAATTAAATGACCTTTGTCAGGATAATTTGTTGGAGCGTAAGCAAGAGAAGTGATTTGTTCTCAATTCAGCATGACACTTCATATTATCGGATTTGATTGGATATGCTAATTACATGGATCAATCAAACAATTGATCACCTTCCTGCAGAAATTTTCTACAATTTTCCTAAAATATTTTCCACATTTGATAATTAGCAGAGCGATGAGTGTCATGGAGCATTTAAAAATCAGATCAGATCAGGTCAGATCATCGTGAGTCTCCATGATACATTCCCCTAGCTTACACCCGTGAGCACATGCCATAGTATCGTTGGAAACTGTTTGTTGCTGCTTATGATTACACAACTTGTTGCCAAAAGATGCTCCTTCCATTCCGGATAGAAGCGATCAGAGCACAAGAGATAGTATACTCTGAAAGGAGAAGAAGACTGAAATGAAATCTACCTGCTCGTCGCATTTGTTTACCTGGATAGTGTAGTATCTTAGGGAGATGATTATGGCTGATTATTGTTTACTTTGGATGTTACAAGCACTTATGCTCTTCCACCACCACTACCAGCACTACTACTTCTACCGCTGCTACTTATTTTAAGCCACTTCAGTTAATCGTTGTCGTTCAGGCCATCCTCCACGCATATGTGCCCCCCACTAGGAATAACAACTACCACTTATGAATCAGTGACGCATCTTGGCTGACCGTCCTCTCTCTTTCTTCCCTCTTCACTCCACCGTGTACTCTGATTACTACTTGGCCAACTGTATCCTTGACTCTGTTTAAAAAATGAATAATTAATTAATTCAGGTATCAATGCAAGTTCATTAGATCCGTTCCTGTTCAGAAGCAAAGCATCTGCAATCAAGCAAAATGGTAATCGTAATAATAATAATGTAGTAATAATTGTTATATATTCTGATTACTTGTCATTTGATCACTTCAATTGCATCAGCCTAATGATAAGTGTGTGTTGTGTGTGTGTGTGTGTATGTGTGTGTGTGTGTGTGTGTGTGTGTGTGTCTATTTACTTGTCTATTCCTCCTCCCTTATTGAGTAGCAATGACAATTATATAAAAGGTGATTAGATCAGCTCAATTTGATGATATTATGGAACGAATTCAATGAATTTCAATGCAGTGAGTTTCTGCCTATCGATTTGTATCAACACACACACACACACACACACACACACATACATACATACACGCACAACACGCACACATTCATATCAAGTTTGTCTCTTGGTCCATTATCTGTTCGCTGTAATGATTTCAAGAATGAGTGATATTTAAGAGTAGCATGGGAAATGTAGATCTCCTTATTCAAGTTCCTAACTAAATGGGAATTTCTCGAAACCGTCCTTGAGATCAATTTGCTCTGCTCTTACAATATACATGTACAGTTCGGGAGATGCAGGTAGAATGTGAAGGACGAAAATATGTGGATGTAATGCTACTCAAAGGAAGATTAAAAGATTCAGTAAAGCTTGGCTTAAATTTGATAGCACGTCGAGACTGACTGAAAGGCTACCTGTCTTGGTGACATCTTTGCAGTCAACAATGGCATAACGCTGTAGCTGACAACATTATCAAGCCATTGGTGATTATATGAAAGAGTTTCATCTCCAATCCATATCCTTAAAATAGACAAAATGTTACCGCAATTATTGTCTAATGGCATGGCATGTCATGTCATCGTCGTCAACTAATTGAAAATTTCAAGTTTGAAAGAATAAGAAAGGAGGAAAAGGAGAAAGGAAGAGAGGAAAAGAGGTGATTAGGTAACAGTTCAGGTTCCATGCGGCATTTGTACTGAGACAATGACATATGTAAAATCATTGCGGAGATCAGAATAAGACCACTCCACACCATATCTCTTGACAATTATTATGTACAGACCATATATTACCAATGCATTCCTCCAAATTGAAAGGATAATAAGGTGAGATTTTCGTGAGACGATCTGTTATCTGATGGTATACTATCGGCGCCATAACTGAATTCAAAATGGAGGCAAATAATACTCAGACATGTATCAATTCACCTGCACATCACTTCTATGGACAGAGATTAACTTTTTAGCTAAACAAATCTGGCCAAACAGTAAGGAATGAATGACCTAGCTAAGAACTTTTCTTGATTATTTCTTACTCCTACCGTCCTTCTTATCTTAACATTCGTCACTTGGTCTATCTTATTTGAAGTTTTTGTTTAATGTTTGTTGTGATGTTACTAGTATGATATTTCAGAAGTTTGCAAGTAAGTAAATGTGACATCTTTGTCAAAGATGAGTTCCTTTTGTATCTTTGTCAAAGATCAGTTCCTAAATTGCAATATGATAGAACGGGAAGAATTGCAGACAGATGGCATTTCTCATCGCAATCCATTTCTTTTCAGTTCTTTTCACCTTTTCCTTTTTTGAATTTAATAAGAGAAATGATGTCCTGTGGAGCGATTAAAATATGAAAGGGTAGCAAGGCGTGATCGAAGACCGAACAACTAGGAGACATATCCTGTGAGATGCGTACACTTTTCATAGTGCTTTGCTTCATTGTTGATTAACAAATCATTGAAAGGTTATCTACAATTATAGATAATCTCAATGGTCATCATCTTATTTCGTCTCCAAGATTGCTGTCTTCAATCGAAGAGAGCAATCTCGTTGGTTGTTCGGATCCATTTCTCGCCATTCTTTCTCTTTTAATGTTTCCATTTCGATATTTCTGAAACAAGAAGATATGTCACTATCTGTTGATAAAGCTAAAATTATGATTAAGTGAAGGATAGTTGACGATAGTAAACAAATGTTACTATGATGGATAATATTTGAAAGATTTAGTAACAGAAATATCTTTCTAGCAGATTACATTTCAAGTCTAATATATGCAAACCGGAATGAATATTCACTACCTGATCCTACCTTTTAACTTGCATGCAGATCGCTTTATCAGTTAGCATTGCTTATTTCAGTTTATCTCATGCTATCTTTAATTCGCAGAATGTGTCTAACGATTGATCAGCACCACGCGTTTCTTTCGACAATGATTTTTCCGTCATGCAACCATGCATGCTTCTTGTCCATTTACCTGTGCAGGTGTATGCTAGAATTTTAATTGTAGTAGTTCGTTGCAAGTAGCGTTGAGAGGACAGTTCTGTATGCATTATCAAGCAAGTCTAAGCATGCAACAGAAATAACAACATCTTATCTGTTATGGAGACGTAAGATGACTCAAAAGTCTTGCCATCATCACAGTAAATTGTAGATTCCTCTTCTCATTCCAATAAACTGCATACACCTGTACGTAAATGTTTACGTGAGTTCTGCATGCACGATCGATATCACGTGCGCTAAATGTGTGTCAAGAAGTGTGATAAGTGGAATAGTCGAGAAAGGCTTTTTGGGTTTGATAAAACGATTTGAAATGTGTACAGAAAGAAATCATCGGTGACACCTCTAACAATAACAACAGGTACACTTAATGTCCACCACCCACGCACCACCCAACACCCACACACATACACCACTCACATGCATACGCCCACACATTACACATACGTACACATGCTGGAAAGAAAAATAGATGGCACTATAGAAGGAGCAACTGGGGAGAACATAGAATGAGAAGATTATGAAAAGAGTAAAGAAGGACGGTGAAAAACAGACAACGAGAGTGTTTGGTGATGGACCAATCAGAGATACAGACCCCGCCTTAAAAATGTGCAGATGGACTAGGTGAAGTTATTATTTGGGTGATGAGAGTGTGAGGTAACAGAGAGACTTAGAGAGACATACAAAAAATGCATGCACAGGAAGATAGAAACGAGAACAAAGCGACAGACATAGTAACATAGAAGCTTGACGACAGATGGCCTGCTGTCGCTGCTGCTACTGCGGTTACTGATTGGTATTACGGTGGCGTGGCGCTGGTGCTGTGACTGGCTGGAGAAGCGATCTGTTCTGGGTCGATTGGCCTGCGGGCTATTTGCTGGTCTCATTACTGTACTACTGATTTTACTGTGATACTATGAGTGGACTGCTCGGTGCCGAACAATTGCAGAAGTTGTGGATGCATGTGGCGCTAAATTCCATGCAGGTAGGCTAGGCATTGCTTACGAAACTCTCCAAACTCACTTTGCAAGCATTTTTGGATAACAAAATTTTGACTCAATTCAGTTGTCAAATGATCGAGGACAGAGCTATTAGGATAAGATTAGGAGTGCAATTTCATCAAGTTTTACTTGTAAATACCTTAATTAATCATGAAATTTTGATGACATTTACAAATTTTTACTATGAAGTATTGAAAGTAATACCAGAAAGCTTTTTGCAAGTACGGTTTCCTATTTTCCGGAAATCTCAATGGAAAGAGAAGAAGGTTTCTGTGTATAGCTGAGTTTAGGCTTGTAATAGCAATATTTTAATGAGAGAGTACTGCCAATAAGCCTTCAATGAGTCATCGTTTAAGTAATATTTTTTATACCTTTTACTCTCATATACCTTACATATCAATGTGTTTGTTTGTAATTTGACCAAAAGTAATAGCAATGCTGTCTGCAGAAGTTTTTAATTTAGCTTCATTTCTATGACTATACTAACTGAAGTAGTGGTCATTGCTCCACAGGTGGAGAAATAAGCTCCAAATGCTGAGATGAGGTGAGAAATCAGAGAATAATAGGTGAAATTGCGTATGATGATCCCTCGGAGAGACAACAAGCCATAGAAATGACTGGTGTCTAAGGATGAAATGGATAGGTGCCGAGAATGCTAATGAGCCTAACATGAAAGCTTCAGCTTAAGCTACCTGACACAAATATATCATTATCCCAATATTAAGCCTCGTTATCACAACATATCCCTATTTTCCATGCTTTACATACCTGATGATTATAGTTAATGTGGCAGAAATAATAATTAAAAGTGAAGATTTTATTTTCTCCTATTAAAATCAGCATCAGATCCCTTGTATTACTTACCCTAATTGTAACCTGACTACGTTAGGTTAGAGGTCATTGCATGAATTAAGCTTTCACTTTCTATATTCATATTATACTACGGAGTTTTAAAGAAAGTCTGTACGGAAGAGTCTATAATGATGTGATAGTTTTATTGATGGGCTTTAAAAGCATTTAAATTTAGGGCTACCCACAAGGAAATTCGTTATATCCTCCGTTACGACCATTTGCATTTGGTACCATGTTGCAACCAGAAACATCGACGTTCACTGGTGAACAGGTACGAAATTATTTGAAAGTTTTCATTACTGCTTTCTCTGCTTTTCATCCGCGATGAAATTGAATATACACAGAAAAGCGGTTGTATGCTTTGTTTCAGCCAATTTGCACATTATATAATAGCTGTTTGGCTTAATAAACGGATAGATAGATAGCTCGATGTGCACTAATGGCCATTATCCCATCTTATTAATTATCGATAAGTTTAAGCGTATCTCCTTCAATTAGCAAACTGTTCAATATCACTGCTTTTATTTTTTAATTTCTTCTTCACATACTCTAAAACACATATATCTCCCGCCGGCGTAGCTCGAAATGAAATCCACTAAATAATTAAATTGCTTTTGAAGAACTGGCAACTTATAGCATTATCTGATCCTTGCAAATTTTAAATTTGCATTAGTCTTTTCTATTTTCTTCCTTTATCTATCCATATCAATTTATCCATCCATTAATGTTTTGCAAAATTTCATACACTTTTTAAACTGATCAAGTAAATCTGAAATGCCAAAAAACTTGTAAATGTAATATCTCTTTTCCTAGCAATCATATAAAAGAAAATGATAATATGAAGCCTCAAATAACTTTCATTTCAACTGTATTGGCAGTGTGACAGAATTAAAACTCAAGTCAAATAATAGCTTTAGAAAAAAGTTTTTTCTCTTAAGAGCACAAAAGTTTGGCGTAAGTAACAAGAATAATCATAGAGTAGACCTCGGCTAAGATGCTGGAATTATAAATATGTCTCATGTTGCTACGTTTGATCAATGATTGCTAAACAATGCCGTCTTCTGGTCAAGAATGGTATTCGAAATGGTGACATTTTCCAGTGGTCACTATATAATTTTTACTGTGAAGCAGGAGGAAGAAAGAACTGAGGACACTTTATTATTTATTTCTCTTGTTGAATTGATTTGGAACATTTTTTTCAGATTGTAAAGATCTGTGAGCAACTTGAAGACGCTGGAAATATTGAGCGGTTAGCTGCGTAAGTTATTCATTTTACCATTCCAAATCATAAATCATCACGAGCACGTACGTATCAGCGTGAACTTATTATCACTATTCCTTGTTTGTTCATAACTGTGGACAGTTGCAGTTTCTTGTGGTCAATCTCGCACCAGCAGCACACTGATGAAGTAACAACCGTACTGCGAAACCATGAATCTGTGCTTCGCGCTAGAGCTTTGGTGTGTTTCCACATGGGAAACTTCCAAGAGATGTACAGGATACTTGAATCACACAAATTTACCAATGGTTCACATAGCAAACTGCAGGCGATGTGGCAGGAAGCTCATTATCAGGAAGCGGAAAAGTTGAGAGGAAGGTGAACTTTCGTTCATTTTGTTAATCTCTTCTTTTTGCAATATGCAGTAATCTGCTGTAAATCGATTGAACAATTTACACCGACAAAGAAACTGACTAATCAAATGATTTGGCTGACTGACCGATAAACTGTTACTTTTTTCTATTAAGTTCAAATTTCATCTTTATAATTAAAATTGCTACTAACGATAGAAACAATTAGGCTTCCAGAAAAGATAAGTCATTAAAATATATGAGAAATCAGGAACAATAGGTAATGTTTGGAATGATGTGGTGCATTCATATTTGTTTTAATATTAAGGCCACTAGGACCGGTGGATAAATATCGAGTGCGAAAAAAATATCCAATGCCACGGACAATTTGGGATGGAGAGCAAAAGACACATTGCTTTAAGGAGAGGACAAGGTCATTTTTGAACTGATTCCAAAAAAAAAAAGAGATAGCTAGAATTGGCTTCTTTGAAAAAATGATTTATTTCAAAATTAGTTGAATTTTTAACAAAATACTTGGCTTGACAATCTATTCTTTACTCATTATGTCTAATTCTGGCAGAGTAGTTGACTTGTCAAGTGCTCACTTCCGATCAGTTATTTGCAGAATGTAATGTCGACTTTTGTCTATCATTCCTAGATTTCCATATAAGGCCATTCCTTTGCATTTTAGGTCATTACTACGGGAATGGTATTTGCAAGACCCGTATCCGAATCCGAGTAAAAAAAAAGAATTGGCATCTAAAACGGGTTTAACTGCCATGCAAGTTGGAAATTGGTTCAAAAATCGGCGGCAACGTGATAGAGCTGCTGCTGCCAAAAACAAGTATGTTTTTTTTTTTTTTTTTTTTTTTTTTTTTACATTTTGTTCCTAAATATATGACTGCAATGTGTATCTAAAAAGGCTTCATAGATACTTCCGAGGAAGCTGAAATGAAGCCTTGAAATCACTAGAAAATAAAAATGCTAATCTTTTCATTGATCGTTTCTTGTTTTCTTACTGAATGCCAATATTTCAAAGAGATCAAAACATATGTATCTATTGTAGTTCAATCTTAAAGTGTGTTAGTGGAAAACGTACTATTAATAGTAACAAAATTTTGTAAAGAATAATGCATTTTGATTAATTCGGCTTTTTCGGTTTATGTCTATTATCATTTAAATCTATTTCCCTTTTGAATTGCAAAGCTATTAGCATCATCGCTGTCGCATAAGCATGCTTAAGTCTTCATCGCAGTCATTAGAAATAATCGTCATAATTAATACGATCATTATCACTCCTGTTATCTTTTTATCACCGGTCCTTGTCTTTTGAATTGCAAGCAAATTGTGCAGAAAAATGATCAATTCGCGATCTCTGTGATTAATTTTTACTCTACCAGTTCTCATCCAGTCTAAATTTAACACTTTCCATTATATTAATAGCAACATTATCTGAAAAGTATTCTGGAAGATCTGTCCGTACTGTACTTTTTATAAGACAAAAATGGTTTTGGTCCAAAAATCCTTTAATCTTTCTCTCTCTCTCTCTCTCTCAGTATTCGCTCATTCTTTGTACTCTTTGTTTTAGGATCAAAGAGCATATGTCGAAGAGTTCATTACCACATTTCAGTTTTACTTTTTTCACAATAGTAGAGGAATAACACTAAATGAAATAATCAGACAAATCAAATCGAATCAGGTTTTTATCACTTTGATCACCGCAAATTGAGAGTGTAGGATGTATCTGCTTTCTCGGATCGATAGCAAATGCTCAAATTACTTACAGAGCAGGGAGAAGAGGGTATTGCTCAATTGACGATGCTCTTAAGAAGATCGGCACTCCCCGGTCGACACTTCTGGGAACTAGTTTCACTTCCCGTCTCTTTTACACCCCACAGCAATTCCAGTGAACCAACTAACATTATCTCCCATCTTTCTTCCCATCTCCATTTCTATTTCTCACCCGAAAGTGCACCTCAAAAACCTTGAACGCTACTTTACGCCAATTCTTAAGCTCTTATAATCTGTTTCTCTTCACTATCCCATCATCACTAACGTGGGGTAATGGAGAAGATGCTATCATTAGAGTATTAACACGGGAGGATAAAAAGATGCAGTAAGTCACAAAAATGTTCACAGAAACACAATTACCCTGACACAGAAGATACCTTTGATGACTAATTCAGGGTCTTTACCTTTCCTCTTCTGTGCACCATCCTGATAATACTTATCACAGATTGCTGTGGAGTAAGTGACACAATGAATGACTACCTGTTCCTTAACTACAAATAATGATAAAGTCTGCACTTCTCACACCTTACTTTCACTTCTCATGCTGCCTTTCCATCAGTGTCACAAATTGATATAATGTGAGGGGAGTGATTCGTTTAACTCGAGATAGCTTGTCTCAACTGCAGTTTTCTATTACAACAAAGAACTGCTAAGAGGAGAGCACTGTGATGACACACTAATTGTGCTAAACTTGTAGTAGAAAAATGAAAATTTTCTCTCAGATGAAATTTGGTTCAAGAATTGTATCACTAAGAAGAGAAACACTCACTTTCATTCCATTTCAATAAACTATACACTTCACTCTAATACCATGTGACATTTTATCTGGAATATGTATTGCTAAAGCTTCACGAGTGCATCATGCAGTGACGTGTTAACATGCAGCGTTCATCTAAAGATGGCTGAAACTACATGACACCCTTCACTTGTAGAACTTGAACTGCTTGCAGGGTACAGCTCTCTTCCCGCGTTTTCCATTATTTGCTTTAAAGCCAATCTGCTGATCGTTGTCACCAGACGACATTTTCCCCTGTCATCAGAGTCCAATCAAATGCTCTTTGCCTTCCAATGATTGTCTACCCTCGTATTTGTTCTCTCTTCCAAACGTGCATATTGATTACCGTATCAATTACATGTATACATCTATATATGAGGCTGTCTACGGTAGTATGGACTTATTTAAATTTCTCGACATTTACGTCTTATCGCAGTTAAGAAGCTCGTGTTGGCTAACTTGCTGACTATTTGATATAATATCAAAGTGTAACTAATTTTTGTTAAGCATTAAATTCTAAAAGTAACATTGCTGAAGAAACACTTCAAAGTGGAAGTTGCAAAGAGCAGAATTGCACTACAACTTCTCTTTTAACCATACCATATCTCACTAATGTTTCATTTCTCATAAAGATGGTTCATAAACTGCCACTGCATGTCAATCTTTCGGCAGCACACAACTGCACGAATGATACTGTGTGCTGCATACCAACAAGTGTCACGTTGCATTCATTTGCATTAGAGTCAGAGTTAGCGTTCTAAAATGGTATTAGAACTAATGACGAGATGATGACAGTTATTTCAAAGGTGACATCGATTGCGGTGAGGTGAGAAGATAAAAGGTTGTCTTAAGATGTCTGCAAAAAAGCTCTTTCGCATTTGAAGATCCGTTAAATTGTGATGAATCATTCTATCTTTCTCTCCCCTTGTCCTCTCTCTCTCTCTTTCTCTCTTCCTCTCTGTACGTAAGAGATCCAACCAATTACGGCGTCAATGACCGTATAATGTCGAACGACAAACACAAACCTATCATCTGAGAGAAGAATGATGGAGAGAGTGGTATACTACTCTATCTATCACATTATCATTCCGTCCTTGTCCACAAATCTCTCATCCTCTCTTCTAATTAGAGACACTTTAAGGCTTTTACGCGAAGTTATTTTCGGGGCTTTTAACAAATTATGTTATTTCGTGAAAAAAATTGCTAATAAGCAAACAGACACATGCATAAATGAATGCGGCATTTATGTATCTGTCTTAAATAGCATATGGAAAGAGACGGAGTAATTGGTATTAATCGGATCATAAAGCAGTTTACTCAGACGAAAATTAGAAAGGAAAATTAAGCGCTCTTGTCAATGCACATCAAAATGTCCTCTATTTTATGTGCGAGCATTGATTTAAAAGATGTAAAGGAGTGACACCTCGTGGTATTAACGGCAACAACGGTAGCATCATCACTAATATTCACAGGAAATAGTAGAAGTAAACAGGGAAACCTATCAATATGTATTATATCAGTATGATATTATCAATGTGGTATTATTTCAGAGCTAACGAATTGAACGGTGTGAAGAAGAGTCCCGAATCGGATAATTCGGAAGATTCGGAAATGGAAGAAGATATGTTCGATAGCTCTCTGCTTGCTGACTCACCCACTCCATCGGAAGAATGCGGCAGTACGGAGAAGTCGCAACATTCAGCTGCATGTGCCTCACTGACTGCGACGAAGATGCCAGCGGAACCATCGTTGCCGCATCCTATCGACGCAGCCTCCTCTACGACAATGTTTGGAACTGCAAACGCTTTTGATCCGTTGCAGTTTGATCCGCTACGAATGCTTATGAATCGATCTCTGAATGCAGCTGTGCTAAACCCAATTCTTGCCCAACCCGCGGCCATGTTAAGCTTGCAACAGCAGTTGTCCAAGCACATCTCTTCCACTTTGGTGCAACCAAATCTTAAACCAAACCCAAGTTGTGGGGTAAAACAACATGAAACAAGAAGGACTGAAACGTCGAGTAACATCAAAATATCACTTGATAGAAAAAGAAATGCAAATTGTGGAAATAATTCGTCGTCTATTTCAACGACGCCAAAACGTTCCAAGCTGCTTATCGATGAAATTCTGAACCTGAAAAGCAATGAAACATATTCAGCAAATGCACATAATACTGTAACTGATGGCTCTTTGCAGCAAGAAAATTTCTCTTCACATTCCACAAGCAGGGAGCAATCTGTGGAACCGAATTTGACAAAGAAAGATGGGAAGGCATCGATAAGTGATAACGGTGTTAGAACTGATACACTATCTGTCCCTCCTGATAGTAGCAATAGTCGTAGAAGCAGTGAAACATGCTAACACGGACCATACCCATTCCTTCCTGTTCACTAGAGTTATCAGTCCAATGGTTCTTTCCATAAGAGAAGGGGTAAACTTGGGCAGCACTACTGCTTCTGCTTGATACCCGCGGGTAGTTCACATTAGGGATCGGTGAGAAACAAAGTCCGCAGTCGGCTGATCTCATCTTACAGTATGCTGATTTCTCGAAGGTCAAAACTAGCACTTGCTAATCATTATGTGCTTACTACTGTTCAGCACGACGTGTTGTCAAGCTGTCAATTATATTCATTGTTCCTCAACATTTAGAGTAATAATAATTCCATTAATGTTATAGGAAGAATCATTAGGAAGTGATTCCTCAATTCTCGGGTAATTATTGGAATATTTCCCTGGGACTTTAGATGCAATGGGTCATCTCATTGGTAACTTATTTCTAAAATGAATAGTTTTAGTGCTTTTCTGAAATTCTTCCAACAATTCTTTTAACATCGAAAGTGATGAGTAAAATTGAAAGCGGAAAAGGAATGGAATGAGATAAAGACGGCAGAAGGAATTAAGATGAGTGGCATTGCACAAAAGAGTGGTATTTTAACTTATTGGTCAGTCAGAATCATCAATTATAATTTATCACTGACCGGATCACTACAACACACATTAAGGTTTTTACCTATCTCTGGTCAGTTCATCATGAGTTGCTCTCTATTTCTGACCGCTCTGAAAATTATGTCCACTACAGTTCAATCAATTATGAATTATTACATATGTTGAAAAAAAAATTCACCAAACAAATGACCTTTCTATAGAATGGAATCTGCGGGGAAGTAGAAGTGAAAATGCTAATTAATTGATCAATGCATGCATACCTCTCTTTCCTCATCAAAGTAAATGAATGATTGATTATTGATTCTTACAGTTAATGATTATGTGATTGTACTTGTAGTTATTTTGTTCAATAATTAAGTGTCAAGTGTAACTGTGCATAAGATTAGACCGGGCAATCAGACGGAACTGAAAATTTTTGTGCTCATAAGCAGGCAACTTTCAAAAAAAGAAGGTGCTGAAAAACAGCACTGATATGTTTAAATATTAAATGAAGTTATGGAGGAGGAAAAAGTCTTATCTCAGGTATCACATTTGTTATTATAGATATCAGTGAATAGAGAAATCACTGATAATGATCACAATGATAAATGATAATAATGTGGCTGACAATAAACTCCTCGTCTTCCCGCTTCATTAACAATTTTCGGAAATCTTGATAGAATTTCATTAGTGGTGAGACTTCAACCTTTAAATTTCTCTGAGGGTAGTGATAAAAGGAAATGGTGGAACTTGAATGTCGAGAAATGAATGCCTCGCAAATTTGATTATCGAATTAGATAAACGAAGATGGCTGGCTCGGCTCACTACAGTATTAATGTAATCATTTCAGCTGGATAGAACCGCTCACGGGTAGTATTGGAACAGGCGTCCGTGCTTGTTCAATTAATATCGAAATTAATCGCAACTTTATTTCATTAGAATGTATCAGTTGTAGATACTATTTCAGGTTGAATTCTGGAACTAACTGCACAGGTCAAAGTCAAATGTTTGAAATCGTGAACTGAAGGAGGTAGTATATACTGTCTTTATGCATGCTAATCACTGAGAATTAAATTTTGAGACATGCTAGGAATAAAAATCTATCAAATTAATATTAGGCCTTTTGCACTATAATAAAATGAAAATTTATGCTAAAATTATGCACCAACTGAAGAGCCTAGCCTTTAGTGATTGCCATATATATTCAAAATATCTAAATTTACGCTGCAGCTCTGTGTCATTTATCATTCATCATCGATCAATTATAATCATCAACATTTGAAACCTGTTTTGTTAATTGAATCTAATATTTAATGCAGTCATCGTTCCAAGCAGCACGTCTCTTTTAGTATAATCACATTGGGAGGGCCTCATCTTATTCTCTGTGGCATTTTCGATAGATAATTGACAATTAGGAGTAAAGGGAATGAGACGACAATTGTTATGATCACTTTCTAACTTCAAACAAGTACTTTTTCAAAATTAAAAATGAGTAGTGAGTAAAGTGGCATTCTAATCTCTTTTACTATTTTCCAAATCGTTTTTCGATTGCTTTCCGGTATTTCGTGTCATCTTTTAATGATTGAATAAAAGACAAAAGAGAAGTGAATGTTAGTCATTCATTCGTTTCATCCTCGTCATTTACACTAAAAGAATTTCTTCTTTGAAGTATTGGAGAGAAGCAATCATTTCATAGTTGTACTAAACTAAATAATCATCGGGGCAGTCGAGAATAGATTCATTTCTTCAGCAAATTCTTGGAAAGTCGATTATTGCGTTTTAGCCGGTTAATGTCAGCAACTTTTGAAGCTTAATATAATTACAGCATCATCAGCAGAAAAAGACTGAGAAGCGGATAAATTGCATTTCAGGACAAAGAGTTCCCTGACCTCATTAGGCAGATCCCTTTTGGCTCAGTAGCTTCTTCTTTATTTGAGGATCCTAGCAAATAACATTTCCGTCATTTTCCGTCTCTTCCCTTGCTACTGACACTCTCAGCCAATGAATACATAATATTTTGTGTCCAAACAGCCTTCTTCAAGCTATTTGGAATCATAGGGAGACACTTGCACTCCTACTACAGAGACTTTTACCCATTTAAACACCTGGTCCTGAAATTACCTTCACTGCTTAATGTTGATTGAATGAAACTCAATCGGAAATCATTATGGTTAAAAGAGTGAGATCAATTCTATGATGTTCCCGAGAATTACAGACATTTTTATTGGATTCATTTCTTCTCCTTTCGCTTCTGCTACTGCAAGCATTTTAATTGCATTGTAACTCAATTCTTACAAATAAATGGATAGATAGGAAGACGTTCGTTAAACAATGATTGCAGTGAACAAGCAATCACTTAACCACTTAACAAGCATTTATAACTAGCACTCCCACGAAACGACACCCATTGTGTCAATGACAGGTCAAAGGTCATTATTATCTACTCTCAATGATGAGGGACTATTCAAATGACATGGAATCACAGCTTCTGAGCTTTTGTGAGGAAGGGAATCGAAGATGAAACCAAAAAGTGTACTTGTGTATAAACTAGGATATGCTACCAAAACTTGATATTATCATATTACTTTACAAACCAATTTGGGCTAATATTAGTTGAAGAGTTTAAGATATATCCTAACACTTAGCCTCTCTCTATCGATGTAAACAGTACAGTAGAAATTAAGAACCTATATCGTTTTTTTAAATCAATATGAATCATTTTATTAATTAGATCAAATTCCAGCTTCATAATAATTGATACTGTAAACAATAAGAAGACACTTATCAGAAGGCAATCAATTTTCAAAGTGTCTTAATTCTAGTAATTTTTCTAGCTTTACTAATTTCGTTCCCAAAATTTTCATTAATCCTCATTCTTCTATGGATAACCAGTCAACTACATAAAATATTGTACTTTATTGTTCGTCATTCATTTATCGGAAGCAATTTGTTCTAAATTGTTACAGTTTAATTTCCTCTGACTATATGAGAAATGCGGTAATCATCTGATCAAATCTACAGATAACGACAGCTTGTTATTTCTGCATTTGTTCGCTACCTTTTTGAATTGGTTTTTCTTCAGCTATTTGGTTTGACATTTCAGATCAAAAAAAGCATCTATATTTCTTTACTTTTACATTTCATTTCTCTCAGCTATTTTTCACATACTTCAAGGAGTTTCAGGTTCGTTGACTAATATTACTTCTTTTCCTACTATTCCTCAAGTCCTTTGCTTAAAACCAATTAGACATTCATCGTTCCATATTTTCCAGAATCCATCTAAACATTAAAAACATTAGACTATTCTTTGATGAGTTTATCTTTACTATTTGATTGTTGGGAAATAAATTCGCTACAGAAATAAGTTGACAAGTTAAAAAAGCACTGAAAGAAAGAAAGTAAATTAAGCAAATCATAATATACTCGTCGAAAATTACATGTGTTAGTTGTTGTTGGGTATTAATGTTTATTATTCTTCCCGTAAGAACTTCTTTTCGATAGCTCTTCATAATATCCTTTTCGTCAATTCATTTAATTTTTCGTGGATTCCTCCAGTCCAACATTCTCTTTTCTACCATAAGTCGTTTAATTTGATATTTTTTTTCCATTGCAACTTTGAAAACCAACTGAAATTGATTATTGCTCAGCTTTAACTCTGAGTATAACAATGAATCTTTTAAAAGATTTTCCGCATATAAACTTTCCACTAATGTCGGATGCACGACTTTTGCACTGCAAAATGTAAATAATGCAATTCATTCGTTGATGATTCAAAACGATTCAGATAATCAATCCAACTTGAACCAAACATTTATGTCGCTTAGCTCAAGTCCCTGAAAAATTAGATATGATAGTGTCACGCGTTTATTAATTTTTGACAACCAAAACTTACGTTTAATCTCTTATAGAATATGGAGATTTCAAGTATGATATAATTCGTCATATTTTCATTGTATGAAAATATTATGACTTGGAGATAGATTAAATGTGCTATTTTTTTCCAGTCATGATTTGTTCAATTTTCAATCCTCTTTTTGATCTTTACAACTTTTTTCTTCATTGTAATAGAAATTCCATTTGCAGTCCAACCATCCCATTATGCTTGCCCGATTAGCATCCATTCTGCAAGTTTGTAATCATCACTTGTAGGTTGATTTTTCTCAGTTGTAATCGGTTTTATCCACGATAAGCAATCTTTCTTGGTAATCTTAACGATTTACTAAAATAATTTTCGTCAATAAGTTTTATTTCTGTGATGGGAACTGTGAACAGCCACTTTTGCAATTAACTTGTCTCCTCTCTTTCATTTTCTTAGCCTTTTTTAATTTTGATTTCGCACCACTGTCAGTTTAATATCTTTTCCTTTAGTCATCTCTCTCCTTTGCATCACACTTTATAATTTTATAATCTTTTAACTGAAAGCCTCCAACTTATCA